TGTTCTGAAAAAGACTTCTTAGTGTTCCCACTTAGATGCCTTACAAGTATCTTAAATTTTGTACCTTCATTATAAGACTCTTGATTTCCTGCCCATGCCACCCTCCTCAAACTTGTTCTTTTCCATGTTATTAAATAACACTATCTTCCATCCAGTTATTCATGCCAGAAACCTGGGTGTTATCCTTTTTGCTTTTCCCAACTTCCTCATGCAATTTAATCCTATTGGTTCTTCTTAGAAAATAGTTATTCTTCCCCATATCCATGTCCAAACCACCATCAGTTTCTTGATTAGATGACTCTATTAACCTCTTAACCTCTACTTTTGTCTCCCTTTCAACTTAATTTTCCAACAGTAATAGAGTAATGTTTCAGTGTTAATTTGATCATCTGTTTCCTCAGTGCCTGTAACAATACCTGATATGTTGTGGGCACCCAGTAAATCTGTTGAATAGCACTCTTTTACTTAAATGTCCTCAGTGGCTCCTTATTGCCTACTTTTCTAGCATTATCTCTTGCAGCTCTTGTTTTTCTTTGACAGATATTTTTGGTAATGCATATTGATTTCAAATCAGATTGAATTTTATTATACCAAGCATTTGAAAAAATGATGAAGCTCTTAGCCCTGGCAGGTGTAGCTCAGTGTATTGAACAGGGGCTGTGAACCAAAGGTTCGCCAGTTTGATTCCCAGTTAGGGCACATGCCTGGGTTGCAGGCCAGGTCCCCATTGTGGGCCACGTGAGAGGCAACCACACACTGATGTTTCTCTCCCTTTCTTTCTCCCTCTCTTCCCCTCTCTCTAAAAATAAATAAAAGAAAAAGGAAAAGAAAATATTAAGAAAAAAGATGAAGCTCTAATTTATAGAACGTGCATACATTGTTAGAATAGCAAGTCTATAGTAGTTGGCGTGAATGCTACCAAAATGACACAGAACTACAAAAGGACAGAAATATTTGATCTAGGTGAAGTCAGTAGATTCAGGGCTGCCACCTGGAACTGTGCCTGCCAGGATGTCCAGACTATCTATGATTTAGACTAAATATTGATTGAGCTTCTTGGGTAGCTGCTATACAAACTCCTCTAGCAACTCTAAGGGTCCATTAACCTTATGGGCAATGGCATTCTCTAAATTTTTCTGCTGGAGTAGATATTCAGATGGTACAGTATTTCCTTGGCTGTGATCACCTCATTGATAGGGAAGCAATGAGTTGTCACATGTGAAAACCATGGGGTGCTGTGCTAGATTGAAATCTATTTGTTATACCTTCCACAGGTCTTTGGCAAGGCTATTTAAAAAAAATTTTAACACACTGTTGTCCGTGTCCATGAGTCCTGATTGCTGTGGGGAGGAAGGTAAAAGGGGACTAAATGGTAATGGGGGAAAATATAATAAAGATTAAATTTCCTGGCTGGCGTAGCTCAGTGGATTGAGCTCAGGCTGTGAACCAAAGTGTTGCAGGTTCGATTCCCAGCCAGGGTACATGCCTGGGTTGCAGGCCATAACCCCCAGCAACCACACATTGATGTTTCTCTCTCTATCTATCTCCCTCCCTTCCCTCTCTAGAAAGTAAATAAATAAAAATTTTTTTAAATTTTATTTTAATCATTGTTCAAGTACAGTTTTCTCCCACTTACTCCCATTCCAGCCCACCCACCCAACCCTCCCCTCTTCCCCCCATTACCCCCCACCCCTAGTTTTTCTCCATGTGTCCTCCAAATTTGTTCCTGTAAACCCTACCCATTCCCCCCTGGAATTCCCTCTTCTCTCCCCTCTGGTCACGTCAGTCTGTCCCCTATTTCAGTGTCTTTGGTTATATTTTGCTTGTTTCTTTGTTTGGTTGTTTAGGTTCCTGTTAAAGGTGATATCATGTGGTATTTGTCTTTCACTGCCTGGCTTGTTTCGCTTAGCATAATGCTTTCCAGCTCCATCCATGCTGTTGCAAAGGGTAGGATCTCCTTCTTTCTTTCTGCTGCATAGAATTCCATTGTGTAAATGTACCATAGTTTTTTGATCCATTCATTTACTGATGGGCATCTAGGTTGCTTCCAGCACCTAGCTATTGTAAATTCTGCTGCTATGAACATCGTGGTGCAAAGGTTCTTTTGTATTGGTGTTTCAGTGTTCTTAGGATATAGTCCCAGCAGTGGAATTGCAGGGTCAAAAGGCAGATCCATTTTAAGTTTTCTGAGGAAGTTCCATACTGCTTTCCATAGTGGTTGTACCAGTCTGCAGTCCCACCAACAGTGCACTAGGGACCCCTTTTCTCCACAACCTCTCCAACACTTGTTGTTTGTTGCTTTGTTTATGATGGCCATTCTGACTGGTGTGAAGTGGTTTTAATCTGCATCTCTCTGATAGCTAGCGATATTGAACATCGTTTCATGTGTCTTTGGATTTTCTGTATGTCCTCCTTGGAGAAGTGTCTGTTGAAGTCCTTTGCCCATTTTTTAAATGGGTTATTTGTCTTCGTAGAGTGGAGTCGTGTAAGTTCTTTATATATTTTGGAGATTAAACCCTTGTCTGAGGTATCATTGGCAAATATGTTTTCCCATACAGTTGGTTCTCTTTTTATTTTGATACTGTTTTCTTTAGCTGTGCAAAAGCTTTTTTATTTTGATGAGGTCCCATTTGTTTATTCTTTCCTTTATGTCCCTTGCTCTAAGAGACATGTCAGTAAAAAAGTTTCTGCGTGAAATATCTGAGATTTTCCTGCTTACGTTCTCTTCTAGGACTTTAATGGTGTCACGGTTTATATTTAAGTCTTTTATCCACCTTGAATTTATTTTTGTATAAGGTGTAAGTTGGTGCTTGAGTTTCAATTTTTTACACGTAGCTGTCCAGTTCTCCCAACACCATTTGTTGAAGAGGCTATTTTTATTCCATTCTATGTTGCTGCTTCCTTTGTCAAATATTAATTGACCGTAGAGACTTGGGTTTATTTCTGGGCTCTCTGTTCTGTTCCATTGGTCCATGTGCCTGTTTTTATGCCAGTACCAGGCTGTTTTGATTATAGTGGCCTTTTAGTATAGTTTAGTGTCAGGTATTGTGATCCCTCCTACTTTACTCTTCTTTCTCAAAATTGCAGCAGCTATTCAGAGTCGTTTATGGTTCCATATAAATTGCTGAAGTGTTTGTTCTATGTCTGTGAAATAAGCCATTGGTACTTTAATAGGTATTGCATTGAATGTGTAAATTGCTTTTGGTAGTATGGACATTTCGATGATATTAATTCTTCCAATCCATGAACACGGTGTATGTTTCCATTTGTTTGTGTCTTCCTTGATTTCTCTCCTCAGTGTTATGTAGTTTTCTGAATACAGGTCTTTTACCTCTTTGGTTAGGTTTGTTCCTAGGTGTTTTATTTTTCTTTTTGCTATTTCAAATGCGATTTTTTTCTTGATTTCTGTTTCTGCTGTTTCATTGTTGGTGTACAGAAATGCCTTTGATTTCTGGATATTGACTTTGTATCCCGCTATTTTGCCAAATTCATTTATTAGGTCAAGCAGTTTTTTGGTGGAGTCTATAGGATTTTCTATGTACACTGTCATGTCATCTGCAAACAGTGACAGTTTTGTTTCCTCCTTTCCGATTTGGATTCCTTTTATTTCTTTTTCTTGTCTGATTGCTGTGGCTAAAACTTCCAGTACTATATTGAATAGAAGTGGTGAAAGTGCACATCCTTGTCTTGTTCCTGTTCTTAGTGGAAAAGATTTTAATTTTTGCCCATTGAGTATAATGTTGGCTGTAGGTTTCTCATATATGGCCTTTATTATGTTGAGGAATGCTCCCTCTGTTCCCACTTTGCTGAGTGTTTTTATCATAAATGGGTGCTGTACCTTATCAAATGCTTTTTCTGCATCTATTGATATGATCATGTGTTTTTTGTCTTTGCTTTTGTTTATGTGATGTATTACAGAAAGTAAATAAATAAAATCTTAAAAAAAAGAAAATTAAAAAAAATTTTAAATAAAAATAAAAGATTAAATTTAAAAAGTAAATAAAATAATTTTTATTGATTGATTTTATAGAGAGATGAAGGAGAGAGGGAAACATCAATTTGTTATTCCACTTATTTATGCATTCATTGGTTGCTTCTTATATGTGCCCTGATGGGATCAAACCTGCAACCTTGGTATCAGGACAACACTCTTAACCAACTGAGCTACCCTGTCTGGCTGTTTTATGGCAAAAGTGACTAACTCAATGGTAAAGGCTAAGGAGTCATTATCTCCCAATGCACAGTGTAGGAAGGTTGTGCTAAGATAATATGAGATATATGGATGCTAAAAGTAATCTTATTTGTAACTCTCTTCCTCCAGTGGCTTTCCAGTGTGCTTAGAATAAAATCCAAATTCCTTATCTTGGCTAAACATAATCTCACCTCATTTACCATCCCTCCCTGGTTGCTGTATTTTTCCACAGATAGGCCAAGCTTTGTCTGTTTCCAACTCCAATCTTCACATGACTAGTGCTGCTTGTCATTTATATGGTTGCTTAAAAGTATTTCCTCAGAGGGCTTCCTTACTGTCAAGTCATTCTGCCACATTAGCCTGTTCTTCATCACAAGAACTTTTCTCTAACTAGGATTGTATCTCCTTGAGAGCCAGTGCCTTTTCTGTACTGTAGATGGCTCTATCCACAGTTTAGAGCAATATCTGATACATGGTAGGTGTTTAAATACTTGTTGACCAAATTTGTTAATGTACTTTTTAATTGACTTTGGAGTTCTAGGACAAGTAATACTGATAGTGGGCAATTATACTGATGATACTGTTGGGAATTTAGGAGGATGGGGTGGGGAAGTCCAATATTTATTTACTAGGCTGGGAGGAAACACAACGGTCATGAGTAAATAAAATTAATAAATATTTTAGAGTAAAACTGCTTCTCTGAGTAAAAGTAATTTTTTATATAACCTTTATGAAATTAAAGTGATTTGAAGATGAACTAGCTTGTCAAATATTGAACTATTTCTTTTTCTTTTTCTTTTTCTTTTAGTCATTTCAGCAAAACTTAAAGAAAATAAAAAGAATTGGTTTGGACCAAGTCCTTATGTGGAAGTCACAGTAGATGGACAGTCAAAGAAGACAGAAAAATGTAACAATACAAGCAGTCCCAAATGGAAGCAACCCCTTACAGTGTAGGTTTGAAAGTATTTTCTACAGTATGTTTTGTTTAGTAGGTGAGCAAAAATGTAGCTTGAGAAAAATTTCTCACTTGTTTTCTTTGCTTCTTTCCTCTCTCATCTTTTTCCCCTGTCCTAGAACTCCTTTTTTTTAGCCCCCTTTTTGTTTTCTTCAGATATTTCTGTTTTTCTAGTCTCTCTTGTTCTTTACTTTCTCCAGTTTAGTTGATGATGGTATCATTATTGCCCCTGAACAGCAGCTGGGTGAGCCCATGGTCATGAACCATTCTTAGTACCTCTTTCCTTAACTTAGGAAATAGAGAGCTATGAGTAACTCAGTTTAATTTTTAAAAATAACTTGTCTCTTGTTTTTGTTTCTTAATTACAATGCCCACACAGAAACTACATAGGGATTTTCTTCCTTTAAAAATAAATTACACTATGTATTTTATTCTGCAACTCTGTTTTTACACTTAGCATATATAACATGGTTATCTGAGTATATACCAGTCTAATTTCTCTTATATAGCTACATAATATTCCTTAATATGGATAGACTGTCACTTAATTTACTAGTTCTTATTGATCAACTAGTTTCTAATGTTGTGCTTTTAGACACTGTTAAAACATATATCTGTGTGCATATATCGGTGTTCTCCCTAGTATGAATTCATAGAAGTAGGAACCAGTTTCAACACTCATTGACAAAGCCCCAAAAGTTGGTATTGAGCACTCACTGTAGGAAATTACAGGTTGATTTTAACTATTTTTATTAAAATGAAAGGAAAAGTATGATTTATTAACAAAAGAATTTTAAAATAATAGTGCATTTTTGGTTTGGGGACCAAATATATACAAAAGTGTAGTGCAAATGTTACTAATTGTCACATCAAATATACACAAATTGCTTTTATTACCTAACATTTGGAGTTCTTGTATTTTTTTTTTCCCTCAGAGAAATAAACTAGTGACTAAAAAAAAAATTTTATTTCTAAATGGTCAGATGAAACATTTAAAATTATAAACTCTTTTCTTCACATGATATATGTTTATGTGATTAGTATTTATTCCTAATAAATGACAAAAGAAATTGGATATACCTATATTATTCTTTCACATGGATTTTTGAAGGCCTGAGGCAGCTTAATGTACTTCATGATGATTTTTTTATGTATATTTTTTAAGATTTTATTTATTTTGCCCTAGCTGGCATAGCTCAGTGGATTGAGCGTGGGCTGTGAACCAAAGCATCGCAGGTTCAATTCCCTCTCTCTCTCTTTTATTTATAAAATAAATAAAAATATTAAATAAATATTAATATATTAATATTATATGAATAGTGTATATAATATTAATGTATAATATAAATATATCATATTATATAATGTTAATATAAATATAAATAAATAAATGATAAATAAATAAAAATATTTTATTTATTTTATAGAGGGGGAAGGGGAGATAGGGAGAGAAACATCAGTGTGTGGTTGCCTCTCATGTGGGCCCCACTGGGGACCTGGCCTGCAACCCAAGCGTGTGCCTTGACAGGGAATCGAACTGGTGACCCTTTGGTTCGCAGTCCACGCTCAATCCACTGAGCTACACCAGCCAGAGCACTTCATGATTATTTTGAGTAAATGAATGAAATTCAAGAATTCTCTGAAGATCATCTTGAGGCCTATTTGCAGAAGTATTCTAACGTTGCTCATCTGTATTCATTTCAACATTAATTTTCTTAGGCTTTGTTTTTAATTAATGGCTCATTAGAGATTGAATCTAAATTAAACAATTATGAATAAAAATTTAAAAAATCAAATGAAATTTATAAAATTTCATAGCCTCCATAATGACTAGAGATGTTCAGCAGAATAATGGACTGAATGCTAGTCATCTTTCTGTCAGCTGCTATCTGTGCTCACTAGATCCACACTTTGAGACTCTTAAGCTGATAATGACATGAACTCCTCCTTAGTGGTTAAAAAGTTAAGAAAAAAGAAACTTTCCTTGTAGCCCCATATGGTAGGTAGTGCTGTTATTGAGCCCAGATGTTTGGGGGAAGATGTAGTTCACTTTCTTCTCCTGAATTTTTAATTTGCAGCAGATTGGCCTGTGATTTTTAACACAGCTTCCATTGCTATATAGCAGACTTTACAAATTTCTGTCTAGAATTGAATTGAAATGATTTACATAAGATCATCTGTGATAGTATACTTGATCCTGTCTCTAATTAAAGTAAAATTAAATTTATTACCTCTTTATATCTCCAGTATGATTTCCCAGATGATTAATAGAGAAATGTTTTCCTGCTATATACTATGTTCTTCTGAAAGTAACATTTAAGAAATTTGAAGAGAATGAATACATTGTACTCCCCCAACCACCACCAAAAAAAGAGAGGCAAAGTTAAAGTAAAAATTTTTTAGTTTGTTTAAAATACCTGTTATTAAAATGATGGTGGAAATATGATGATGGAGTTACAGGATAGGCAGACTTACAAAGAGGAAGGTATTTATTTGTCCCCCCAAATTCGATCACATTTTAGAGAGAATGAGGTATAGAGCAATTGAAAGATTTCAAGAATTTGCCTTTATAGCACTGAACCATATGACTATAGTAGATTATATGGTGTTCCTGTTTTTCTAATTGATGACTCTAAAATAGTTTGAATACAATTTATTGCTAATACAAATTTCCCAAAGTTTGCTTTGGAAATTACCATTACAGATAGCATTCTTTATTGGCATTTAGCATGGTATGAGTTAATCAATATATGACATTTGTCCTAGACACTTTGCCTCTAGTAGTGTGAAACTTGAGGTTTCACAATATAATCCTCAAATCATCATTGTGTAGCTGACTAACATTTTAATATAATTTAATGATAGGCCTTTGTTTAGATTATAGTCTGCCACTAACTGTGATGTTGGGCAATTTGCTTAACCGGTTTGAGTATCAGTTTTTTTATCTGAAGATTGGGGTGCCAAGTTCCATCTCCTAGGGTTGGTTTGAAAATTAAATGAAGTAACCTCAAGTTTAGCATACTACCTTAGATAAAATAAGGATTTAATTTATAAATTCACTTTTTTATACCACTATATAGTTTTCCAACTGTTTGTAGCATGATGAGCAGTTTCGCTTTTGTTGATGATACATGGGTGAAGTTGCCCCTGTAGTTCAATGATCATGCCAGCATGTAACATTCAGATGTTTTTCATAAGATTGTAGAATATAGGCAATATTGGTTGAACAGTAAACTATGAGGGGAGCAGTAAGATTTTAGACATTAAAACTTAATTGTAGTTTACATAGCATCCCATTGTGATACTTAATGAAAACAATTTTTCACCTTTCTTCATTTTTAGTATCGTCACCCCAATGAGTAAATTACATTTTCGTGTATGGAGTCACCAGACACTGAAATCTGATGTTTTGTTGGGAACTGCTGCATTAGATATCTATGAAACATTAAAGTCCAACAATATGAAACGTATGTATGTAAAATAGAAATTGTGCTCAGTTTTTTTTCCCCCTGTAAGAAATTCATATGCCAAACATACAGAATAATTATGTTCACTAATTGTTTTTAAGTTTACTTGGTTATATATTAATAGGGAGAAGAATCTTGAACTATTTAAAGCATTCTGGGTAACTCTGGTTTGACCATTCATTTTGGATCCAGTATTTTAAAGAAATATTTACCTAGTAAATAGATATTCATTCAAGTACTACATAACTCAATTATGGAAAACTATAAGGTAGAGAGCAAAGATGAAGGAAAAAAATTCCACTTAAGTGAGACAAATATAATTAATATGTTGGCAGATTTCCTTTTCCAAATGCTCATTTCAAAAATTTCCTCATTTTAGATTTTTTAAAATTTATGCATGGTGAGGGAAAGTAGATTTACAGTTATTCATAATGGAAAATAATAAAATGTTAAATAATACAAGAATAAACTGTTTCATGTGCTTACAACTGGAAACCTACTTTTGCCCCACTTTGTATGTGTGTATATAAATACAGAGATATATAAAAACTGGAAACATACTTGTTTTGATTAATATATTACCGTATTTTGGGGACTATAAGATGCATCCCCCCAATTTGGGAGGAATAATGGTTGTTAATACTGCCATTGAGTTCTGTTTACATTGACATTGGTGAAATATTATGTTATTTATGTTATTAAATATTTTACCACATTTTTTGCTTCAAAAATTTTTTCCTGTTTTCCTCCTCTAAAACCTAGATGCATCTTATGGTCTGAAAATACGGTATGATTAATATGTCATGATTTTTAAAATATATTTTCAATCCCTTGACTATCTAAAACATTGTAAGAATTTTATTTCTCATTTAGAACTTAAGAGATATAATTGATTGTGGGTTTTTTTGTTTTTGTTTTTAAGATTATATTTATATACTTTTAGAGGGAAGGAAAGGGAGGCAGAAAAAGAGGGAAAGAAACAGCAATGTGCAAGAAATACATTGATCACTAGCCTCTCTCACACTCCCAACTGGGGACCTGGCCTGCAACCTAGGCATGTGCCCTGACTGGGAATCAAACCAGCAACCTTTGAGTTCGCCGGCCTGCACTCAATCCACTGAGCTACACCACCCAGGGCTAATCTGTGGTTAAGTGATACATTTTAGTCAGTATTATTCAGGCCCATTGCTGAATAATCTTGATTGTTCTGCTGGCTCATTTTATACAAGGATGGAATGTGGACAAGGGGCAATTCCCCCCCAAAATCCAGAATTATCTTCTGGAGGGCAGGCTCCTTGTAGTACAGGCTTTTCCCAGTAGGTGAGTGTTCTAGGAACCCATCTGTATCAGTATGTTAGCTGACATTATTGTGAGAGGCTGCTTTTGGCTTCAGTGATTTTTTTTTTTCCCCTGAAGATTCTTTCATGGTGAGTGATTTACCCATCTTGTCCCTGGTGATGTGGGGTTTTTTTGTTTGTTTGTTTTTGTTTTTGTTTTTGTTTTTGCCTGAATGAAGAAAGTCCTCAGTGGGAAACATTTTGCCCATGTAGAGGAGGTGAAACAAAAAGAAACAGCAAAACACTAAAAGGCCTCAAAACTGACAAATGCAAAAACTGTTTTGAGCAGTGGAAAAAACATCTCGATAGGTGTATGGCATCAAATGGAGAGTAGTTTGAGGATGACTGAAGTTGAAGCATATAAGAATAAAAACACGATTTTTTATAAATAAATTTCAGGTTTTTTTGGTCCCCCCTTGCATAATAAATGAGATGATTGAGCTATTTATTTAGCATTATGAATATTAAACATCAGCAAATTCTGTTCTATTTCTAAAATGTTTAATTGGCATAAATCCTGAAACCTTGGGTGAAGAATATTAAGACAAATGTATTTTTTTCTCACATTGTTTTTTAACAGTTATGATGACTTTAAAGGAAAGTAAAAGTGACCATTATGTAGATATTTTTCTGACATTAGTTTTTTAACAGTTAAGATGATTTAAAGAAAATAAAGTGACCATTTGTCCTGTAATTTATTCTCTTCCAGTTGAGGAAGTAGTTGTGACTTTACAGCTTATAGGTGACAGAGAGCCAACAGAAACAATAGGAGACTTGTCAGTGTGTCTTGATGGGCTGCAATTAGAGTCTGAAGTTGTTACCAATGGTGAAACTGCATGTTCAGAAAGTAAGTAATTATCTTTTTAAAAAAGAAAAGATTTTATTTATTTTTAGAGAGAGGGGAAGGGGAGAGAGAGACAGGAAAATATCAATCAGTTACCCCTCACATGTCCCCAGTTGGGGACCTGGCCTATAATCTAGGCACGTGCTCTGACTTGGAATCGAACTGGTGACCTTTTGGTTCAGAGGTGGGCGCTCAGTCCACTGAGCCACAAGAGCCAGGATGTAAGTAATTATTTTTTGTATAGGATCTTTAATGATTCTTTTTGCCACTCTAGTATGCTATATATAATTTTTACTCTTCACATTAAAGAAATTTCCTTTTTAAAAAGAGATACTGATAATTTTAAACATTCTACTTTTAGTGCTTTGTTTCTACGAATAAAACATTTTTCTATAAGTTGAAAGGTTACCCGAATAAAAGTTGAACTACAATTGGCCCTGTGGGTAATAAATTGATTTATTAAGTATTTATTCTCTAGGCCAACAATAGCAGTTAATGTGGCATATGGCAGACATAGTTTTTTGTCTGTAGCAGTGTGTGGTTGAGTTTAAATTTAACTGAAAAATTCTTCTTTGTACCAGACAACCAAAACAAGCTTAAATTTATTTGCCACTTGTCTTCTATTTCTGTAGGTTAAATTTACAGAGATATCTTCGTGTTATAATAATGACAAAACCAATTCATTATATGTATGTTGATATATCTTACAATTTATGATTTACTAGTATTTGTTAAAGGGAATGAACGTGAACTATAAATTGAAAGAAGTTCGATGGCACCCAAGTTGTGCCTGCTGAGCTAGCATGCTTAATAAAACTACTTTCCAGTGGATTCTCTTTAGATATTTCCATCACTTTTCTTGTGCTAACAGTATTTTTCCTTGAAACAGATTTTATAGGCTGCAACACAGAGAACAGACTAATGGTTTCCTTGATTAGTCTGACAAAGATCTTTTTGTTTACTTAGAAACTGCATTATGAAACATTTTGTGATTGTTGGGTGCTCTTATTCTTCTGTTTCTACTTTGGAAGACTTCCTACTTCTTTAACTCATGACCTTTTTTAATAGCAGGATCTTCCAGATGGTCCTGGTGTATCTTCCAGATTGGTTCTTTTGGGTAAATGAAAGTGAAGTTTCTGAAATGGTCATACTGCTTCACAGTTGATATGTTCATTTTAATTGGCAGCAATTTATGGGAACTCTGTAATAGTTACATTTTTCTTTAAAGTGGAGTTCTAGAATATATAGGTTAAGTTACATTGTTAAACTGCTCTAAACCTCAGTTTTTACAGCTTCCTAAGTTTTATCTCCTACAAATTTGAAACTATCATTAGTTCAGAATATTAATAGTTAACAAAAATAAGGTATGTCAGTGTTCACATTTCAGAGTAGAATCTAAGCTGCTTATTTATATTTAAGACTTTATTGTTTATTTTCTACAGAAGTGGACATTTCTGTGCCATCCGTTTTCTGCTCAAGGAGGAAAATAATTGGCAGAATTTAACATGATTCCTTGAAGTAAAATGGTTTTAACTGGGAAGTCACAGTGGATTTTAGGGTTAGGGTTGCCAGATAAAATAGCTAGGTTTTTTTTGTTTGTTTTTTTGAATGCTTACCATGTGCCAGGTACAATGTTGGGTGTGTTTACACACATACTCACTTAACCATCACAATCTTGTAAGGCATTATATTTCCTTTCCTTTCCAGTACACACTTAAAATCTAGCAACTTTAAATTACATCATGAGTTGGTTGTGAGCAAACAAAACTCAGTTCAGCCTACAAGCAGTGTGGTGGGAACTGCACTTGCATTTTCCTTTAATTGGTTCCATTTCTGTAACTTGAACTGCAAGCCAGAAATGAAAAGTAGAGTTTAGCACTAAAATTGAATTTCTGCTACCTGGGCATTGTTTGATGGGACTAGAACTGGGGCGGGGGGTATGGGTAGAGGCGTAACTTTTGTATTCTCATATTTTTATAATGTTATAGGTTTTTAGATTTTTTTCCCCCTGAACATATTCAGTCAGAAGTCTGTGGAAGAACACATAGATAGGAGGGTTCTTATAATAAAATCTGTTCTTGTAGACTTTGGTATTTTTGGTTAATTAGGTAATATTTATAAAAAGAATCATTGTCTGAATTTTGGTATAAAAAATAACCAAGTAATATAGCTTGCAATTATATTTGGATATACTGTGAACATTGGATTTTCCCAATGAGAGAGACATTATGTCTTTTGGTACTTATGAGTTTTGGGTTCATTCTTTTCGGTGGATAAATTTTCTAAAGATGACAGTTATATAACTAAACCTTTTCCAAGTGAAACAAAATTTACTCAGCATTTTTGTTTGTTCTTCCTACTTTTCTTCCAACTTTATTTAAAACCAGAGCACTCCCATGTTCTCACTTTCCCTACCCCAACCCTCACTCAGGGAATAAGTTTAACATCCAGCTGAGAGTCTCAGTTGTAATGTTTTGATGCTCTTTCTTATTTCACTGATTTAGAAAGTAACTACATAATTTGCTCAGATGTTTTCCTCTACTTAAGTGCAGAATTAATCTGCTTTTGTAAGTCTCTGGGAAGAAGCCTTTATTTAATTTGCTAGTTGGTAGACTTATTGCTGTATCCCTTAGATATATCAGTAAATTAACTCAGCAAACTGAGTGAGCAGTTCCTGTCTACAACTTCCCATTCATTTGTTTTTAGTTCTTGGGTGGGTGGTAGTGGAGTGTTAGTTTAATACCTGTCTTTCCAAATAGGACATCTAACAAGAAACACCGAAAATTATTGTTGTCAAAGACATTATTTTTCCTAAAGAGAAATTTTACTGTTAAATTTATTATTATAAAATAGGAGCTTATTCTTGTGAAGATCTATATTCTATACCATGTATACTCTAGAAATGTATCTAAAATTAATTTAGGACTGTCTTGGCATATGTGACCCCTGGTTTTATTATATATGTTCCATTTCATTTTGACTTTATTTTATTCTTTCTTGCATTGGACTTTCTTGCATTAATTTTAGGCTCAGTAGCCATTTTCAGTGTGAATATATCTATAATATTCTTTACCAGTATACTAAAATCTAAGAAATAAGCCTAAATTTTTTGATTTACCAAATATTACTTGAAATTACCAGATTTCAACTGAATCTGGGTACCAACAAATTGTTTTTATTGATTTAAAAGACAGATAGACATCAGTTTTTTTGTTCCACTTATTTATGCATTCATTGGTTGATTCTTGTCTGTGCCGTGACCAGAGATCAAACCCAAAACCTTGGTGTATCGAGAAGACACTCTAACCAACTAAGCTACCAGGCCAGGACCCCAACTAATTGTTTCATAGACAGAAACTTTGCTATACTGGTATTTTAAAAATTTGACTTACATTTAAACATTTTCATGTATGCCCATAATATTAACTAACTTACCTTCCCCCAAAAGCCAATAAACTGTCCTTTCCACACTTTTATATTTCTACCTTACTTTATCAGTGCTACTTTAAAAATCCAAGTATTAAAGCTATAATAAGGTCATTGGTAGTTTTAACAATACTGTGTTCATTCATTTTTGCAATTTAGAAAGGGCTTTGATTTATACTCATATTTAAAACATAGCAGATATTTTCACATTTAATATGTGTAAAATATAAACCAGCGTAATAAAATGACCGCCATGAACTACCACATACCTTAAGAATTAGAACATTAACAGTGTTATTATGTCCATCTGTAATTTCTTCCCTATATCATTCCTTTATTTCCCCTAAGATAATCACTATTCTGAATTTTGAATTTATCATTTTCTTGTTTTAAAATTTTTTTAATTACATATGTCACCCTCAACAGTGTATTTCTTGAGTTCTATGAAAATGTTGATGTAGCCCTGGCTGGCATAGCTCAGTGGATTGAGCGTGGGCTGCGAACCAAAGCATCGCAGGTTCGATTCCCAGTCAGGGCACATGCCTGGGTTGTAGGCCACAGCCCCCAGCAACCGCTCATTGATGTTTCTCTCTCTTTCTCCCTCCCTTCCCTCTCTAAATAAATAAATTAATTAATTTTTAAAAAAGAATGGAATCTCTCGATTCCCTCACAAAAAAATATTGATGTTGCTTTTTATGATTTAACCATGTTACTGTATATATAACTAATTTATTTTCACTGCTGTATACTAATCTGTTGGGTGAATATGCAATAGTTACCCATTTTTTATGTCAAAGGACATTTGGATTGTTTGTCGTTTTTTTGCCTTATAAATATATAGTGATATATTGGACATTTTTGCATTTATATTATATATTTATATGTCTCCCGATACACAGGTTCAGGAGTATACTATGTAGGATATATATTTGGGAGTGAAATTGTTGGAATATGATGATATGTGCATTTTCAGTTTTATAGCATTGTTTCTTCAAATATGCTTTTTTTGTTGTGATTCTTTTAATTAAGGTGAAATTTGTATAGCATACAATCAGCCTTATAATGTGTAAAGTTCAGTGGCATTTAGTGTATTAACAGTAATATGTATTTACCACCTCTCTCTAATTTCAAAACTTTTCCATCACCCCAGGGGAAAAAAAACTACTCCCCATTACCTCCTCTCCCCCATCACCTGGTAATCTTTAATCTGCTTTTTTCTATGTGGATTTGCCTATTCTGGATATATCATAAATGAGGAGTCATACAGTATCTGACCTTTTGTATATGGATTCTTTTATTTAGCTTAATGTTTTTATCCAAATCAGCACATATATCAGTATACTTTCTTTTTGTAGCTGAATAATATTCCCGAATGTGTGTGTATGCCACAATTTATTTATTTATTCATCCACTGGTGGACATTTGTCTCATTTCTACTTTTTGGTTACTAAGGACTTATAAATGATTCTGCCGTAATCATTTGTATACAACTTTCTTTGTACATGTTTTCATTTCTCTTGGGTATATACCTCAGAGTGAATTTGCTGATGCTTGTTTTTGACAGTTTCTTGTTTCTTCATAATTTTCTTTTGCTATGTAGTTTTTTTTACATTCTCTATTTGAAAATTACAGTATTAGAAATCTTTGGAGATGTAAATGTTATATGTCTCTTCTTTATTGAGGTTTTCTTATGTGTTTGTTGCTCTTTGATTGCAACTTTTTATTTGATCTTAGTCTGTAGGAATCTTAAGGGCCTAAACAGGGGATTCTTTGCTCCAGAGAACATTTATTTTGCATCTGCTAGTGCCAGGGATTGCCACCTATCTGGGAAAACTTGAATTCCTTTCCAGGATCCCTAGCCTAGTGTGACTGTCTGTGGGACAGCCCCCTCACTTTGCTGCTAACCCAAGCTCTTCTTTCTGATCCATCTCAGAACTGATATTAGCTCTTAGACTCAGAGCATCCCTTTCTTTCACATTTGCTTAGTGCATCCTGGTCCTGTTCTGGTATTGATTCACTTGTTTGTTTTTCTTTTGAGATTGCTCAATACCCAGGAAATAGGAACAGTGTGTTAAATTATTTCATTTAAGAGCTAGTTATTTTGTAACCAGAGGGCCCTTTTGAATAGCTCACTGAATAGATGAGATCTTGGTGGATCTTCCAAAGTGACCTGTGGATAAAATGTTTGCATTTAGAAATATGATCAGTTTTTCTTGAGGAAATTTTGATTGGGAATACTTTAAAGAGCAATATATTTGTAAAAAAATGCAAACCTTAAGTACAGGCATTGCTCTCTTGGACATTGCTTGTATAAGTGTCAGATATTTTATACGCGAATGTGTGTTTTTAAACTGTTCTCTGGATGAAAGCACAGGACTAGATCTAAATAACTTATGCCATAATTGATAGTGATGGCTTCACTCTATATTGAAGCAAAATAAAAGATTGAACAAAAAATGGCCATTGTTCAAACTGCTGATGAGATGTAAATTGTGAGAAATAATATAATAGCTAATATTTATGGAGTGTATTTTATATGTGCTTGCCAGTGTTCTACATCTTTATGTTTAATTCTTACAGCTGTTCTAATACTATATTTTATCTATTCATCTCTACCAATTTTTAAAATGTAATATTTCTCAACTAGATGAGATACTTGCCAACCTTGCTGTATAGTATAGTGGTGACTCAGCATCTCTTTAAGGAGTTAATCTGTTGATTATGATTTGGAGTAATATAGTGATGATTTCTCTGTTTGAAATTAGGACTGTTTTCATAGGGACTATTGTTCTTTAACTAAATAGACCTAGACTGTTAAATTTGAGTTCTTATTTATGCATTTTATAGTTTTTCCCTCTCTGTTTTTATGGCAGCGTGCTTATATCTAGCAGCCTCTTCCTAATGTTTTATAGTATACAGGCTCTTACTGAATTGTGGGCGTACTTCCCATGGATAAAATTTGAAGAAAGTGTGAACATTATGGCATTCCTTTTGGTTGCTTTAAGATCCATTTGTGCCTTTTCCATTCTTGAAGCTGTTTTCCAGGCCCTAGTATAAGAGAGATGTTACTGGTTTTTCTGTTTTCAGAGTCTATTTTATTAATCATTCTACTGGCGATCAGGACTTTTTTGTAAGGCATTTGGACTACAAAAAATGGCTAAAATAACTAGATTTACATTAGAGTCAAGCAAACATGCTTCAAGAAGGCAGAAGTAGCCCAGGAGTGATATACATTGACTAATTAATATCTCTTACACATAATCATATGCGTAAAATGTTGGTAAGACTTTTCTTATTTCAATCATATGAACATTTATCACAGTTTCTTTTCAAATGTCATGTTGGAATTTAAGTTCTAGTACCTTTTTTCTAGAAAGATTCAATAAAAGGCTTTGTTTACATAGCATATTGAGAAAAAACATGAAAACCACTTTTGAAACTCATTTTCCATCTAAATTTTATTGCTGTTAGGTGCTTCACAGAATGAAGATGGCTCTAGACCCAAGGATGAAACAAGGTAAGAGTTTACTTATTGCTTATCAAGAAAGCAGGAGAGAGATGGGGAAAATTAATAAATATTTATTTTAGTCAAAACTTCAAGTTCATATTGATAGAAGAATAAATAAGTTTCAAAAAATTCAGGGCCCAAGGTAAGAAAGGGAATATTTATAAAGGTTTCAGGACTCTTAGGTGTAGGAAGATGAACCACAGAAGCAGTAGTCAGAAGAGGTGAAGAATCAGAAAAACAGTGTCACAGAACATAAGGGAAAATCTAGAAAGATGAGTTTATTATAGTGTCAGATACTTCAAGGGAGAATAGGTGGAACAAGTAGAACAAATGAGGGTTGTTGAAGCTGAGTTGATAGGGGCATGGGAATTTGTTATGGTTGTCTGTTTACTTTTGTAATGTATAAAAATTTTATAATAAAAAATTTTAAAAATACAACTCATTAAGATCTTTAGGAAAATCACACTTTACAAAGCTATTGTGTTTTACCTAATAGATTTCTGCCTTCAGAGTCAGTCCTGTGACAAAGAATCATCTCCTATACTAATCTCACAAGAAGTGTAGAATATTAAGGAGTGATAACTTCTTGGCCAGAGAAAAATATCTATTTTATTTCTCATTGGAAATAAAAGCAATAGAAAAGGTTTTGTGGTGTGTGTGTGTGTGTGTGTGTGTGTGTGTGTGTGTGTAGAGAGGGAGGGAGGAAGGGAAGGGAGAGAGAGAAACAGTGATCGGTTGTCTCGCCCTTACTGGGACTGAACCCACAACCTAAACATGAACACCAACTAGGAATCGAACCCATGACCTTTCGTTTTACAGGACAGTGCTACAACCAACTGAGCCACACCAGCCAGGACAGAATAGTTTTTAAAATTACATACATGTTTCTGTGGACTAACTGGAAGACAACTATGCCTCTTGTGCCTCTTTTTAGTTTTATGTTTAATAAAAGATTTCTTGAGTTCCTGAAAGTTTTCCCATAAAAATGTTTTACTATTTCAGTTTACTTTGACCAATTAATTCCTCTTTTGTATAGTAAACCTGTATTTTTGCATTAATAAGTGGTAATGTTATAGAATTTTGTATACCCATTGAAAGGTTCTGTTATGCGACTCTTTTGTTTCGTTTTTGCAAACCTCTCTCTTAACAATACTCTATGAAACCACTCTCGACATATATATATTTCTTGCAAAGGCATTGTTATAGGTCTTAATTCATACCATTTATTTAATCAGTGCTTCAGGAGTGTCCAACCTTTCAGTGTCTTGGGGCCACATTACTAACGAAAACAGAAAAAAAATCTCATAATGTTTTAAGTAAATTTATGATTTTGTTTTGGGCTGCATTCATAGCCATCTGGGCTTCAGGTTGGATACCCCTGCTACATCTTCCCAAGTGAATCGTTATAAGTAATCTGAATAACGGTGTCTTCTAGGTTTCTGAGGCTGCCAGACTAGTCTTTGAGCATGTGGGGGTTTTTTTTATTTATTTTTTTAATCCTCACTCGAGGACATATTCATTGACCTTAGAGAGAGAGGAAGGGAGAGGGAGAGAGAAACATTGATCTGTTGCATCTTTTATGCAACCTGACCAGTGATCGAACCTGTGCCCTAGGTATGTGCCCTGACCAGGGATTGAACCCAAAACCTTTTGGTGTGTAGGATGAAGCTCCAACCAACTGAGCCACTTGGCCAGGGCTGAGCATGTCTTGTATGTTAAGCATGAATTCCTTTGCATTAGCTTTTGTTTTAGAGAGCATGTTGCTGAGATAATTGGTTTGAAAAGCATTTTGTAAACTGTCAAATGCTGTTTAAATGTTACTACACATAACTATGACCATGGCTGGTTTTTCCTCTTTGCTTTTATTTGCAGACTTCATAAGTATATGACTAAAGAGCAGTACAGTATATATTCAATGAACAATGTCTTCTACTCCTCCCTGTCCCAACTATCATATAAGAAGTTTGTTGAACAGTTTTATGTTGTTTTACCTTTTTGTCCTAGTTCAAGCAATATGTGTACGGGGGGAGGGGGGTAGCAAAAAACCCCTTGGACTTTATTTATCAAAAAATTGTGTATTTATTCTTACACGTTTCAACTTCAGTCACCTTCAAAGTGCTCTCCATTTGATGCATACACCTGTTGAGATGTTTTTTCCACTTCTCAGAACAGTTTTTAAATTTGTCATTTTTGATACCTTTTAGTGCTTCTGCCATTTTTTGTTTCACTTCTTCCACATCTGCAAAACATTTCCCATTGAGGACTTTCTTCATCCAGGGAAACAAACAAAAAAGTTGCTTGGGGCAAGATCAGATGAATAGGGAGAGTGGGGCATGGGGTTCTTGCTGCTTTTGGTCAAAAACTGCTCAATACTCAGCGAGGTATGGGCAGATATGCTTGTAAATCACCCATCATGAAATGGGCAAACACATTGAAAGAGTCTTCTAAAAAATTAACTGAAGCCAAACTCAGCCTCTTACAACAATGCCAGCTGGTACACTGATGCAGATGGGTTCCTAGAACACTCACCTAGCCAAGGAAGCCTGTACTACAAGGGGCCCATCCTCCAGAAGATAATCCCGAGGTGTGTGTGTGTGTGTTTTGGGTCCCCGCTTGTATCATAAATGTAGTCTTGTTGGTCTGCTTTCCCCCATACATGTTGGGATGTTTTATATTTCTTAGTGTTGTCTTGTCATTTTTGTGAAGTATCAAGATGATTGGTCTCTGATGTTCAAGATTTTGTTGTTAGATGTGCTTTCTTATTTTTTGGTCTGTGTATTAGCATCTTGGTTCTTTATCCTGACCATAAACATCTTATGTGTAGATCAGATATATTATGTATGGTGAGATAAGCAGAGGTTCGTAAGATTGTGGAGCAAAGCTACAGTGGCACATAATTAGTAGCTAATTGCTTTTATCTTTTTTTAATACTTGCCCAAAGATACATTTATTGATCTCGGAGAGAGAGACGGGGGGCAAAGTGGGAAGAGAGCAGGAGAGATGTGAGAAACATCTATAGGTTGCCAGGCTGGGGACTGAACCCATAAGCCAGGTGTGTACCCTGACCAGGAATCAGAGCTGTGATCTTCTGATTCCAGATCAGAATCAACCAATACTCCAACCAATTGAGCCACACATGCCTGGCAATTAGCTAATTGCTTTAAAAGACAGTAGTGTGATGAGTTCACACTGACAGTTCTGTTTATTTAGTGTGTTGGTTTTCAGGATCCCATTTCAGGCTTTAGTTTCATACCTACTTGTTAAAGGAACTAAAACAAAACAATAGTGCTATTTTAGTATAGGCATGTTCCTTAAAGTTTAGCATATATTAGAATTATCTAGAGGACTTGTTCAACCACAGATTGATTGCTAAATCTCATCTTCAGTTCCTGATTTGTTGTACTTCTAGCATAGACTTCAAGATTTGCATTTCCCACCAGTTTCCTGGCGATAGTGATGCTGCTGGGCCAAGATAAAGATGTTTCTTAGATTATGACAAACTATTATGGGAAATCCATTCAGTTATGTAACAAAGTCTGTATCTCGAAAATTCGGGCTTGAAGAATGTGCCAGAAATGTCACTTCATCTTAATCCCTATTCTTCTATTTCCAAGCTAGTTTTAATCTTTTTTCTCTTTTGAACTGTTTTTATTGTTAGAAAAAAAAATACATGATTGTTTTTGAAAATTAAAATTGTATAAAATGTGTAAAAGCTTCATGGAAGAAATAGTATTTGACCTGAGATTATAAAGCATAGCTGTAATTTGGGTGTGCGTGTCTTGGGGGAATTGGAGAGAGGAAGAATTTCTGGGTGGAAAGAAGAAAAACAATCACAAAGGTGGGGAAGAACTCAGGGTGTTTCATTGGAAATCTTTAGTCAGTGTTTAGCTGAAAGAATAATTGAAAGTTGGAAATGGCAGGTAGTAAATCTGAGGGTAGGGTCAATCAATTAATAGTATAATTAAGAATCAGATTACCATAAATAATCTGAGGAACAGTGTCTCCTAGGTTTCTGAGACCTAGAGGACATAGACATTTCTGTGAGGGAGGAAGGTGTCATTTTTATAGGTGATGAGATAATTGAGGCTCCAAAAAGGAAAAGAACTTGCCTGAGTTTATGGTTTAAGTAGCACAGTTGAACCTGGGACTGTCTTCAGAGCCCGAGCTCATAATTATCATGCTTTACTTTTGCCTAAAATGGAATGCTTTTTTTGTGTGTGTGTGTTTAAGTGGGTGCTCAGTCATTAGTAAATGTTAGTTATTTTTAGTATTATAGAAGTTGGAGTTAGATGATGATTTTGGTTTGCAAGTATAGGCTTATAGAGTCTTTCTCTGTGGAGAGGATTGTCTCTAAAAATATTTGAATAGGGCGTCGGTATGATCAAAACTCCACAGCAAAAAATTATTTTATTTGATAGCAGTATGTAGTTTGGATTATGTGGTAGTAAGTGAATGTGGGAAGCTGTGATTCTAGTCCACTGAGGGTTAAAACCAGAGCAGTAGTGGTAGAAGAGTAGAGAGAATGTGGAAGTGAAATCAGTGGAACTTGGTGTCAAGAGGCACAGGAGAGAAAAAAAGTCAGATTGCATGGGGTGACAGCAGTGTCACCTACAAAACCAATGTCTCCTGCATTTAGTTGATAATTTGCTACCAGAGGATGGGAACAAGACAGAGATTAGAGATTCTGATTTGGGAATCATTTTAGAGATAATCTTTGAAATAATGGAATTCAAGACTGTAGGGGAAAATCCATGGAGAAGGAGAAGGAAGACAAGAATAGTACCTTAGGAACTTATATTTAATAAACAAGAGGAAGAGGATAAACTGAATAAGGAATGGTTAGAGTTTAGGGTATAAGATTAGAATAGCATTGTCACAGAAGTCAAGAAGAATGCTTTTAAAAGATGGGTTGTTTAACACTGCCAAATACTGCAGCAGAGAGCAAAGTGTTAGACTCATCAAGCCAGGACTGGCTTGGCCTTCCTTCAGGCAGTTAACACTAACCAGGTCAGGTGCTGACAGTCAGTTACTAAGCTCTCCCCTTTATTCAAAATAAGCATTTGAGGAATTCCTAAAGCAGTTTGTCATACCCTACTATTTACACACATCTGGAGATCCTGTTAAAATGCTAGTTCTGATACAGGTTGAGAGTGGAGTCCAAGGTTGTGCATTTCTAACAGGCTTATGTGTGTTGCCCTTGGCTTCTGGTGCAAAGACCATACTTTAAGAAGAAAGGCTCTAGCCCTGGCCAGGTGGCACAGTTGGAGCATCATCGTCCCATACCCCAAAAGGTTGTGGGTTCAATCCCTGGTCAGGTTACATACCTAGGTTGCAGAGTCTATCCCCAGCCAGGGCACATACGGGAGGCAACTGATTAGTGTTTCTTTCTTGCATCAATGTCTGTCTGTCTGTCTGTCTGTCTGTCTGTCTGTCTCCTCTCTCCCTCCCCTGTCCCCCATCTCTAAAATCAATAAACATAACCTCAGGTGAGGATTTTTTAAAAATTAAAAAAGGAGAAGAAAGGTTCTGAACTACTTCTGGGAACTTAGTTTGAAATCTTTTTACTATTTTAATATGTTTAGGTTTGTTCTAGATCATGGCCCAGGATTATAGATTAATACTGTGTAGTGGTTTATTACTTACCAGATAATAGTTATCAGAGCCTTAGCAGAGACACCTGTAAACTGATAACTCACGGTCTGCTTTTTTTTACTTGTTTTGTTTTGGTTTTGCCTGGGGAGAGAAACATCGATTTGTTGCTTCACCCATCCATGCATTCATTGATTGACTTTTGCTTGTCTCTTGACTGGGGATTGAGCCTACCACCTTGGTGCATTGGGACTACACTCTAACCAACTGAGCTACCTGGCCAGGGCACTCACATTCTCTTTTCTAATCCATGAATAAATTCCCCTTGGGAAACAGAATCAACTATGTTTAGCTGGCAGTAGTAATAAAATTCAAAATGACATTTCCTATTACTGTTCTCTTCCCTTTTTCTTTCCCTCCAGTTGATGTCATTGCTTTGAAGAAATGATAGCTCCTTTTAAAAAAGGTCTTTGGGCACCTCTCCTGTAGATCATTAACTTTGAACATTTTCCATACCATTTACTGGAATTGGGGGAGCACATACCCTGGGAAATAAGTGTACTTCTTTCTCTTGTCATGGGACAGTCAGTCCTGCCCCAACCTAAAAGCCAGTGGAAATCAAGAACATTATGAAGTTATCTGTGCTTGTGATAAAATAGTGTGCCCTTTTCTAAGGCATTTGGGATTTTGAAAATTTGATTATGTTTATGCTTATAAAGGGCCTCAGTATACTTATTTGAAATCTGAACCAGTGTACCTAGTGGTTTTAAATGGCCCCAAGTGGTTCTGTGCCCTGACTCCTCTTACTTTGTTTCTGGATGGGCTCTGAGGGTTATGTATAAGACCCTACCCAAGGGCTGTTGATATATTTAAGGCTAGCCAGAAATTAGAAAGCTTTTCTCAAACTCCTAAAACTTTTCAGTTTTGGTCTTTCTGCTGATTTTTGCTAAATTCAAAGATCATTTCCCACCTTTCCCTTTCTTTACCATCTTCTTATCCAGAGTGAACACAAATGGATCTGATGACCCTGAGGATGCAGGGTCTGGTGAAAATAGGAGGGTCAATGGGAATAATTCTCCATCACTCTCAAATGGTGGTTTTAAACCTTCTAGGCCCCCAAGACCTTCACGACCACCTCCACCTACTCCACGCAGACCAGGTGTGTATTCCAGTCATACCCTAGGGATGTAGCTCGTATACTATGATTGTAAGAAATATTCTGTTGGCAACTGATCCTCAGGTAAGTGTCAAGAGGACCTTTCAGGTTGGTTTTCTAGCTGTATTCTTACATTAAAATTTTGGCCAAGAATGATCTTTCTGTAGGTAATTAAGACATGCCTTTTCCCTAAGTTTTTTCTCCAGGGGTGAAGTTATTGAGGCACATGGTCAATTCAGAGTGTAAATCACATGTGTGTTATATAAGCATAGGCAGTACAGATAAGACTGCAGCTTTCTGTCAGGGTTTATAACTGTGTGGACATAAGGACATATGTACATATCAGGATAAGTACATATCATTAGAAAAGTAAACTGGTTGTTCACAAATTATTTTAGTAAATGACTTTGTGTTTCATTGTACATCTTCCCCTTTTTTCTGTAGATATTTGTGTTGACAATATATTCCCAGTCTTTAAAATCAGAAACTACATTGTCAAAATATTGGTGACTTCTATCAGGAATTTTTTGTCAACGAGTATTTTTTGAAGATGTAATATGTACTCAATAACTATTTATAAAAACCTTATTGTTTATCAGTCATATCTTCTGTATTATAATATCAAAATTGGTTTCTGATCTGCAAGATCTCATAGGAAAGATAATTTTAAGGATCTGGAAAATTACTAAATGAACTTACAATATTATAGAATATCAATACTTATCTATTCTAAAAGTTTTTAATATTTCCTGTGACTTCAAGAAATCAGAATCTGTGCTTTATAATTATTAACAGGACATGGGGTAGACAGAACATAAAATAATATGAACAAGCCTGCTTAGTTGGGACCATTGACTGTTTCTCATTATTTAAGTAATTTTCTCCTGCATATCCACATAGTAAATTATATATTTTTCATTTGCCTTTTTACTTCTTAAAGTTAAAATTTTATTTTGATTTCTGAAAATAAAAGATTGTTTTCCTGTTTTTTCCAAATCTTTTATAGCATCTGTCAATGGTTCACCTTCTGCCACTTCTGAAAGTGATGGATCTAGTACAAGCTCTCTACCTGCAACAAATACAAATTCAAATACATCTGAGGGAACAACATCTGGGTTAATAATTCCTCTTACTATATCTGGAGGCTCTGGCCCTAGGCCATTAAATCCTGTACCCCAAGCTCCCTTACCACCTGGGTGAGTAACTGTTTTTGGTTAATTTTTTTTTTTTTTTTTTAGATTTTATTCATTTTATTTTTAGAGAGGGAAGGATAGATATAGAGAGAGAGAGATCAATGTGCGGTTGCTGGGGGTCATGGCCTGCAACCCAAGCATGTACCCTGACTGGGAATCGAACCTGCGACACTTTAGTTCTCAGCCCGCACTCAATCCACTGAGCTATGCCAGCCAGGGCTCATAATGTTTGTTTTCTTTAGGCTTCTGCATATACTTATTAATAAGGAAAATAATACTAAACTCCATTCTTTAAAAAACTGTCCTCAAGCAGTTGTAACTGATTTTGGTGGGGATCTAGAGTCAAACTGAACCAAAAACAAAACAAAAACCTCCCCATATCTGAAATTTTCTCCCTTATTTCCAGGGCAAGGAGGAATAGTAGAAGATTCTTTCTTTTCTTTTCTTTTTTTTTTTTTTTAATTTACTGAAAGACACTGAACCATAGAAAGTTAATCAAGGCCAAGTAGTAAAATAGTCACCTAATTCATATTGCTTTTTTTTTTTTAAGGGAAGAAAAATATTTTTTGAAATAAAATTTCCATTGTAAAGTCATTATAGCAAAGTAGTAATAATTTAGGAAACTGAGAAAATTAGTGCTCACAATCCCATTTTTTTGTTGTTGTTAAATTCTTAACTTACTTTTAGGGAGAGAAAAAGCAAAACATCAATTTGCCGTTCTATTTATTTATGCATTCATTGGTTGATTCTTGCGTGTGCCCTGACCAGGGAGTGAACCCACAACCTTGGCATATAGGGATGATGCTCTAACCAACTGAGCTACCCAGCCAGGGCTCATAATCCCATTTTAATCACTACTGGTTATTTTAATTTAATACTCTAATAGATTTTATATGTATATGCATTATTTCCTTCAAATTAATTTAGAGCTTAGAATGCTAATCAAAATTAACTGATTGGCAGTTGTATTAATAAACTCTCAGGAAGATAATTTTAATTGCTAAACAGATTATATAATACCTGTGTGGGTAGTTAGGCTCTTTTCCTTTTAGAATGCTCCATGGGAAGCCAAATTAGAAAGTTGTTAGTGTAAGGGATTACCAAAGAGAAAATGGGTGCTCGTAGAAGTGATTGGTACTTCTAAGTTACAATGGTTTACTATTCTTCACTTTGGAGATAACCTACCAAGACTAAAATACTTAGAATGACTTTGTCCATTGTACTGTGCAGAGACATATCTGATAAAACCTTACTCTTTGATTTTAGTGTTTCTAGAACCCAAACAATTCTTTATCCTTCAGTTAGTAATTCTTTAGTTTTTCTTTAGATTTCATAACATTAATTACAGCTTTCTTTTCCACTCAAGCCCTGCAAATATCCTGATCAGATTGAGACAGATTTTGTCTCCTGAATGCTTCAATCTTAAACCTCTTTAGAAATACAAGACTTCTCATAGCAGGGGTGTCCAGCCATGGCTCAACACAAACTTGTAAAATTTACTTAAAACCTCTTCTTTGCTCATCAGTTTTCATCAGTGTTTGTGTATTTAATGTGTGGCCCAAGACAACTCTTTTTCTTCCAGTGTGGCCTAGAGACACCAAAAGTTTGGACACCCCTATTAGAGCTTACGTTTCTGCATAGGTAATCTCATACACTGTGTGTCACCCTCAGGATAACATTTCTTGATTTTGTCCCTAAATTCTTCTTATATCTTCTTTATATACTGATGTACTTATTTGCTTCAGTTCTGTAACATGATCATATAAGAGAAAAAGTCAAAGACAGGATTAAAGAGCCAGGCTACTAATACAATTACCATACCAGCCTTTCAAATTTTGTGTTTAAGTTGGGAGCAGAGAGTGGACCAGCATGGGCGAGTTTACTATGTAGATCATATTGAAAAAAGAACAACGTGGGATAGACCAGAACCTCTGCCTCCTAAGTAAGTATCTGAATTAAAGAAGAGAAAAAGTATTTATTCAGAACTATACATTGTATCTCTACAAAATCTTCACTACTTTCTTGCTAGAAACTAGAAAGAAGAGAGTCAGAATTGATTGAGCATAATGAATGGTTTCAAATTTCATGCATTTCTGACCTAAAGACTCTATAGATCTTGCTACTCCCAAATTTTCCTTTCTGAATTTTAACCACCTCAAATCACAGGGTTTTAGGATTAGTTTCTCCAAGAGTAATTATTTGACTGAATAAGAATTGTAGCCCTTTACACATATGAGGATAAAGTCCCTATTATATTGAAAAAACTTTGTTATGTAATAATGAAGTCATTGCAAAATAGTTGGAGGAATAAAGACTATATTAATATAGGATGTTAAGCACTGAAAATTTTACATTATATAATTGGAAGGAAAATATTTTTATTCGAGGGAAGTCAGTAGCAAACATGGAACTATTTAATTTTGCTAATAATCTTAAATGCACACCTAAAAGGTACTGTTTTACTTGTTAAATTATCAGATAATATTCGTTATAAAGTTGTGGAGAAACTTTACCTCCAACATTGCTGGTGGTAGTTACAGTTCTTGCAGAAAGTGTATATAACTGTAATAATGCACATACTCTTAGTAATTCTCTCTAGGAAATTTATCTCAAATAATGCAGAGGAAGAAATATTTTTTGATATATTAAATTGTTATTTTACTATTTATGGTCATCAGAATATTGGAAAGAACCCTAATCAATCAACCAGATAGAAATGACAGTTACTGTATCAGTGTTTACTTAATATGCTCCCATTTGAAATGATAAGTTAGATAATTATATTCTTGTGGAAAATGCTTTTTGGAAAGAAAATGAAAACTTTTTCCTTAATGACTATTTGGGACTTACTCACTAGACATTGTGTTTAAGTTCACTTACAAGCTATTTAAGAATACATAAAATAAAAGGCTTCAGGTAAATTAAAAGTAGTTTCTCAAGGTAAAATGTTACCAAATGTGCATCAGGGCCAAGCTGAAGTCCTGTTTAATTCTTACCTATTTCACAAGTGTTTGTTGAATTAGGTTGTTTTTGTTCTGATTTAGCTGGGAACGCAGAGTTGACAACATGGGACGTATCTATTATGTTGACCATTTCACAAGAACAACCACGTGGCAGAGGCCAACATTGGAATCTGTCCGGAACTATGAACAGTGGCAGCTCCACCGTAGTCAGCGTCAAGGAGCAATACAGCAGTTTAATCAGAGATTCATTTATGGGGTGAGCAACCTGTTTGTTGCACTATAAACTTAATAAGAGTATTTGGTTTTTAACCTTTTCCTGCATATGAAATGTAAAGTGTTAATTAGAAGGAAGGTATAGGTAGGATGGCAACCCATTTGTTGCTGTCGATAAATAGTATTTTTAGACCTTATCTCAAGTGTCCTCTGTGTGTGATCTCTTCTTTCCTCCTTGAAATTTCCTGAAGTTCAACTTGCTTTATTTTGTTAATGTCAAAAGCAAAAAAAAAGGTAATAAGATAATTTAAAATCCATGGGCAAAAGAATAGTAAAAACAAACCGAAGCAGTTTGAAAAGAATTAGAACAGTTCTAAATTTAGTACTGCCTAACTTAGAAGAACATTTGAAGGCTTGAGTCTAAGAACACCTGACTCTTGAGTGGTTGTACGGAATTAATGATAGAATTGAATCACTTTGTAATGTATAAAGGTAAAGTATACCTCATAAATTGGTGGTCTGGGAGACTACAGAAATTTAACTTCTTATAGGATTATGCTAAGTATATTATTCTGGCATCAAAAGCAAATTATCTTTGGTATAAAAACATTTCCTTTTTGAAAACGGTTTAAATTTTACATATTTTCTCCCTGGCTGGTGTGGCTCAGTGGATTGAGCACCAGCCTGCGAACCAAAGGGTAACTGGTTCAATTCCCAGTCAGGACACATGCCTGGGTTGCTGGCTAGGTCCCAGTGGGGGGCATGCGAGAGGCAACCACACAATGGTGATGTTTTTCTCCCTTCTCCTCTTTCTAAAAATAAATAAATATATAAATCTTTAAATTTTACATATTTTTCTTTAGAGTAATACTGCAATAGTAATATGCACCAAAAGGTATTAAGTGGTTTGTTATACAATCTTTGGTGCTAGGAATTTTACAGTGTTTCTAGTAATAAAGTATCACAGATCTTTTCTCTGGGGAAAGGAAAATAGTCCTTGGAGAAATTTGATTCTGTGTGCCAAATAAGAGGGATTTGTTTTGAGTAGTATATAGAACTGAAACAGAAGAAAGTTAGCTCTCCAAGAGTTCAAGAGAAACCCTTTCCATTGCTCTCTCTTCCCCTCTACCACCATCCGTACAGTTCCTATTAGACTCTATCAGAGTAAATTCCTGTTTTCACTAGACTTTACCTTATTTTCTTTTCCCCATGTTCCTGTGTATTTCTTACCTCATCCCCATAATAGATATCACTCACTGACACATTCACCTTTATTGTCAACCTTCCCTGGTTATGACTGAGATCACTTTTTTCATATAACAGTTTTTCCTGTCACCTTTCGTAGATAGCTATCTATCACTGTCTTCCCCTTCCTAGTGGTTTTAGAGGTGAGATTAATTGTCTCATGTCTACCTTACCTTTTTTTTCCTACACTGTTTTTACATCTTCTTTTCTTTCTAAATTTTAATCACCTTTGGTTTGCCTGGACAAATTTCTTTTAGGTTTGAATGCCTAATTTGCCTGCCTTCTTTAAAGCTAGTTTCCACGTGGGTGTCCAGTGGAAAGAGCATGGGCTTCAGAGTCAGACACATCTGGGTTCGAATCCTGGTTTCACAGTTACTTTCTCTGTATGATTTTGAGTAAGTTACTTAACTTCATCAAGACTCATTACTTTATAAATTATATTTAATTACCTCAGAGGGTTTTCTTGAGGATTCTGTAAAATAAAGTTTCTCATATGTCCAGCACATACTACATGCACAGAAGTATTAGTTTTCATCTTCTCTTGCCTTCATATCTACAATTGTAAATGTGCCGTTTATCTCACTTTTACAATGCATAATCTTTTAAAACATTCTATTATTGGAAGATGAACAAATTTTTGGAGCACCTATAGTGTACTGCTTCATTATAACCTGACCAGTTTGATAGAGTCTTTGGAACTTTCCTTGAATTGCAGCTTTTACCTCATTGTCCATGGATTTTTCCCCCGCCCCATCCAAAATAATCTGACCAATTTTCTGAAATTCTTGCTTTTTGCTCTTGCTATAGAATGGTTTTAAATCATAAGGAACTTATTTTAGTTACACTTAACTTCACCAGAAATATTAATTGAATTAATTGAACATTCTTAATGCCAGCTACTTAAAAAGTTATGGGGTGTTGGGGTGTTGCTGAGAAAGTCTACTTATTGGGCACATGGAATGGCCTTTGTTCTGACTCTGGCTGCAGGTCAATAGGCTATTATATACCAGCACTTTTAACTTCAGAATGTATATGGTTGATGCTGTAACACTGTGTGATAGCTCTTTCTAGCCCATGGCTTCCCAGCTTATCTGTCCAGGGAGAGCCAGAGGGAAAGGTTTGGATTAGAAAATTATCAAAATAGTTTGTCACATGACAAACTTTTCAGACCTGTTCTATAATCAGGGTTCAAACCTTATATTGTGTTCCTTCCTGGCCTCCCACTTTTACTCCTTTTCATAATTGTGTCTATCAGGAGGAGCAAGGCCAGTTCTTGATAGGTCTGTCTTCCAAGAACAGTTAAATCAGGAATGAGGGTATCTCTCATATGCTATAAAACTTTTAATTAGTTAACTCTTTTTCTGCAATAAGTCAGTGAAAGTGGGGAAAACTAATATAGATCAAGACTTAAGGGACTCCATCAACTGTAAAGTGAGGACTTTGAATTCTGATGTGAACAAATAAGCAGTTTGAGGCATTTAATTAGAGATTGGATGTTAGATGATGAAACCAACATCGATTTTCGTTAGTTGTGGTAATGGTATTGTGGTTATGTAAGAATATGTTCATATTTTTTAGAAAAGCTTACTAAAATACATAGGGGTGAAATGATGACAGTTTCTTCAACAAAGAAAAGGAAAATAAAGATAAGGAAACATGTTGAGTCTTGGTGCTGGGTATAAGGGCTGCACTGTCCTATTTTACTTGTGTATTTTTTTTTCTGTAATAATTTTTCTAAAACAGAGTCTGTTATTTAGTTGCCTTATCATTAAAGGAGAAAGGGCTTAACCAAATCTTAATAAGAGACCACAAATTATCCCTACTTTATTATACATTTAAACCAAACACACTCATTAACTTTACACAGAGTCCGTATTACATTTGCATCTCTTTTTCCAGTGGTTGACCCTTGCTTTTATCTATCTAGCCAAACCTTTCTCTCCACCAGTGTGATAATTGCAAACAGAAATTTAAGAAATCTTCTATATAGTTCTAAGCTTGTCAACTCCTTTCACCTGGAATTCTTTCCTTTTACTCACCTGACAGCCAGTTCTTCCTACTACCCCAATTCTCTTCCCACAGTTCTTTGTATATACGTTCTGTAATCCTCTCTTTTTTGAGTTAGAAAAAGATTTTAACAGTTCTCCAATGACAGTTACTTATAAATAACTTTTGGAGGGTTATACACAGAGGTGGGCAAAGTAGATTTACTGTTGTTCATATGGAAGATAATACAATAATAAATAATAATATGAGAATAAACTCTGCATTTTGTGTACTCACAACTTTAAGCCTACTTTTACGCACCCCTGTATTTCTGTAACTTAATGATTTGTAGCTAACAAAGATAAAAACAGTCACTTGGTGATGAAGATTATATATTTGTAATATTTGAACTTTGGGCCTTAAATACTGTTTGCAATGATGTTTTTCCCACCAGAGTGTTCTGACATTTATCCATGATGGTGTGACATTTCTCTAAGATGTGAACTCTGTTAGAGTGTGTTATGTTGCACATGGACAGGGAAGGCATATCAGAATTTAGTTGTCTGTGTAAATTCAGTATTTCACCCTTTTGTTGTTGTTCTCTTTAGACTCAAGATTTGTTTGCTACATCACAAAATAAAGAATTTGATCCCCTTGGGCCCTTGCCACCTGGATGGGGTAAGTTGTGTGAATTTTTTCATTGAATTTGGTCATTTTTATTTTATTTCATTGAAATTTATTTTTATCCTCACCTGAGGACTTTTTTTTTAATTGCCTTTAGAGAGAGAGGAAGGGAGGGAGAGAGAGAGAGACAGAGAGAGAGAGAGACAGAGAGCGACATAGATTGGTGTCCCTCTCATATGTGCCCCAAAACCAGGGATTGAACCCACAACCTGAGAATGTGCTCTGACTGGGAATTGAACCCACAACCTTTTGGTTTACAGGATGAGGTTCCAGCTAACTGAGCCATACCAGCCAGAGTAAATTTGGTCATTTTAAAATCAGGTATTTATGGATAATATCTTGCTCTTGCTTGAGTGAATCTCTGGGAATATTTTTGGGTGTGTTGGTTTAATTCAGAGTGCTAAAAAAGCATTAAATTTCCCAAAAGTTTTAAGTTGACCTTTTATTATAGTAAACTTTTATTGGGGTTCAGAATTATTTTATTCCTCTAAAGTTTAAAAATATTTTGCTCAGCAATGAAAAGAAATGGATTATTGATACATACAACAATCTGATGGACCTGAAGGGCATTATGCTTAGTGAAAAAAGTCAGTCTCAAAAGATTATATATATTGTGCCCTGGCCAGGTGGCTCAGTTGGTTGGAGCATTGTCCCATATACCAAAAGGTTGTGGGCTCAATCCCTGGTCAGGGTGCATATGGAAAGCAATGAGTTGATGTTTCTCTTTCTCTCAGATCACTAAATGTATCCTCAGGTGAGGATTTAAAAAAAGAGATTGTGTACTGACTATATGCTTTAATTTATATAATTAAATTTGTCAAAATGACAAAACTGTAGAGATGAAACATAGATTAATAGGTACCAGGAGACAGCCAGTAGATTAGTATATATACAGAAGATAAATAGTTCTTATGTGGTGGTGGAAGGGTTCTATACCTTGACCATGGTGGTGATTACACAAATTTGTACATGAGATAAAAGTGTATGAAACTATACATTGACATAAATGAATTCATTTTTTTTAAATTGGTGAAAATCGATGCCTTGGCCAGGTGGCTAACTTGGTTGGAGTGTCATCCAGTGCATCAGAAGTGTTGCGGGTTCAATCCCTAGTCAGGGCACATACCTAGGTTGCATGTTCAATCCCTGTTCAGGGTACATATGGAAGGCAACTGTTCTTTGTCTTTCTTTCCCTCCCTCCCTCCCTTTCTCTCTAAAATCAACTTTTTAAAAATTGGTGAAAAATGAATAAAACCTGTAGTAAATATTTACTAGTGTCAGTTTCATGACTTTGATATTACACTATCTAGCTACAGCTGTATAACATATCACCATTGAGGGAAATTGGTTGAAGGATACATGAGATTTTTTTAATGATTTATGCCACATTCTGTGAATAATAATTTTTTTTAAACTTTAAAAATATTTTGATTACATGGTACTTCCAAAACACAGTTCAGAACGTGGTTGAGTTGATGTTACCTTAGAACAGTGGAAGGGGAACATGTAAGGATGGTGACTTTGTGTCCTATGTCATGGAGCACATGAACATGTTCTGTTATCAAGTATATTTGATACCTTAATTATTCAAACTTGAATATATACATGAGATTCTGTTTCATATATCATAGCACTGTAGCAAGTTTTTAGAATATACTGCCTGGCATTATAGAAGCAATTTTTCATGGGAGCCAAAGAGAATATAGAAAGTGGAAAACAGGAAAGTAAAGCCTGTTATGAGACAGAGCTGCAGATATTTCATAATATTGGGGTCGGTTCAGAAAGTGGTATTTCTGGATAGCTTTATTGGGAAGCACTGGTCCCTAAGATAAATTGCTTTAGCATTACTTCACTGAGGAATGGAGGGAAAAAAATTGATTTGCCAAGATCCCTTGAATCTGGGCAATAAATGGTACTGGCTGTATAAGCCTGCCTTTGAGAAATGCCATTGCTCTTAAGAGGTTATTTTATCCTTAATACTCCTGTGAGTCAAAAAATACAATAGATTGTACTTATAACTGTTACTGTTACTAGTTTGAAGCAAAAGGAGGCCGTATGAAAGTTATAAATTTCTGTCTTCATCAAAACCTGGCAGTTTGATAAGGAGTGTTTTGGCTCTGCTGGATCCTCAGATTGGACAGTGTATGGTTAACATCAAGTTCCTTTAGAAGAGGGGATGTTGTCCTTATGAGGTATATTGAACCAGACCTGTCAGATTGTATTCCCTGACATGGATGCATTTCTCAGCTTTTTCTTGAGTTTGTCTGTGTCATGTTACAGAGGAGAAATTGATGCACTGAAAGGATATATGAAAGGATATATGTGAAGGTTATATATTATATAGTTATCCTTTTAATTTTATTACGGAAAAACCATGATCCAGTTGGCTTTTGTCAGAAACATAGACCATTTTACTGCTCCAGATCAGCTGCAAGAAAAATTGCCTCTTGCTCATAGAAGCATGAATTACAGGCATTGTTGCTTTTATTCAGAAAGCTTGTCCTTGCCTTCTGTATTTACCATTATTCTCATAATCAAGGTCTTTCTCATTTTCACATTAGCCAACATCTTAAAATACCTCCTCTAAAGACCCGGTCCCAGCTTATCCAGGTCATAAGAGTGTTTGCCTTGCTTATTTTATATACAGCCTGCTTATTTTTAGGAGTCACACTCCTCAAGTTGAAGTGTGCCCTCCTTCATAAATGAGTTCATGATTATCCTGTTACTCAGACTATGCACTGCTTATGACTCTGCATTTGGGGCATATGTCTTATTTGTGGAAACAGTGACAACACAGGTATTGTGACAGATGAGACCCCACCTAACATACCCTCAGGATTGACCCAGGAAATAAAATCACAGTTTATATTCTGTGTTTATGTTATGGAATTGATAGCTTTATTTTTGTGATACCAAATATATTTAAATCCAATTTCCTCACCCTTTCAGACTTTTATATGTTAGGACTAGACATTACTGCCTTGAAGTGGAGAATTTGTTAACACACACAAACTACACAGGCTGGGTAACAGAATATTTTTGGTTCAAATGTGCAGTCTTTGTACGTATATAGCTGGTTTTACCCACCAAGTATAAAGATACTTCCTCATTTTCAGGGTTGCTATGAAAGAATACATAGAACAATAAGAAGCTTCTGCTTTTTACTGTTTTATTCATCAAGTCAGGAAGTGCTCTGATTTGCATTCAGGGTTTGATGTTCAGTAATTTCAGTATTGTCTATCATGTGATTTTTCCACAAAGTAGAAAGTCATTTGCATAGCCATAGTTCTCCCTCTCATTGAATAGATAAGCTTTCAGTTTGCACTACATCCACCTTTGAAATTTTGTTTTTTATAGCGTCTTTTAAGAAATGCTGATATTAGCAGTATATACTTAGAACATAACAGACAACAAGTTTTAACTTTATTTTGCGTCATGTTAGCTTTTGAAGAGAAAATCTCTGGTCCTGAAATATGAACTTAGATAGCAGATAAAAGATAAATATATACTTAGCTATGCAGTTATTAGGGTATTATTTTTAGATGATAAAAATTCTTTGGAATCAAGGAATTTATAGATTCTCAAGTATATTTGAAAAATTTAAATTATAGTGGTTTCCAAGAACATGAACTTACTTTGTTATCATGTGGCTGGCTATAGTACTGTGGGTGCTTCTTTTTGCCTTAGAATGGATCTTAAAGTTAGTTATATGTTTTCACACTCAAGATGCCATGATCAGTGAAGCCAGTGTTAAAATATTCAGTGTGTCACAGGATGCAGAGTCCATTTTCCTGTATACAATGTACACCTGGAGTTCTGTTTCCATTTCAGTCTCAGCTAATATAGAAATTAGCCGATATGTCAGGAGTGGGTTCATGATACTCATGATACAAATATATTCTTTAACTTCCCCATATCATCACTGCTACTTGAAATCGTGGAGCCAGTGCTGGAGAAATAGTTAAACATTAACAAATACTAATTTGATGAGACTCATCATTCAATATCTTGCTTAAAGATCGGAGGATCTAAATAAATGTTATTTGAAAAACAGATAAAACTTTTCAAATCACAGGAAATAAAAATTGGCCTTATCGGCATGGAATTAAGTTTAAAGTTTTATTTGAAAATTGTTAATTTTTAGAAAATGCTTGTTAAAAAGTTGGAATGCATTCTATACTCTGTAATACTTCAGTTATTTTGAGACATCTTATACAAATTTTAAAAATTCAGATGTAGGACTAGACCTATCTTTTGAAGAATTAATGGTAATGGAGCAAAGAAGTCAATAGATCAGAATAACAGAATATTAAAATTTTGAAACTATGCCCTGGGTGGGTTGCTCAGTGGTTGTGGGTTCAGTCCCCAATCAGGGCACATACCTAGGTTGTGATTCCCAGTCAGGGAACATACGGGAGGCAACCAATAGATGTTTCTTTCTCACGTTGATGTGTGTCTGTCTGTCTCTCTTTCCCTCTCCCTCTCCCCCCTACCCTCCCTCCTTCCCCCGTCTGAAATCAATAAATGTATCCTCAGGTGAAGATTTTTTTTTAAATTTCAAAACTATTTGGCTATTAAAGGAGGAAATTACATTTACATGTCTTCAGGACCTTGATGAGAAAGCACAGGGAAGCAGGGAAATTTTTTTTTAGAAAGTGAACAAGAAAACAAGGAGAATCCTAAAGTAAGGGAGTGGAGAGGACAAGCAGCAGCTTCAGATGCCCATCCTTTGTGCAGAAAGTTACTATAGATATTTAGAATTTGAGAGCAGGACATATTTTGAAACAGTGTCTTCCCCCAGTTAAGTAATGCCAAGCATATAACAAACAATTAAGATATATTATCATTAAATTTTAAGAAAACAGTTTGGTATGAAAAAAAAATCCCTAACTGAAGGCCAGAGTTTCCATCCTGTCATTGCCACTTAATTCTGAGATTTTGGGCAGACCACTTAAGCTGTCTGAGTTTCTTTATTGTCAAAATAAACTAAAACAACCTACCCCATGGGACTGTTAAGGATAAATGAGGTCATCTATGAGAAGTTAAAGCAGTTAATCAATAATGCTGCTGTTGGTTGGAGCAGAAAGGTTCTATGGGCAGGATATTGTGAATTAAATCTGTTCAGCTTCTAGGATGTAATCATATTTTATAACTTAGCAAGTATGTGAATTTAATAGTAAAAGAATAAATTAAAGCTTTGAGAGTTGTGATTTAAAAACTACAAAACCAATAGTATAAAAAGAAATGGACAGACTCAGCTCATCTTACTATTTTAGTTTGAGGAAGAAGACTATGCCAACTCTAATGCTTTGCTTTCTTTTCTTTCTTTTTTTTTTCTTTTTTCTTTTTTTAATATAAGAGAAGAGAACGGACACCAATGGTAGAGTATATTTTGTCAACCACAACACTCGTATTACCCAATGGGAAGACCCCAGAAGTCAAGGGTAAGAGCTTTTAGTTACTAGTTTATAGATAACCTCTTAAAAATTGTACCCTATTTCTGATTCATTTATTAAAAAGATCAATTATATATTCTTTCCCCAAAGGCCTTAAACATTAGCCACCCACATACATACCTTATAAAGAGGAAAAAATAATATTATACTATTTCATATAATGAATATGGGTTTCTTAAGGGAAAAAAATCTCAACGATATATGCCAATATTAAAAGTACCTAGTTATTATTAATAAGATCAGATAAGTAATTCTAAAGCAGGCTTTTGTAACTGGGGATCCACTGGATAAACTTCACGGAGTATATGACTTAGGGAGGAAAAAAATCAAACATTCATTTTTATTAAACTTTACCTGAAATTGAGTGTTTTCTTCCATTGTGATTGTAGGCTACAATCATAGTAAAATTAGCAATGCCTAGGACTTCGCATCAGTAGAAATCACAGGTCTTTTATATCATTCTGCAGTTGTTGCAGATACAGCAAATACTGCTTACACACATCATTATAGGAACTTGCTAGTTAATATATTGATAGACGCATTATTAGTATAAGTTTGTCTTTTTAATGTTTTGATAACTATGTATATATAATTGCTTTTCTTTGTAACATTATGTAATGGTTTGTGTATCAGTTTCCTGGGGCCACCTCAACAAAGTACCTGTGAGTTAAACAACAGAAATTTGTCTCATAGTTGAGGCTACAAGATCAGGGTGTTGGGAGGCCTGTGCTTCTTCTGAAGGCAGTAGGGAAGAACCTGTTTTCAGGCCTCTCTCCTAGCTTCTCGTGGTTTTTTTGGCTTGTGGCAGTTTAATTCCAATCTTGAAATGACACTCTGTGTGTGTGTGTGTGTCTCTGTGTTCCAATTTTCCCTTTTTATAAGGACACCAGTCATAATATTAGTGGCCTATCATTTTCATCTTAAGTAGTTACATCTGCAACAATCCTGTTTCCAAATACGGTCACATTTTGAGGTCCTAAGGATTAGGAATTCAACATATGAATTTGCAGGGCCCATAACAATGTGGCCCATAATAATATATAATACTATGTATTTATCAGGCTGCTGGAAAGATTCCATTCTGTGAGGAATTCGGCAAGGCATACAGTCAGAGAGCGCAGTCACTACGTGGTTGCCCTAACTTCAGACATTAGCCATAAGCTGGGAGGTCCCCAGGACTACTCTCACTTCAGACCAACTGGCTACAAATTTTACAAATTTCAGTGGTACCCATAAGCACTTTCGCTAGAGACTAGAACTCAAATGAAGCCTCTTGACCTCAGTCACATTTATTATAGGGAAAGGCTGCAAATTAAAACTGACAGAAGGAAGAGATGCAAATGCCAGAGTCTGAGATGGTTCCAAACATCCAGAATTAACATGGAGCAGTATGTGTGGAGTATTGCTAACCATGGAGTCTCAACTTGAGTCTCTGGTATCCAGAGTTTTTATTAAGGCTTCATCGTGTACTGCATGTATGACTAACATTTAGTCTCCAGCTGTTTCCCAGAGTTTGGTCTAAAACCTTTAGTTTTCAGTTGTTGGAACTGATACAGAATATCCCAAAGTCTCCATCATAAAACACATTCCAGAGGCATAGAGAGTACTTCCCAATAGCCAAGGGCAAACACCAGACCTTTCTTTAGGTATGATTAATTCTTCACTTAACACATTCAGGGCTCAGAGTTTTAAGAACTGCTATTTTAAAGGCATGCTTTAAATTTGAAATCTATTTGTGGGTACTAATGGGTGGCTTGGTTGGAGCATTGTCCTGTGCACCAAAAGGTTGCAGGTTGGAACCCCAGTCAGGGCGTGTGGGGAGGCAACCAATTGATGTATCTCCCCTCCCCTCCTTTCCCCTCCCTCCCCCACCCCCGTCCCTCCCTCTTGCTCTAAAATCAATAAACATCCTCTGATGAGGAGTAGGGGGAAAAATTCTCTCTCTAAGGGTAGAGTAGACCATGTCACCTAACTGTAATTTGCTGCCATTTTTTGTTCCCCCTTGGACCTTTAAAGTTTCAGAACTAAAGTCAGAATCATTTTAACATATAATAAAAATAACCTAGGTCTATTTGATTTGTTTTGCTTTTAAAGGCAACAACTCGTTACTAAGTCTGTCTTACAAATACAATTACAACAGATGAGAAGTGTTATCTTTAAAAAAGTTTGGTAGTCTGTTTTATCTGACATTGTATTCAGTTCTATGAATACAACTAAATGTTCGTAGCCTCTTGACATAATAAAATAAGCATTCTGTGCAATGGTTCTCAGACTTTGGTTCTTCTAAAGTGTACTTGAAGAAAATGATGTTTGTGTTGCAACTGTAGCTCTCTGAAACAATGAGCTTAAGTGCTTTCAACTCCTCCCTTTCTTCCTTTCTCATGTGAACTTGAACATTTCCATTGTTCTGTCTCTCACCAAACCCATCAGAGGTATTCAGTAGTTCCCTACTCATTCTAGTATTCTAGTGTAATATTTTGAAATGTAAAAATAAATTTCTCAGTTCAGTGAATATGCAGTTTTGAATATGTATGCTAATGCCTCAGTTATTTTAATATATAACAAATGAAGATCAAGTTAAGTCACTGTTGCCTAATAATGTAGTTCCTGTTTTAAAATTCATATGTAATAATATTTTCAGGGAGGGAAGTTGTTGCCAGGCAACACAAGCTGAAATACTTGATAAATGGTGTGATAGCAGTATGAAGGAAGTGCTTTGAGAGACCTGAAAAGAAGGATCAGTATATAGTAGGAGGAATAATAACAGTTTGAGGGCTTACACATACTTCTTTTAAATAGGTGGGTACAAGATAGTTAAAAGCCAACAATTAACATGATGATGATAATAATTACAATGAGGGGATTTGTGGTCTCCTGCCCTGGTGCAGCGGTTGTGCTTCAAGGGGTGGAGGTGGGGGACAGAAATTACTTTGTTATTCCAGAGCCTTCCTAATCATGTATGTTACCCTATATGCAAAAAGACAACAGATAGGCTCAGTTAAGATAAAGACTGACCTTTGATAGGGAAAAAATACTGCCCTCCACTGTAAACCACTTTTAGTTAGAAAGTTTTAATTTCAGACCATCCTATGTGGTATATTCTGTCTGAGTTGTGAGGCCTCCATGCGGGCCTCCCCTGAGCTTCTCAGGTGTAGTACGTGGCCGCTTTTTTGTCCATACTTCCCCCTTTTGGTCATAAAACTACGTGCTAAGCTTTTTACTTGTATCATCTAATTGATTACTCATATAGTCTTATTACATAGACATTATCTCTATTTTATGGACAAAGAAACCGAAGTTTAGAGAGAGGAAGCAAGGTCTTAAAGGTAGGTATTAAGGAAGTAGATAGGAAGGAATACTTGGTAAAGAACATTTGAGTTGTCTTAACAGAGGAGTAATAGAGATTCTGGACAAGAGGAAAGTCTTCACTTGGAGGTGTGGCAGATCATACCATGCTTAGGGAAATAGTGATGTTATTGTTAAACACTGAAATCACAGAGTTCAGGGAAGGGATTTGAGGGCAGAGTATAGATCCAGAGTGAGTGAGGTATAGTGATTTAGACTTAGATCGTATCATTGGTTGTGGTGAACAGTGCTATCACCTTAAGGAAAGAACTAATTTGATCAGACCTCTATTTTAGTACTCTGTCAGCAATATGAAATAAACAAGTATAAGACCAGAGTAAGACTAGAGGCAGGAAGAACCAGTTAGGTGGCTATTGTGAAAGTTTGAGATGAATAAAGCCAGAGTAAGAATGGTGCTGGGGATTGAAAATAGTAATGAACATGAAAACTTCTGAGGCAGAATGGGGAGAGTTTGGTTGCCATGTGATGTTTAGGTGGGTTATTAGATAGATGGGGAATACAAGTCATGTAGATGGGAGAAGACTGAATGGTGGTTGATGGACTTGTTGACAGGTTAATAACATGCTTATAGGATAAAGAGGATACAGGTAAAGAGGTCTTGTAAACAACCAGATATACTCGACTAAATAGTTTTCTAGAAGATTTCCACTGCATTTATATTTGTTTTTTGTTTCTGTATTTGGCAGACAAGCAACTCTTTAACTTTTTTGTTTATATTTTTTTCCTATGTTCTTTAGTCAATTAAATGAAAAGCCCTTACCTGAAGGCTGGGAAATGAGATTCACAGTGGATGGAATTCCGTATTTTGTGGACCACAATAGAAGAACAACCACCTACATAGATCCCCGCACTGGAAAATCTGCCCTGTAAGTTTTTTAAACATTGCAGATTAAAACAAAAACCGATTCCAAGATTTTGATGTAAAATATCTAAATTAGCAAGAAGTATGGTTTTTTTGAGTTGGCTTGCCCATAGATTTCTGTTCACTAGCTACTTTGTATTGCCATTACCTTCTTGAATATTTTCTCCTATTGACTTTTGATATTTGTTACTATCTGTGCACTCAGCACTAAATGAGGCTTTTTAGAAATTATCAGTACAGTACTGCTCACCAATTAATCCCTAATTTCTGGTACTTGTTTTCTTTCATTTCTACTGCCTTGGAACTTAAAAGCTCCCTTAACTTTGCTTGTCTTTTTCATTTTTGAAAAGCAACTTATGTTTTATTTAGGGTTTTTTAAAATTATGGTAGCCTTGACTGAGTGGTTCAGTGGGTTAGATGTTGTCCCACAAACTGAAAAGTCACTGGTTTGATTCGTAGTCAAAACACATGCCTGGATTGCAGGCCAGGTCCTCAGTTGGGGGCATGTGAGAGGCAACTGATCAGTGTTTCTCTCAGCACATTGATGTTTCTCTCCCTTTTTTTCTCCCTCCCTTCCCCTCACTCTAAAAATAAATACATAAAATCTTTAAAAAAATTTTTAAATAAAATAATGGTGAAACATGCATAACAAAATTCACCATTTTAGGTGTACAGTTTAATGGCATTAAGTACATTCACATTGTTTTGCAACCATGTCATCCTATACTGAAACTCTGTACCCATTATGTAATAACTATCCAATCCTCCTCCCCAGCCCCCAATAACCGCTCTTCTACTTTCAGTCTTTATGAAGTTGGCTACTCAGTGTAAGTGGAATCGTACAATATTTCTTCTTTGGTGCTTATTTCACTTAGCATAATAATATTTCCAAAATATATCTGTGTTGTAACTTGTTTCAGAATTTCATTTTTTAAGGCTTGATATTATTCCAGTCTATGTATATACCATTTATTTTTTTATATATTGATTCATGGACATTTGGGTTGTTTCCACCTTTTGGCTGTTGTGAGTAACACTGCTGTGAACATGAGTGTACAAATAAGTGTTCGAATCCTTTAAATTCTTTTCTGTGTATATTCAGAAGTGGAATTGCTGGATCAAATGGTAGTTTTGTGGGGTTTTTTTTTTTTAGTTGCTGCCATACTGTTTTCCACAGCAGATACTCCATTTTATATTCCCATGAGCAATGCAGATGGGTTCGGTGTTTTTTTTTTTTTTTTCCCAATCCTCACCAACAATTGTTGGTTTTTGCTTGTTTCTTTCTTTTTTTTTTTTTAAAGATTTTATTTATTTATTTTTAGAGAGGGAAGGGAGGGGGAGAGAGAGAGAGAGAGAGAGAGAAACATCAATGTGCGGTTGCTGGGGGTTATGGCCTGCAACCCAGGCATGTACCCTGGCTGGGAATCGAACCTGGGACACTTTGGTTGCCAGCCCGCGCTCCATCCACTGAGCTACGCCAGCCAGGGCGCTTGTTTCTTTTTTATAACGCCATCCTATAGGTATGAAGTAGTACCTTATTGTGTTTTTCATTTTTATTTCTTTAATGAGTCACAATATTGAACATCTTTTCATGCACTTATTGTCCATTTGTATATCTGAAGAAATGTCTGAATGTTTTGCCCAATTTTGAATTGAGTTACTTGGATTTTTTGCTGAGTTTTAGAATTTTTTGTATATTCTAGATACTAATACCTTATTAGATATGTCATTTGCAAATATCTTCTAGTCTGTATGTTGCCTAAGAGTTCTATAGCTTTAGCACGTTTAGGTCTTGGATCCATTTTTAGTTAATTTTTGCAGTAGTGTTAGGTAAGGATCTGTCTTCATTCTTTTTTGCATGTGGATATCAGTTATCCAAGTCCCATTTGTTGGAAAGACTGTCCTCTCCCCATGGAATGGTCTTGACACCCTTGTTGAAAATCACTGGACCATATACACAAGAGTTTATTTCTGGGCATTCTATTCTCTTAGTCTAGATATCTGTCTTCATTCCAGCTCCAGTACCACACTGGTTTGGTTACTTTAGCTTTATATTCAATATTAAATTTTGAAATTAGGAAATGTGAGTCCTCCAACTTTGTTTTTATTTTTTGAGATTGTTTTGGCTTTACAGGGTCCCTTGAGATTCCATATGAGTTTTAGGGTGGGTTTTTCTCTTTTCTGCAAAAAAAAGTCATTGGGATTTTAATAGGGATTGCACTGAATTTGTAGTTTGCTTTGGTTAGTATTGACATCTTAGTCTTCTGGTCTGTGAACATATGCTATGTTTACATTTATTTGCCTTTTTAAATTTCTTTCCATGGTGTTTTATAGTTTTCAATGTGCAAGTCTTTTACCTTCTTGGTTAAGTTAATTCCTAAATGTTCTGTTGTTTTTGGTGCTATTTGTAAATGGAATTATTTTCTTAATTTTCTTTTCAGATTGTTGAGTGTTTATAAAAATGAAGCTGATTTTTTGTGTACTGTTTTATATCAGACTTAGCTGAATTACTTATTCTAATGGTTTTTTTTTTTAAGATTTTATTTATTTTTTTAGAGAGGGAAGGGAGGGAGATAGAGAGAGAGAAACATCAGTGTGTGGTTGCTGGGGGTTATGGCCTGCAACCCAGGCATGTACCCTGGCTGGGAATTGAACCTGTGATGCCTGGTTCGCAGCCCGCGCTCAATCCACTGAGCTACGCCAGCCAGGGCAATTCTAATGGGTTTTTTGTTGTTGTTTTTTGGTCTGGAAGTTTTAGGGTTTTCTGTATATAAAATCATATCTTCAAACAAATAATTTTTCCTTCTTATTTCTTTTTATTGCCGAAGTGCTCTGGCTAGAACTTCCAATACTTTGTTGAATACAAGTAGTGAAAGCAGATATCCTTGCACTGTTCCTGATCTTAGAGGGAAAGTTTTCATTCTTTCAATTATTGAGTGTGATACGAGCTGTAGGTTTTTGATATACAGCCTTTATTATGTTGAGGTAGTTTCCTTCTAGTCCTAGTTTGTTTTGTGTGTGTGTGTGTGTGTAATCATGAGAGAATGTTACATTTTATCAGATACTTTTATTTGCATAAATACTGCTTAGGTAAATATCAAGAGTCTGATTTAAGGACAAAGAAGAAAATGGGTTTATGGAATAGACAACATTCTCAGACAGAATCTACTTTACCTAGTCCTGTTGGATTTGAGAAAATCTCACAACAGTGGCTTTAAATTCTTCTTTCTTTTATTGATTCTAGAGACAGGGTAAGGGAGAGAAACATCAATGTGAGAGAGAGACATCAATTGGTTGCCTCTTGCATGAGCCCCAACTGAGAACCAAACCCACAACCCAAGCATGTGCCTGAACAAGACTTGAACCAGCAACCTTTTGGTTTGAGAGAAGACACCTAACCAACTGAACCACACTGGCCAAGGTCCCACAACAGTAGCTTTTAAAAGATGAAAATTTGCCCTGGCTGGTGTGGTTCAGTTGATTGAGTGCTGGCCTGTGGACCAAAGGGTTGCCAGATCAGTTCCCAATCAGAGCACATGCCTGGGTTGTAGGCCAGATCAGAACCCCAGTAGGGGGTGCACAAGAGGCAACCACATATTGATGTTTCCCTCTCTCCCTCACCCTCTGTCTAAAAATAAATAAATAAAATCTTTAAAAATATAAAAGTAAAAAGATAAAAATTTATTTCTGACTTTTACTTAAAAATAGCTTTGGGAAATAAAAACTTTAAAAGGTAGTGGTAAGAGTATGTTGTACTAGGGTGTTTTTGTATTTGACTGCTAAGTACTGGGGGGGCGGTATTTTGCTTTTCCTCAATATTTTATCTTGCAAATAGCTATTTATGTCATATTACCATTTTTCCTCAGAGACAATGGACCCCAGATAGCCTATGTACGGGACTTCAAGGCAAAGGTTCAGTATTTCCGGTTCTGGTGTCAGGTTAGTATTGGGACTATATTTCAGTACTCCCTTTGTGTTGTTTATGTTGCTTATATTACACAGTCAGTGATTGTCAAAATAATTCATAGAAAAACAGGTAAAATGAAAGCATCAGAATCTCCTATTTCAAGGCAAAAAAATAGATTTATCAGTTAGATAATTTGCCGCTTCTGTTGTCCAGAATAATAAATTTGAAACCATTTGAATAAGAAAACATTGTTATTCTCTTTCCACTAACCATTATGTTCAGATTGTAGAAATCCTCAAATGAGCTGAAACATTTTTTCTGATGCATAAATTATTACCGTCCCCTTTCACATTAGCATTTGATATATACGGGCATATATCACTTTAACAGATATATATATATATGGTTATATTCAGAGTATTTTCTCAGATGTGATCAACTATTTCTGATGTATAAAATATTTATTGAATTAATTTCATTATAGGTTTTAAATAAAATTAATATACTATTCAAAATGTTACTATGATGCTATTTCTAAACTTCAGACTTATAATCAACTGGACAAGCAAGAAGAATCTGAATTAGTGTTTTGAAAATAAAATTAAATAAAGATTTGTCTCAGTAAACTCTGCATATGAGATCTTGTGTTCCTCTGTATTTTATATACCAAATGATCTGTAATTATCATAAAGGTTCACAAATGCATGGTTAAACATTATTGCATATAAGTTCATATTCAAAGTCTACTTGTTTCTGTAAACAGAGATAAAAGTAAATAAAACTTTATCCTTTTGGTTTTTTGATAGGCCATTTTAAATGGTGAGAGTTGACTTAAAGTCACTTTTATATTTCAGCAACTGGCCATGCCACAGCACATAAAGATTACAGTGACAAGAAAAACACTGTTTGAGGATTCCTTTCAGCAGGTACTATTTTTCTACTCAGTAGTTTGCTCCCTGGCTGCCAGCCCCAAATCATCTTTCGGTGTTGGCAGTTTAAACAGTTTGGAATTTTTGAGTTGGAGTCCTTGAATTGTTAAATCTAATCTCATTGTCAGCTACTTTACTGCTTAAATTTAGGAACATGCAGGTAGTTCTGTGTGTGTGTTTTGTTTATGTGTAAGTTCTGTGTTTTTGAAATGTCAGAGTAACTGAAAGTAATTAATGAGTTTCAAGTTTCCATTTCTAAGCTTAGTATTTGATTTGAAATAGATATTTAAGTAAGAAAATAGGCTTTTGGTAGACAGAAGTGTGGAAATATCCATGTGAATGTTATTGGATAGGTAGAAAAGGATTGGGAGGAGACTTTACAGTTTTTTATAGTTCTGTAATACTTGCATTTTTACAATAAGTGATACTCATAATTAAATTTTTTTTTGTAGGAAGGAAAGATATTGGCGACAATATCTAAAAACATATTTTTAGAAGTTGTCTTTTTTTTTCTTCAGTTTTTCTCAAAACCTGAGTTAATTTATTATTTACCTTTGTTTTGCAACTTTATTTACTAACCAAATGCAACTGTTAAGTGACTTTGTTATAAGGAAGATTAAATGACCAGTGGAAAAAATGTCTTAATATGAAGACATCCAGTTAGTCTTTGTTTTATGGCCAGATGTGGATGTGATTCTTTATTACCAAGCCCCTTTGTAATTATCAAAGGGGCTTGGTAATAAAGCCCCTTTATTGTAATTACTGCTTCAAGAAGTGTCATACTGAATGCAAAAATTTAAAAAATTGTCTGAGATAGTGAAAGTAGCTGTCTACTTCCTTTTGGAAACAGTTGTGTTCATTTCTTAATGGAACCTCAATTATTAACATTGAAAAGGAGAAATGCAGTTGGCATCCTGCTAAATAGGAGCAGATAGCTTCTTAGCAGCAGTACTCAACTAAGGCTGTTTAGAGAATTATGAGTCATTCCTTTGATATGATGTATATCTCCAAGGCCATTCCCTACTACATTTGTTACCTTTTTCTAATTTTCATTTTCATAACCACTGTGTAGTCACTGAGTATGCAGTTTCTGGTGGGCAGCCAGTTTCTTGGAACATAACTTGCCTATAGAAGTGCTGGAAAGATGCAAAACATGTTTAAATGTCTCTTTATCTTTTGACTTATGAAACCAGAGGATTTTGCAGAATGACAGACCAGATGGTGCTAAAACAGTTGCTTAAAGTTGTCATCTTGGATTTGACATTTATCAATTAAATATGAAATTAAAATTTGAGAAATATTTGATTGCTTTGGAAGAATGACAAATCTGATAGCAAAATTAGCATCAGATTTTTTTCATAACTGTTGGATAAAGTTATTTTGGGATAGTAAGTATTTTTATTAACATGGCACAGCTGCTTATCAGGGAAATTGCAGGACAAAAATTTTTTTCCTTTCATATTAGGCATTTGTTAAAGGATATTTAAAGGTATTTTTTCCAGGGAAGAATGAATCCTCAGATATCAAGCACAGGGCAAAGAAACAACCAGAATTTCCAGGAGAGCAGTCTCAGATTTGGGGGAACAGTCTCAAGGGAGATCAGGGATAGCCCTCGGGTTTGGAGAGCAGCCATGAGGACAAAGAATAGCCAGAAGGAGAAGACAATAAAAGATATGTTTATTGATTTGAGAGAGAGAAACACCAATCAATTACCTCCCATACACAGGATTGAACTGCAGTCTAGGTATGAGCCCAGACTGGGAATCAAACCCACAACCTTTTAGTGTAGGGCAGGGGTGTCAGACTCATTTTCACCAGGGGCCACATCACCATCTCGGTTGCCTTCAAAGGGCTAAATGTAATTTTAGGACTGTATAAATGTAACTACTCCTTAACTAGGGGCAAGGAGCTAGGCGCTGCCCCTGCCCCGTAGAAACAAGGTGGAAGAGGGCTGGATTTGGCCCCGAGGCCTTCTGTTTGCCACCTGTGGTGTAGGTGATGACAACGCTCCAATGAAGGAGCCAGAGCAACAATAAAAGATATTTTTAACCTCTTTGTTTTTTCATTGTTATGTATCTAGCCTATAGTATTTATAGACTATTTGTCATAAACATGAAATAAGCATTGAATTTTTTTTATTACATCTTGGATTTTCTTGTTTGAGTGAAATATAAATATGAGTGGGAAAAAGAAGCCCTGGCATAAGCAAGTAAATTACTGAGCCTCTCTGGATATTTATTTTCTTATTTTTTTTACTTTAATTGTTGTTCAAGTATAGTTTTCTGCCTTTTACTCTCATCCCAGCCTACCCCCCACCTCTCTGGATATTTAAATGTGAGAGTTCATTCATATCATTTCATTAAATAGAGGCATTGTATCAACTTCTCTCTCTTTAGTTCCTGTCATTTTTCTAAGGGTAATTAATACTGTAATGTTTTAGTGGCCCAATTTTTGACAGATAAGTAGCTTTACAAAGAAAGAACCCAAATGACCTATTTATTATAGCTCAGTAAGGGTACTCACCTTCAAAGATAAAGATGATCTTATTAACCACTGTAGTGGGACACAAAATTTGAGTAATATTTCTAGGTACTTAAAAGTTTCTACTGAGAATGAGTTTCCAAAGTTAACTATATTCTCTCTGCAGCCACTGGTTCTTCATTTCCACATTAGCCAATTAGCTATTATGTGTACCTTTTGACTGTTAAACAACCCAGACTTAACCAAAACAGAACCAAAAAAAGCACCTGACCTTTGGCCAGGCCCATAGTTACTCTGCTCTAAGCAAGTGAGAGAAGCAACTTTATGTCAGTATTAGACTTATTTACAAGAAAATTAATTTGTATAAAGTATATAAGTACATAGATATGTATAATATAAAAATACTATGGAATGTTAATGTATTTTCTGTATGTGTGGTACTGATTAGACCACAGACACCATTCTGTGTCAAGCGGAATTTAAGTACTTAAAATGAAGAAGATTTCAAACCTGAAAGTGATAGAATGATGTTTCACCAACTCCTTTTACCAATTTTTTCACTTTATTGTTTTGTAGATAATGAGCTTCAGTCCCCAAGATCTGCGAAGACGTTTGTGGGTGATTTTTCCAGGAGAAGAAGGTTTAGATTATGGAGGTGTAGCAAGGTAGTGATAGTATGAATATTCAGAACTTATAGTTTCTTTCCTTCAAAGATATCATTATACTTTGCTTGCAAATATTATTTTCTCAAATCTTACATTTTAGGAAAATGAAATGTAGGAAATTATTGTACCTTTATTCTGCAGCTATAGCATTTCAACATTAATTCAGAAGGTAACTAAGGTATTGCCAGTTGGTTTCTCCCACATTGCTCTGTGAAATTGGATTGTTTTTCATATCTGTCTAGGATTTAGAGAGCAGTGGTACTTGATGTGGATGATTGTAGGACTTATTAATAGATGGAATAATATTAGACTTGTTTCAGCTGCTCTAATCACACGGGTTAATCAGTGAAGTTTCAACTTGACTATGTGTAGTATTTTATTGGTTCTAAGACTAACATTTTTATATTTTAACATCTCTGAAATTGGGATTTGTATCACAATTATAATTGGAAAAAAGTTTTAGTGGTTCATTAAATAATGGTGTCTTTAAAGTTGGTGGTATCATAGATTCTTTGAAATGTAATAATAAGCAGTGTATAAATATCATCTCTATAAAATATATGTCAATTTGAACAGAAGCAGTAAAATCAACATGATAAATTAGGTAACTGTTGCCATCTGAGGAGTGTAGATTTTTAATTTTGTACCAGTGCCCTCTGATTTGTTGTCATGGTCACGTGCATGATTTTTTTACCCAAAATTTTCTTTTCATTTCAGAGAATGGTTCTTTCTTTTGTCACATGAGGTGTTGAACCCAATGTATTGCCTGTTTGAATATGCAGGGAAGGACAACTACTGCTTGCAGATAAACCCCGCCTCTTATATCAATCCAGATCATCTGAAATATTTTCGTTTTATTGGCAGGTTTATTGCCATGGTAAGTACAGCTGGAGAACTGGGTTTACTTTGCTAATTCAGCAATACTAAAGCATTGTTTCTTTAACTTTCTCATTTGAAATTTTCTCATCACTAAGACATTTCTAAGATTGGATTTGTTATATTTGCCCTTTTTCTAGAAAAAGGGGAGTATAATGGAATCATATATCAGGGGAGCTTTTCTTTAATGAAGAACTCATCTAACATTCTGAAATACAATGAATGTTATAAAATTATCTTAAATACTACTTGTTTTTTCTTTTATAGGCTCTGTTCCATGGGAAATTCATAGACACAGGTTTTTCTTTGCCATTCTACAAGCGCATCTTGAACAAACCAGTAGGACTCAAGGATTTAGAATCTATTGATCCAGAATTTTACAATTCTCTCATCTGGGTTAAGTAAGTGTGTTTCCATTTATTTTATCAAAATATAGTCTGTATGCTTTCATTACGGTGTTGATATGTAAAACTGTAAGCATGGTCTGTGTTAAACATTTTGTTATTCAACATGATAAATTTTATAAAAATATACCCAAGATCTTACGCAAAATGTGATGACTTTAGAACATAATTTTTTTAGTTTTCTTGTTATTTTGGTTTATAGTTATTTAAGAACATAGTCCTTTATTTAAAACCCTGTAAATAATTGAATTAGTATAACAAATAGTGTTAATTTCCCTTGTGCAGAGAAAACAATATTGAAGAATGTGGTTTGGAAATGTATTTCTCCGTCGATAAAGAAATTTTAGGTGAAATCAAGAGTCACGATTTGAAACCAAATGGCGGCAATATTCTTGTAACAGAAGAAAATAAAGAGGAATATATCAGGTGAGAGAGAATGCTCCCTTTGACATAGTTGGTGGCCTTTCTGTTGGATTACAGCATGTTGATAATTGCCTAGTAATACTAGTGGACAATGTGTTTAAAATAATTTTTGCCTAAAAAGTAAAAACTAATTATGAGAACTGAACGTGTATTATTAAGGATATGAATGATTACTTTTTCTTCCTTGTAATGTTGAGAGAGGAACAAGGAAAGTGCTAAGAGAAGTCTAAAGAAGATGACATCATTTCATCTAGTTATAATCATGGAGCAAGTAGTTGATGGTACTTAAGTTGAGCCTTTCAGTTGTGTAGACGTGAGAGCAAAAGTTTTGAGCAGAGAGATGGAGGCTGGAAAACACAAATCACAGACAGTAATAGGGAAGAATATCCATGGTGTGTGAGGTGCTGTTGGGCAGCTCAGGTTTGACATCCTGTTCTGCCATGCCCTGCATTTCAGAATCCAAAGAAAATGAAGACTCTTTAGAACAGAGTTGTCAAACTCATTCTCACCAGGGGCCACATCAGCCTTGTGATTGCCTTCAAAGGGCCAAATGTAATTTCAACTCCTTAACAGTTAAGGAGTGGTTACATTTATACAGTCCTAAAATTATTTCAGCCCTTTGTAGGCCCTTTGTGTAGTGGTTGTTCATGAGTTTTATACCCTTTTTCTGGTATATTTTCAACTTAACCAGAATTTTGAAGATGTATGAAGTGATAGGAAAGAATTTTGGTTATAGAAAACTTTCACTTTTCTCCAAAAGTAGGAATTTTAATGGTAGAAAATAGTGCTAGATCACTTTAAACAACCAATTCTGTTATCCGCTATGCCATGTAACATGTTGTTGAAAATAGTCTCAAATTTATGTGCAGATATTTTCATGGGGAATATTGTAAGGTCAGGTAAAATTTACAAGTAAAATGATGGTTTATAGTACATCCTCTCTTACTGTTTGCATTGGTTCATACTTTTAGTCTCAAGAGTTTTTGATTCATTCACATATTCTCAACACCAATTCAGGGTTAGATTTCATATATGTGCTGCTTCTGGCATTCCAGTTTCTGGGAATTTTGCCTGCTTTTTACTTTTTAAATATTAATATATTCACTCCAGCTTTCCTATGAATAGTATTTGCATGGTATACCTTCCTTCATCTTTTACTTTCAATCCTGTGTTTTTGTATTTAAAATACTCATATGTTTCTTATCAGCAGCATGTTCTTAGGTCTTGCTGTTTTTATCCAGTCAGATAATCTTTACTTTTTTAAAGACGTATTTATTTATTTATTTATTTAATTTTAGAGGGGAAGGGAGGGAGAAAGAGAGGGAGAGAAACATCAATGTGTGGTTGCCTCTCACATGGACCCCCCAGGGACTTGGCCTGCAACCAAGGCATGTGCATGTGCCCTGACCAGGAATTGAACTGGCGACCCTTTGGTTTGCAGCCTGTGCTCAATCCACTGAGCTACACCAGCCAGGGTTGCCAGGGCTTATTTTTTAATTGCACTTTTTAGTACAGTTACATTTAGTTTTGTTATATATAATGGACTTAAGTCTGCTACCTTGTGATTTATTTTTCCCAGTTTCCTTTGTTCCTCCTTTTCTGCTTCTTTTGAATTAATAGTGTAATTTTTACTTTTCTGTTTTAATCTCTCCTATTGGTTAACTATATCTCTCATTTTATAGTGAATGCTGTAATGATTATAAAAATATGAATTCTTATCACTTGGAAATAATATTCTATTAACATTAACATTATGTATAATAATGTAACATAATTAATAGCACACTATTTATACAGTGTAAGAGGCTCATGGTGGTATAATTTCATTTCTCTCCAGCCATTTGTGCTTATTGTTGTCATATTTTATTTCTTATGTTATAAACCCATAATACCTTATTATTAGCTTTGCTTTAAGCAATCAATAGATTTTTAAGGAAATTAAGAAAAACTAGTTTTTTATGTTTATTTACATTACCATTTCCGGTTCTCTTTATCTCTTCCCACAGATCTATTTTTCCATATGGGATAATTTCCCTTCAACTTTAAAAGCTTTCTTTGCCATTTATCTTCTTGTGTACCGGTTGTCAGGTTTTGTGTTCAGGTTTTGCCTGAAACCATATTTATGTTACCTTTAGTTTTAAAGGATATTTTGATTTTTTTTTTTTTACTACTTTCAATATCATTTCCTTTTTTGAGCACTTTGAATAATGTCATTTCATTGTTGGCAGCTATTGTTTTTGATATGAGCCATTGTTTTACTGAATGATGTGGAGTTCTTTCCCTCATGGTTTTTAAAAGATTTTCTCTTTAAATTAAGAAAGATTTTCTCTTTAATTTTGGTTTTAGCATTTTGACTCTGATGTAATTGTGATTTCTTGTATGTATATTTATCCTGCTTGGCTTTTCTGACCTTCTTGAATCTGCTAAGGATGCCGTTTCAGTAGTCATGGAATATTTTGGGGCTTTATCTCTGTGGATGTTCCTTCTCCTTGATGCCCTCTCTATATAGTTCAGAGATGTCAGTTACATACATACTTATCTTTTGATATCATCCTGTGGTTCCCAGATGCTGTATATATATTTTTTATCTTCTCTGTCCTTCAGTTTGGATCATTTTGCATTCACTTCTCTTAAGCTCATCCAATGAAATTTTTGTTTTAGATGTTTTGTAATTTCCATTTGATTCTTTTACAAATTTCTCTGCTAAGAATCTTCACCTCTATTTTATCCATCTCCTGCTGTAAATTCTTTTAATATATCTTTAATAGCTTTTTCATTTTTTAATCCTCACCCAAGGATATGTTTATTGATTTTAGAAAGAGAGGAAGGGGGCAAGATAGACATTAATCAGTTGCTTCCCATAGGTATGTGCCCTGACTGGGGATTGAACCTGCAACCCCTTGGTGTACAGGACCATGCTCTAAGCAACTGAACCACTTGACTGGGGCTCTTCATATTTTTTATATGTATTTTGTCATCTTCTTAAAGAAGACCCTTTAACATTTCATGTAATACTGGTTTAGTGGTGCTGAACTTGTTTAGGTGTTTGTTTGTTTGTTTGTTTGTTTGTTTTATCTGGGAAAGTCTTTATCTGTCCTTTGAGTCTAAATGATAACTTTGCTGGATAGAGTATTCTTGGTTTGTAGGTGCTTGGTTTCCATCACTCTGAATTTTTCTTGTCACTCCCTTCTGGCCTACAAAGTTTCTGTTGAGAAATCAGCTGACAGTTTTATGGGAGTGCCTGTGTGAGTAACCAACTGCTTTTCTTTTCTTTTTCTTTTTTTTTTTTAAGATTTTATTTACTTATTTTTAGAGAGGGAAGGGAGGGAGAAAGAGAGAGAGGGAAATATCAATGTGCGGTTGCTGGGGGCCATGGCCTGCAACCCAGGCATGTGCCCTGACTGGGAATCAAACCTGTGACATTTTGGTTCGCAGTCCACGCTCAATCCACTGAGCTACGCCAGCCAGGGCTCCACCTGCTTTTCTAGTGCTGATTTTAAGATTCTCTCTTTGTCTTTAACATTTTGCATTTTAATTATGATGAGTCTTAGTGTGGGCCTCCTTTGGTTTCTCTTATTTGGGACTTTTTGTGCTTCCTGGAATTGTATGTCTATGTCCTTCACCAGAGAAGTTTTCTTTCTTTATTTTTTCAAATAGGTCTTCAGTTCCTTGCTCTCTTTCCCTCCTCCTTCTGGCACCCCCCCACAATGTGAATGTTAATATGCTTGAAAGTTGTCCCAGAGACTCCTTATACTATCCTCATGTTTTTTATTCCTTTGTTCCCCCTGCTCTCATTGGATTTTTTAAGCTTCCTTATATTCCACATTGCTGTGTTGATTTTTGGCTTCATCTCTTAGACTCTTTATTCCCTGTAATGGATTCTTCTGACCAGTTACTCTTTATGGTTTCCATGTCCTTTTTTATGCTCTTAAAGTTCTAAATTTGTCTACTCTTCCCCTAAGTTCATCGAGTATCCTTATCACCAGTGTTTTGAACTCTGCATCTAGTAGATTGCTTGTCATCATTTTGTTCTGTTCTTTAATTTGGGACATGTTTCTTTGTTTCCTCATTTTGGCAGCCTCCATGTGTTTGTTTCTATGTATTAGGTAAAATTGCTATATCTCCCAGGCTTAGTAGAGTAGCCTAATATGTAGGTGTCCTGTGGGGTCCAGTGACATAGCCTTCTCATTCACCAGAGCTGCACATTCCAGGTGTGCCCCGCATCCCCTTTCTTGCCCCATGTGGGCTGTGTACACCCTCCTGTTATGGTTGAGACTTGATTGTTGTTGGCACGCCATTGGGAGGGATTTACCCCCAGGCCAGTGGGCTGTAAGGACTGGTTGTAACAAGTCAGCTGTGCAGAGGCCCACCTCATGAAGGAGGACTTACTTCAGCAGAGCTCTGGTGCCCTTTGAGTGTGCCGTTTGTGGAGTGGTTGGGTAGTGCTTCGATGTGATCTGAGCTATTCACTGAGTGCACTGGCTCTGGGGCCTCCTGGGAGGTATAGGCCAAGGTCAGCTACCACCTGTGTTCTGTCTGGGGCTACTTGGCAGGAGCTACAAAGTGATCTGAAGATGGCCACTACTTGTGCTGAGCCTAGAGGTGCCCAGGAGAGGCCAGACTGTGACCAAAGGCTGGCTGTTGCTAGTTCCAGTTAACAAGAGGTACAAGGTATTACTCTGAGGCCAGATACTGCTTGTTTGGTAGATTTTAGAAAAGTCTGAAGCATGGGCCAAGAAAAGTCGTTTGTATGGAAAAGCCACTGGAACTGGCTTGGGTGGGCTCACAATTTGGGTGGGGTGGGGTCTGAGGGAATGACCAGGTCAGGGCACAGTGATTGCCCAGTTGATGGAGACTCAGATGTGGTGCCCACCCCCCAGGATTTCTGTTTGGCAGAAAGCTGCCCCTCTAGCTCTTACCCTGATGAACTGATAGTTCAGTTCCTTCCTGTTTGTCCCTGGTGCCTTTCAAGCTTCTGCTCTAGTACTCGAACTCAGAGGAAGTGAGTCTGAGTAAGTCCATGTACAGGTCGTTTAAGAGGAACTGCCTGGAACAGCAGAAGCCCTCCATCTCACTGAGCCACCCCAGTCCCCCTGTATTCTTACAGCCAGAATATGGGGGCTTCTCTTACTGGCACTGGGACTCCCTGACACTGCGTTGCTCACAGGAGACCTATGCAGTTGAGATATCCCTCTGGGTTTTTATCTGTCACACATGGGTGTGGAATCAGCCCATTTCACTTCTGTGACCCTCCTGTAAGTCTCAGTGTGGCTTCTTGTTTGGTTCTAAACGATGGTTGTATAGTTTGGTTGTAATTCTGATGTGGGTGTGAGAGGTTGTGAGTCCTGCCTTAACCTATACTGCCATCTTGACTGGAGCTCTGTAGCCATTTTTTATTGTGGATGATACTTGGTAGTTACTCTGGGTTATTTTTTCTTCCTTTGTAAAAATATCGAGTTTTGTTTTGACAGGCAGTGAAATTAAAGGCAGATCACATTGATCCTGTGGAAGTCAGTTAGAGTTGGTCTATTTCCATTTTGCTTTTGATCCTAAAACATAGCCTTTATTCCCAGAATATGGTCTTTGCTCCTTACAGTGGAAAACCAACCCAAGGTGTTTACCATGTAATTTTGTGAAATACGAACACTTAAATTCTGTCTCTTTAGCATTAAGTAGCTGCTGAAATTTCTGCTTGGATCTTTGGTTGGCTTACTGCTTTGCATGGGATTCCTTGGAGTCTCACCATTTTATACATATGTATTTAGGAGTCAACTAAGATTTTTTTTAAAAGATTTTTATTTATTTATTTTTAGAGAGAAGGAAAGGGAGGGAGAAAGAGAGAGAAACATGGATGTGTGAGAGATACAGTAGCTTCTTGCATGCCCCCTACTGGGGGCCTGGCCCACAACCCAGGCATGTACCCTGACTGGGAATCAAGCCCACAACTTTCTGGTTTACAGTCCAGTGGTCAATCCACTGAGCCATACCAGCTGGGGCTCGGCTAAAGTATGTTTCTTCTATACAGATTTGGGAACTCCCTCTCTGTCTTCTTTCTTCCTGGGATATTCCCATAGTGTCTTTGGCAGCTTCAGGCTCCCAACGTCATGTTACCTCTGTAATATGTAAGACTGTTGCCTCTGTGCTCTGTGTAAACTGGGAAGTGCCCTTAGGGAAAAAGCCCATTAAATGTGGGTCTGCTCCAGTGTCCCAACTCCTTTAAGAATCTCATCCCCAACAATTAATTGCTGCCTACCTTTGACTTTTCTCTGATAACTTCAAACATCTTTATATAATTTTTCTAGTTTTTTAAAAAGAATTATTTATTTATTTTTTAGACAGAAAGGGCGAGAGAGAGAAGGAAAGAAACATCAACAGCCCTGGCTGGCATAGCTCAGTGGATTGAGCACGGGCTGTGAACCAAAGCATTGCAGGTTCGATTCCCAGTCAGGGCACATGCCTGGGTTGCAGGCCACAGCCCCCAGCAACCGCACATTGATGTTTCTCTCTCACTCTCTTTCTCCCTCCCTTCCCTCTCTAAAAATAAATAAATAAAAAATCTTTAAAACAAAGAAAGAAAGAAAGAAAGAGAAAGAGATCTACATGTGGTTGCCTCTTATACACCCTCTACCAGGCACCTGGCCTACAACCCAGGCATGTGCCTTGACTGGGAATCGAACTGGCGATCCTTTGGTTTGCAAGCCAGTGTTCAGTCCACTAAGCCACACCAGCCAGGGCTGTTTTTCTACAGTTTATTATTGTAATTACCAAGAGGATTCGTCTACTACAACCTGCGCTGCCATTTTCAAAAATTGCAGAGTTCTCAGTAAACTTTAGAACTTTAGTTGCCTTAAGTTGTCATTAAGTAATCACATTTGTTCATTAAATTTTTAAAAAATATTTTGTAATAAAATAGAAAGAAGTTTATATTTGTTGTGATTTTAACTTTGTTCTATGTCTTAGCTATGTAACTATATATGAAGATTAGAAGGAAGTGGAAGTTGTAATCTACAATATTTAGTAGAGGACAATTTCCTTTAAAATATTTTCATTGAAAAAATGCAAGGTGAAACCTATTATTTAAAAGAAGCTTAAGAGACTTGCAATGCATGAACTTTCTTTAAAAAAAAAAAAAAAAAGATTTGCCGTGGCTGGTGTAGCTCAGTGGATTGAGCGCGGGCCTACGAACCAAAGCATCATAGGTTCGATTCCCAGTCAGGGCACATGCCTGGTTTGCAGGCCACGACCCCCAGCAACCGCACATTGATGTTTCTCTCTCTCTTCCTCCCTCCTTTCCCTCTCTAAAAATAAATTTAAAAATCTTTTAAAAAAGGATTTTATTTATTTATTTATAGAGAAAAGGAGGGAGAAAGAGAGGAATATTAATGTGTGGTTGCCTCTCATGTACTCCCAACTGGAGACCTGGCCCGTAACCCAGGCATGTGCCTTGACTTGGAATTGAACCAGCAACTCTTTAGTTTGCAGGCCAGCCCTCAGTCCACTGAGCCACACCAGCCAGGGCAAAATGTATGAACTTTCTTACAATTCTGATTTAAGCAATATTTTTTTAAAATCAGTCATTCAGTGGAATTTAAGAACTGAGTATTTGATATAAAGTAATTATTCATTTTTTTGTGTGATAATAGAATTGTGGTTATATTTTTTAAAAGAGACCTCATCTTACAGAGATACATACTAAAATAATAATTATGTTTAAAATTAAGTTATATCTCAAGTATGGGTAAGGGACATAATGAAGTAAGATTGGTATTGTATGGAAGCTGGGATATCTATGTATGAGGTTTCTTATTTTTTTTTATTGAATTGAGAGAGAGAAACAGAAATATTGATTCATTATTCCTTTTATTTATGCATTCATTGGTTGATTCTTTTATGTGCCCTGAGTAGGAATCAAACCTGCAACCCTAGGGTATAAGGACAACACTCAACCAACTGAACTACCCAGCTGTGGCCTATATTCTTTTGTATATGAAGTTTTTCCTAATAGTAAAGTTTTAAAAATTTATTTTTGTACTCAGAATTTAAACATAAAGTTTAAAGTTCCTGATAGCTTTTTTTATATTTATTTACTAGAATGGTAGCTGAATGGAGGTTGTCTCGAGGTGTTGAAGAACAGACACAAGCTTTCTTTGAGGGTTTTAATGAAATTCTCCCCCAGCAGTATTTGCAATACTTTGATGCAAAGGAGTTAGAGGTAATGAGTTTTTCTTCTTTCCTCTGTAACATGCTAATAAATAATGCCTTCAGTTACCTGCTTTCAGCTCACTTCCCTATCTCTCCAGTGGCAATATTATTTTTTATGCAGGCAGGATGTTTTGAAGCATCCCCTGTGGTTTAAAAGTCCATAACTTACCCAAATATATCAAAGTATTACTGTCAGAACGTCTCTACAATGAATAACTCATTTACCTTAATCTGCATACATATGACACTATACTTTGGAAACTCAGCCTTCAGAAGTATTGTAGATATAATTCTGGATACGCGGTTTACAAGCCAAAGCCTCCTTATTAATTTGTTTTTGAAAGTTGTTTAATATTAATCCTTTCTTATCTATGTCTAGTATTATTATATAGATTATACAATTACCTATAGAAATCATTTGGTTTTTTTTCATCCCTAAAGGTCCTTTTATGTGGAATGCAAGAGATTGATTTGAATGACTGGCAAAGACATGCCATCTACCGTCATTACACTAGGACAAGCAAACAGATCATGTGGTTTTGGCAGGTTTGTCTCAGTTTTACTTTTATTGACAAGCACACCATAATTAAAACAAATTTCTTTTTACCATATATGAAAATAAATCACAGAAAAAAATGTAGCAATATGTTCCGACTCTTTATTCCATCTTATACATTATAATAAATGAATACAGATTATAGCAGCATCTTTTTAAGATTAGTAAGCGGCACACACTTGCACCTTTGCCCAGGGTATAAGATAACTCTAGATGTTAAGATTCTCCTGCATTTAATCTAAATGCTTTGAAATTTTATAGAATGGAAGGATGGCTTTCATCATTCATACCTCATTAAGAATTACATAACGTTAAGCAAGCAGACTTAATGAAGAGACTTGGTTTGGAATCATAATGGTGTCTTCTTCAAAAAACGTCTGCTATAGTACATGAAAAGATTTTCAGTATCACTAATCATTACGGAAGTGCAAATCAAAATCACAGTGAGATACTATTTAATACCCATTATAATGCCTATTACCAAAAATAATCATTATCATCATCATCCTTAGTGAGGATGTGGAGAAATTGGAATTCTCCTGTATTTATTGGGAATATAAAATGGTATACCACTGTGGAAAACAGTTTGGTAGTTCCTCAAAAAGTTAAACATAGAATTAACATGATCCAGCAATTCTAATCCTAGGGTATACCCAAAAGAATTGAAAGCAGGGACTCAGTCTGTGTTCATAACAGCATTAATCACATAGTCAAAAGATGAAAGCAATCTAAGTATCCATCAATAGATGAGTGGATAAACAAAATGTGACATGTATAATATGTACAATGGAATATTATCCAGCCTTGAAAGGAAATTCTGGCATAGGCTACAACATGGATAAACCTTGAGGATATTATGCTAAGTGAAATAAGCCAGCCACTAAAGGACAATTATTGTATGATTCCACTTACATGAGGTATCTAGAACAGGCAAATTCATAGAAACAGAAAATAGAATAGAGGCCACCAGGGGCTGGGGAGAAGGAACAGTGGGGAGATAACTTTAATGCATTCAGAGTTTTTGTTTAGGATAAGAAAGTTCTGGAATTAGTGGTGATAGTTATACAATAGATTTAATGTACTTAATGCCATTGAATTATATACTTAAAATGTTAAGTATGTTATATACATTGTATCATAATAAACACTTTTAAATTTATATTGCTGCTGTTCTTTTAAATTCATAAGAAAGATGAACTGAAGTTCTGTAACAGATCAGATTAGCATTTAAAAATACTTGACAGTAGTACGATAGGAGAAAAATTATTCTTTACCAAAAAAATTTGGCTGTACCAAAATACTTATGCTATAGGCTAAAAAGCATTCTCCCGAAACCTAATGTTTTTTGTTTTTTTAGGATTTTACTTATTTATTTTTAGAGAGGGGGAAGGAAGGGAGAAAGAGAGGGAGAGAAACATCAATGTGTGGCTGCCTCTCAAGTGCCCACTACTGGGAACCTGGCCCACAACCCAGTCATGTGCCCTGACTAGAAGTCAAACCAGCAACCCTTTGGTTTGCAGACCTGCACTCAATCCACTGAGTTACACCAGCCAGGGACAGAAACCTAATGTTTTGAGTCAGAATTATTATACGGGAGTTAAAAGCCACATAATTCTGGCAACACTTAGCTTATTCGGGTATATCTGGATCAGAATTCTGTGAGTTTGATTTCATTTGTTCCTAAAACCAAAAGTCTGTATGGCCTCCAGCTGTGTCCTATGTAATGACATGAGTCTTCTATAGGATAAGCATATCTGGGGTAAGGGAAAGAGGGGCTGCCCTAGAAGAACTGATCTTGAGACTATGAGTAGGGAGCTCTTGGGCCCAGGACACCCTCTTTTTCTGTCTCCCTATAAGGATGTGGTCTTAAGATTTACATAAGGGAAGGTTGGTGGGACTTTGACAACCATGGAGAAGCTCCTCCATCCATAGTGGTGGGTACAGTCATTAGTGCATCTGACACTGGGAGTTCGTTTAAGATTTTAAATAATTGTTTTTCTTGTCTACTATGCTAAATATAACATATGACCCATATATCCCTTTAAATGTGCTTTAACAGTTTGTTAAAGAAATCGATAATGAGAAGAGAATGAGACTTCTACAATTTGTTACTGGAACCTGCCGATTACCAGTTGGAGGATTTGCTGACCTCATGGGTATGTGTATAGGATTACTTCTCCTACACAGAAAATTGTTTATCACACTGCTATTACATCAATGTAATGGCATCTGGCAATTCTAATCCTAGGGTATACCCAAAAGAATTGAAAGCAGGGACTCAGCCTGTGTTCATATCAACATGTTATACATACTTATCAGAAATAACAAAGATAAGTATAACCATTTTCTTAAATAGTCATAGTTAACCTAGGTTTGCATAAACTTTTAAACACTTTGTACTCTTTACCTCTAGAAATTTTAATCCCTTACACTACACCCCACATTTTAACTCAGTAGGATAGTAGTCTTCTATTTGTAAATCCATTTCTTCATTGAGTCATTTGGCAAACATTTGTGTGTCTCCTCTGAGGCGTTATTGGTTATATTATACTATATTTTAATGATGTTTTTACCACTCTAACCTCTTATACCTGGAGCTTCTTAAGATACAGATCCATATCTTCACCTTTTTATTTCTGACACCTAGCATAATGCTTATCACATAATACCAGATTGAAGTGCATTGTTTTGAAATGAATGATTATGAAAATATTTTGCGACTAAATAATAAATTCAAGTCTTCCTTTAAAACCAATATTATGTCAACTAACATAGGAGGATAGAGGGGAAGTTGTGATCTCTAAGCTTGCTTCAGCTAAAACAAAGAGTCAGAATAAAAAGAACTAGGCAATTTTGGACAAAGTGTGAAACCAATTTCAGTGTCTTTAAAAGGCAGACTGAAAGAATTTGGACATTACTCTGAGAGTATTATAAGCTATGGAAACTTTTTGAAAAGAGGAACACTTGCTGAAGCTGCATTTTAGGAAGGTTTGACGGCAAGGCATAGTATGCATCAAAAGGTAGGGAGAGCCTGGAGATAGGAAGAAATTATTGGAGCAATGACGAGAACCTGATCTTAGGAGATGAAAGTAGAGATGGAAAGGAGTGGATAAATGCTAAAGAAATTCCAAAGGTAGAAACAGTACTTGATTAAACGATAAGATAAGAAGGAAGAATGTTGAAGGTAATTATATGAAATCTGGAAAAATTGAGAAGTTGTGACATGTAACGAACATGATTTGGAGATATTGGGGGAGGATAATGAGTTGCTTAAAATCTGCTGAGTTTAAGGTGACTGCCAGACAACCAAGCAGAAAATAGTCAGGAGGCAGGGAGTAATTTTACAGCTGTTACTAAAGTATGACTTCAGAGATAAGAGTAGAGAGGGGAAGTAGAGCCTTATATTTGAAACTGTGAGAATGGGCTTATGCAAAAAGAGAATCAAGGGTTGATGCTTAAAACATCTGTATTTAGGTAGGGATGAGACTAATAGCTTAGAGGCAGACTTAAAAGGGAGGCCTCAGAGTAAAGAAGAGAAATATTCTAATTTCTCAGAAGGAATATAGAAGGGAAGTTTTTAAATAGTGCTAGAGAGAGTATGATTTCTAAATAAGTTATTAGAGAGGGGCACCTTTGAGAATGCTCTCTAGTTTGAAAAAGAGAAAACATGTTGGGGGTTAGGAATAGTGACCAAAATGAGGGGGAGAAATGGTACAAGATTCTCACTATAAACTGGAAATCTGATTATTAGAGATGATAACTAGATCTATTCTTGGGAATATTTGGGGTTGGGTGGTGCTGTCTAAAACAACACAGAAGGCTACCTGTGGAAGGCAGAGACAGCAAGATCGTGATTCATAGAATTTTAGAAGCCATCTGATTTAACCTTCCACCCAGTGTAGGATAAAGTTGTAAGAGTGATATATATAATAATTTAATTTGGTGGTGCTTGAACTTACCAGATCTACCATTCCATTTTTGTAACAATATTTATAATCTCCTCTTTAATACTCCGCAATGAAATTGGTAGATGTGAAATAACACCTTTTATTTCCCCCAAAATACATGTACATAACAGTAACTGTAATATAAAGGGGAAATTTTTAAGACATAATTTATAATAAAATAATATTTATTTCAATACATGTATATTTGGGAACAGCTATGTTAGAAGACACAGATAAGTAGTCAGATACTTGGTTATGCTTAAGAAAAGGTTTGGGTTTAAGGGAAAATCAGAAGCCCCTCTGTATAAGAAGCACTGGAATATGGAAGAACAGATAGAAAAGGTAAGAAAAATAGACTTAAATAAATATCATAAGAAAAAGTGGGAAATAACCTAAATGAAGTAGGGATACTATACCTGCCAGAATTAATTATAAATAATCAAAGTAGAGAAAAATAAGGTAGATCTGAAACTGTAGTGTCTAGCCCTCCCCAGGTAGCTCAGTTTGGTTGGAACATCATCCTGTGCTCCATAAGATTGTGGGTTTGATTCCCGGCCGGGGCACAGACCTAGGACTCAGGTTCAGCCCCCAGTTGGGGTCCATACAGGAAGCAACTGATTGATGTTTCTCCCTCTCCCTCCCTCTCTCTCTTTCTCAGTGTCTCTCTCTCTCTCTTTCTCTCTCACCCATCTCCCTTCCCCCTCTTTAAAACCGATAAAAACATATCTTCGGTTGAGGATTTTTTTTAAGCATAGTGTCTATCATGAAATTACACTACAGTCCGAGGCTCTGATATGTAAAAAGGCTGCAGAGTCCATATCATTTGGAAGTTTAAATAGGTTGAAAATAGGAACATAAGTGCAAGAGTCTACATAGAAGTGTCTTAGTTTAAGGAGAGTGTCAGAGTAAGATTGAAAATAACAGGTAACCTAAACATAATTGCAATATATAATGTTTACAACTTGATGTCTTACCATTCCATATTAATTAGCACTATTAAATGAAACTTTTCCATTCATCTAACTAGAAATGTTGTAATATGTTGATAGAATGTACAGTATGAATAAATTATTTGATAATTTTGAACTTAATTATTTATCCTTTTAAATAATAACCATTTCCTATATTACTGGGCTTTTCACTTAACTACCTGTGAAAATACTTCAATGTTCATTAGATACAAAAACATTACAGATTTATATTTCTACAAGATTTATTCTTGTGGGACATGAGAAAATTCTGAGTACAGCTGTCCTGACACATTGTAGAACATTTAGTGTGCCTAGTCCCTTCTAATGAGGAAGTAGCACTACCAATCAGTCATCAGCATTCACAGCTGTCTCCAACAGAAGATAAATGAAAAGGGAATTAGGTGTGTATAAGGATATGCCCTACAGGACAGAACTTCTGTGCCACAAGCATTGTTAATATGAATTCACTGGGTTGTTTATTTACATTTTATAAAGTTTAACCATTTATGTTTAAATCGTGTTTTATTATATAAGACAAGTGGTTTGAACTTTGCCTCTGGTGTTTAAAACCACAAGTAAGCTTTTTATGTGTCTCTCTCTTTTTTTAAATTTTATTTTAATTGTTGTTCATGTACAGTTTTCTGTCTTTACTCCCATCCCAGCACCCCCCCACCCCTCCCTACCTCCCTCCCATTTCCACTCCCCCTAGTTTTTGTCCATGTGTCCTTTATACTTGTTCCTTTAAACCCTTCCCCTTTTCCCCTGAAATTCCTTTCTCTCTCCCCTCTGGTCACTGTCAACCTGTTCTCTATTTCAGTGTCTTTGGATATATTTTGCTTTATGTGTTCTCTTACGTGATTATAACATTCTGTTATTCTGGCTAAAGAATGCTAAATAAAACTGCATTTTCTCTTCTTGTGTGCATACATTAGCAAAATGGTTGTCAAACCTTCACACCCATCAGAATCACCTGAAAGCTTATTAAAACATATTTCTGAGCCTTACCCCCAGAGTTTCTGATTCAGTTCAGCAGTATGTTTGGGATAGGGCCTGTAGTTTTGTGATTCTAACAAGTTCCCCGGTAATGCTGATATAATGCTGCTGGATTGGGAATCACAATTTGAGAAGCATAGCATTATCAATCTGTTGATTTTACTATGTTTTAGGGAGCAATGGACCACAAAAATTCTGCATTGAAAAAGTTGGGAAAGAAAATTGGTTACCCAGAAGTCATACCTGGTAAGTAAAATCAGGAAGAGTAAATTGCCATTTCCAGTTGTTCTTTAGATATTAAAGCCTATTAGAAATTAAAAATGAAATATTTTCCCATTGTATTGAATTACTTTTAACAGCTTTATTAAGGCATAATTTATAATACATACTATAAAACTTACCCATTTTAATTCAATGAGATTTAATAGATTTAGAGTAGTAACCATCACTACAATCCAGTTTTAACATATTTCCATTACCCCAAAACAATTTGCCCATTTGCAGTCAAATGATGACTTTAAAAACCAGTGTTGTGCCCTGGCCATGTAGCTCAGTTGGTTAGAGCAACGTTCCAATATGTCACGGTTGTGGGTTTGCTCCCTGGTCAGGGCAATTACAGGAGACAACCAATGAATGCATAGATAAGTGGAACAACAAATTGATGTTTGTCTCTCATTCTCACTCCCTCTCTCTCTAAAATAAATTAAAATAATAATAATAAACAGGGTTGTTGTATAATACACTGCCTATATAGGATTCTTTGTACATTTCCTTTCCTCAAACTAATAATTCTTATTTTTAGTTTTAACCGCCTGGACCTGCCACCCTATAAGAGCTATGAGCAACTGAAAGAAAAGCTGTTATTTGCAATTGAAGAAACAGAAGGATTTGGACAAGAGTAACTTCTGGAAACTTGCACCACCAAAGGACAAGAACTTGTTTGCAATGTTTGTCCTTTTCCTTCTCTGCCTTTGCACATCTTGTTGTAAAATTGGACTGTGACTGTTTAGAGAGTTATCTGAGTGTAAGTAAATTAATGTTATCATTGAGATTTATCTCCCAGTGATTCTGGATTTTTACTCAAATGTTTCCAGAAATCAGATCTGCAAATGACTAGTCAAAACCTTACTTAACATGAGATTTAACACAACAATGAAATCTGCCTTGTTTTATTCCACTAGATTATTTCCTTAATTATGTATATGTGTATCAGAAGTCTCACTCTTTTACATCCTAGAACAGTAACAGAAACATTGTTAACCTCGTGTGTGTGTGTGTGTGCTCTAACACTGCCGTCCTACAGCAGACTTGATGCAAGTGACAGGATCACCTCGTCCAGAAGTTGTCAGCACAAAGGGGAGGCGGTTAGGGTCTGCCCAGCCCTACATTCATTTGCTTTTTTATGCCACCTACTCCAGAAAATGTATGTGGTATTGTCTCTTAAAGCCCTAGTTTTTGTTTGTTTTGTTTTGTTTGTTTGTTTTTTTCCCAGAGTCAAGGCTCCACCTTTCCATTGGTAGGGGAAAAAAATGCTATTGCTTTGTCTTACGGAGCGAATGTCTGCCCCCTACCCATTTATTGTATTGAATTTTGGTAACATAAGGCTATGGAAATTAAGCCTTCTATAAAGACTTCCTATAGAGGTGAATTCTCATATTGAAATGTAGTTACCTGCAATATTTACTAGAGATTTATGAGATTAAATTAAGAGATAATGTAAGAAAGTAGACTTTTTTGGTTCTACATAATGCTTCATGATTCATTTAGGGACCTAGAAATATTGTGTGAAAATGTATAAATATCATCCAAAAGGCTTTCTGCCCTATATATTTTTAAAATACAGAATAGTTATATTTTAAGTAGCCCCGGCCCTAGTTCTATAGGGCTTGGCTATTTAATATTTTTATGCAAGAAACATTTAGTTCTGGAAAAGGTAAATGCTTGTATATATTTTTGCAGCCTGGGATCTCCCTTACTGCATTTCTTTCTTTAATTTAAGTGGCCACATGTATATGTCTTCCTGCTGTGTTAGAAAAATGGGGGCTGGATATCCCAAGAATCAGAGGTTTTATAAAAAGACTGCAGATAGACAACAGACATAAATATCTACCAAATGCTATCTTAAATTTTGGTCCAAACTGAACATTTGGAAATAGATTTATTGTAAGTGTTTAATTAGAGTGATTTCTTAAATATGAACTAAATTGCTTTTAGAGTCCTTTTTCTTTGTCAGCATTGTAAATGCTAATAAATTGTTAATTTTTTTAACTGCATGTTATGTTGAAATAAAAACAAAGTAAAATGAGCAATTGCCTTATTCTTTTGCTCTTTTGGGAGGTTGGGGAAAGCAGCGTTTCACAGCCTGGGTCAGTATGGAAGGACCTCAATTGTTTCATCAAACAGAGTGGTTTAAAACTGACCCAGCTGCTTATAATAATGAAGTCCTACTTTGTCTTTTATGATCTTATATTGTACAGAAGAATCTAACTTTATAAGACTTACAATAACTCTATTTAAAATCGAGGCACTAATTTTTCACCAAAAGATTGACATACTAATGTTGATTCATCAGAAATTTAAGTGAAACATGACTCACCTGCCCACAGAGGTCTCATGCTAAATGAGCTGTTTTAGTCAGTCCTGCCCTGCCACTTTTTCTTTATCTGGTTAATCATCTAAAATGTTATCAGGGATGACTCAGAATTAAGACTTATCTATATTTATATCCCTCCTTGGTTTGGATGTAACTCTCATTTAAACTCCTTAAGATTAAATATTTCTGTTTAATAGTTGGTATCTCCAGCCCCCTCATTTTTTTTTCTCTTTTAGAGTTATTTACAAGTTTATTTGTATATATGCTATGCTTTCATTAACTAAAAACGGAATAGTATCACTGGATTGTATATTACTGTATTGGCATTCCTTTTTTTTCCCTTGAACTGTAAATTCAAATACTCAGGTAACTCTTCAGATATCACAGGGAGTCAAGTGCTCTTATAAAGGTCCCTCAGGGGCTGCCTCACTTGCATTTCCTTAAAAGATGTAAGACTGTTTATAATTAAAGTTTTTTGGTCTTTCATTTGCACATTTTTCTGTAGTCTTGTAAGGTTTCCCCAACTGTAGAAAAGACCAGATCTTACAGATTTCCGACTGCTTTTGTAAGTGGCTGGGTTACAGCCTAACTGTACTGTAGAAGGGGTATGACCAAAAAAACCCCCAAAAAAACAGAAAGATCCACCAAGGTGAGATTTGGTGTTGTGAAGAGAACCAAGATGAAGACATCTGCTTTTCTGAGACAGCTACAGGTGCTCTAAGTCAGGACCTTAGCCATGGGTGCTGAGTAGAACCACCAGCTAGCTACCAAGACTCACTGCTCTCCGTAAGCTTTTCTGCTCACTAGCTTCAGTAGACCTTTTTCTTATGGGGAAACAAGGTGATCAAGCTCATTTAAAAGAGAACCAGTGGAGAGAGGCTAAAGGAAGTGGGATTTATTTTTTTATAATTTTTTATTTAAAGGTTTTATTTCTTTTTAGAGGGGAAGGGAGGGAGAAAGAGGAAGAGAAACATCAATGTGTGGTTGCCTCTCACGTGGCCCCCACTAGGGACCTGGCCCACAACCCAGGCACGTGCCCTGACTGGGAACCAAGCCGATGACCCTTTGGTTTGCAGCTGGCACTCAGTCCACTGAGTTACAGCTAGGGATGTAAGTGGGATTTCTTAATACATATGCTGATCTAACAGTGACTGGAGGACAGAAACTGCAGGTTCCTCACCAGTGCTGAGAAGTAGTATACCCTCTCCTCTTTAATCTGTCCCATATAAGCAGAAAACTCTAGCCTTAGTATAGCTAGGAAAAGAGGGGAAGGGGTGTTCCCCACAGCATGAGAAAATCTTCCATGGGAAAATAAGTAATTGTTCTTAGTGACCATTTGACTCTCCGGCCCCAAACTGCGACCTGGGACTCAGCTGTTGCTGACTGGCAGCTGTTACCTGAACTTACACAATCTCACATTGTATAACTCAAGAACAGAAAGCTGTCCTGGTCTATTTCAGTTGTTAATTACTGTGTGTCTACAGGACTTCTTCGTGTCAGGACATTCATGGGGAGGATCCAGGGGGAACTTCCTGGTTGACAAGGAGAAGGAGGGTCTTCAGGGGAGACCTCAGAAAGACATGTTGGTCTCTCTTTGTCTTTGCTATCCTAGCAACTAATACCACGACTATATTCACTTTGTCTCAGGACAACTGTCAACACTTACTACTATGTCCCAAACATAGATACACTGCATGCAGTCTTTTAATCTTCCTAGCCATTCTCAGAGAGGGATAATTATCTCTATTTTACAGGTTAAAAAAATGATCAAAGTGATTAACTTGAAGTGTACAGAGCTATTAATTAGTGAGAGGGCAAACTGGAATCTGGACTGACTCCAAAGGCTGCATGCTTACACATTTTGCTATACTGCTACCCATACACTGCAACCCTTGTAGTCTTCCATAGTTGATTCAGCTGCTCCATCCAATTGTTTTCCAAATCCTGTCAAACCTACCTCCAAAACGTCTTTTGAATCACTTCTCTCAGAGATGTTCTCATTGTCACAGCCCACATCTTCATCCCTGGTTGAATGTAGCGACTTCTTGTCATTGCTTTTATTCTCTCCCCTGCACTCCATCTGTGCAGCCTCAGATGACCTGTGGAAGACCTTAGTCTCATGCTTCTTCCCTGCTTAAAATCTTACAATGATTCCTCCATTAACACAGAATAAACTCCAGAACTCAGAAACCTGCCATTCATTCAAAGCCAACAATTATCTCCAACTCCTCCTTCCCCCTCATTCTGGCTCCAGTCACATGAACTACTGGTCAGGCTCTGTTTTGCATCTGTGATTGTAATCTTGTGAAATCCCTTCAGCCCTCTCAACCTGGTTCTCCATATTCAAGAGGGTGGTGATCCCTTGTGTGCTTATTTTCCAAGATGTTCTGAGATCCAGTCTCTGCAGACCCTTAGAGACAGAACTGTTGCAAAGATAGTGTAGAGAGATCCTGCACACCCTTCACCCACCTTTCCCCAATGTTAACATCCTGTATAACTTGTTAGTTTTCAAAACTAGTAACTGACATAAGTAAAGTAACACTAAACTACAGCCTTAATCAGATTTCACCAATTTTTCTACCAATCACATTTTTCTGTTTCCTCCAGTCTGTGACAGTTCCTCATTCTTTCATGACCTTGACATTTTTTGAAGAGTTCTGGTTAGATACTTTGTAAAATGTCCCTCAAATTTGGTTTAATGTTTTCTCGGAGTAAGGCCATGGATTTTTGTGAAAAATACCACAGAGGTGATGTGCCCTTAGTGTATGATATAGGGGCAGACATCAATATATCTGTCCCATTACCAGTAATGTTATCATCGATCATACAGTTAAAATGGTGTCTGCCAGATTGCCTGTCAACTCACTGTAGTACAAGACACCCTTGAAAGGAGCACCAACTCCTTCCCCAGTTAAAGAGAGGCTAAGTGGAATGAAAATCATCTGTGTTGAATTCAGCCAGCTCCAGTGCCTCGAAGAAACATTTGTGAAGGGATGCTGAGGCTCCTTGCGATAGCACGCATTAAGTGTTCAGGCCGGCGATGAGGCACAAGGTTCACTAAACGGCAGTTGTTTTAACAAATTACTTTTCGCTACAAAACCTAGAAAATTTTATGGTCTGCGGGAGTAGAAAGCGAGGGGGCGGGAGAGGACAACATGGAGCTTTGGAAAGAAGGGTCCTCCTTCTAAAGGTAAGAAAAGGAGGGAGCGTAGAGATGTGAAGTGGCTTCTTCCAGGTAACACAGGGATGGGGCTGAGCCCTAAGTTTGCAGACTCCCAGGCCAGCCCTAGCCACTTCATCTCCGAGCCTGCATGGAATATTCCCAACAGGGTCGCTCTGAGAACCCAGAGACGCTTGGAGTCCAGACCAAATCGCGGACTCTCGCATATCTTCAGCACATTTTGGCTTCGCGCTTCACTTTGCCTCATATTCCCAAGAGGGTCGCTCTGAGAACCCAGAGACGCTTGGAGTCCAGACCAAATCGCGGACTCTCGCATATCTTCAGCACATTTTGGCTTTGCACTTCACTTTGCCTCAATATGGACGCAGAGGGGATGGGGGTGTCTCAGCAACGCCCCCCCCCCTCCTCGCTCTCATACTCTCCGACAACCCTCCCCCTAGGCCTTTCAGAGCCAGGCCTCGTAGACAGTTGAAAGCCTGCCTCTTCCGACAGCGAGAACCAGCATCTCTCCGGCACTGCTAGCGCAGAGAATTCTCCATAATTAAAACACTCCCTGGTTCTTCGCTTTCGGAAGGCGGAGGGCAGATTTCCCACGAGCCCTGGGGGAGGGGTCTAAGGTCTGCCTGCCCATCCGCCTTACGCTGGCTCCTGATTGGCTACTAAAGCTGTCCGTTTTGACGTGATGTTTTGAGCAGGCGCAGAAATTCCTCCGGACTGGGCTGTGCTGTGGAGACCCGGAGCTACCCGATCGGTCCGAGATGGTGAGTGTGTTTGTTTAGCCCGCGGCTGGCGGTGGGAATCTGGCCGACCAGGGACGCCCCACTGTGCCCCTAGCCTTCCATCCTCCGGGAGTGTCCGTGCGCGGGGCTGGTTTGGGTCCAAGCTGACGGAGGGCGGAACGCGAGTGGGGTGGGCCTCCAGACCCCGACGGAGGGGACTCTGGCGGGGCCAGGGCATCCCGCTGCCCCTTGACCGGAAGTGGAAGCTCAGGCCTTAGCTGAGATCTGAGGGAGATGGGGAAGCCGGGCCAGCGGCCGGTGCATCCTAGTATCCTGGGCCTGTTGCGCGAGTACAACAATAGCGATAGGGTTTCCTGGAAGATTAATTTGTTTGAGGCACTAAAAGCGCTGTGTGTAGTTTGGCTTTCCTCCTCACCACGTCTCTGTGAGACAGATACGGTATCGTCCTCGATTTTACACACTTGAAGTCCAAAACCTGGGGAAACCTAGTGCTTTGTCCCAGGAAATGGCGGAAGTGGATTGGAACCCTCGAAGCTGACTCCTGCCTTTTTGTCCTTGTGGTTCTTTGGCGCCGCTGGGACTTGGTTGCCTGAATCAGAAAAGGGCGGGTCCGCCCTGGGGGATCCCTGCTTGCTGGCTGGAGCTGCGGGCTCCTTAACGCCTTTACAAGTTTGTTTTTTTCGTGTCTTTAATCCTCCCAACCTGTAAAAAAACTTAGAAAGACCTTTTAAATATTTAGCTATGTGAATGTGTTACTTTTCAAAAATCTTACTTAAAAATTTAAAGTCTGTAAGAAAAATTGAAAAGGAAAAAGAAACAGTGCCATAATCTAGAGACAACTGCTTATATTAGCATATAGTGTTTTTCTCTTCAGTTTTTGCTGCATTGGGTTTAGCTCTTAATGTACAGTTGTGGAGTCTGATTTCTTCATTTATTACTCTTCAAAGAATGTCTTTACATCACGAAAAATATGTGCTAATGCTTCGAACATAAGTAACTTTGTCTTGCGCATCATGTTTTATTTCACATCAATCTCCCACTGAACCCTTACCCGCCTAGCCTCAGTCTCTTCTGAAACATTGTTAGTTTTTTGTATGTCTTATTTGAGCATGTATGTGTCCCTTCTTTTTCTCACACCAGTTGTAGCTCACCGCTACTTTTACCATGCCGTTGTGTTTATATTCCTAAGAACAAAACAGACTTAGAAAATTCAAGCAGTACCGAAGTATATGATGTAGGAACCGTCTCATTCCCCTGTGGTAACAACTGTTGGCACCTGGGTGTGTTTCCTTCCAGATTGCTCCAGTGCATAAGCACACTTACATGTGAGCTATTCCATTGCGTGAAACGGGAGCACACGTTTATAGATACTAAGTTTACGTTAGGCTGTGTATAGACGTGTTCTGCAACTTACTCTTCATTTAAAAATATCAAATATTTTTCCACATCAGTATAACAGATATACTTTATTCTGTTTTAAGGACTGTATAGTATGCCGTTGCAGTATATACATTTCAGTGATTTACAGTTTTCAGACAAGGCTGCAGTAACTGTTCTTGTCTCTCTCTCTTTTTTTTTTTTTAACATTCATGCTAGTGATTACTGTTTATGTAGGATAGATTCCTAGAAGTGGTACTTCTGGCATGCCTATTCTACACTTTGGTGGAAACTGCCAAGTCGCCCTGTAGAATGATGATCATCCATAATTCTCAACCGGTTTTACTCCACCACACAACTATTTTCATTTCTGTATGTTCTCCCTTGTCTTTGTTTAAATATGTGTATTTTTTGAGATGTATATGATAGTTTTTCTTTTTTGTTTGGTTTAACCTTGTTGCTGCATCATCTTTGTGATGAATAACTTTGTGCTGTGTCATAATCAGTGAATTGGCTGTACCATTTGCCAAACCATTCCCCTGGTGTACATTCGTGTTGCTTCTAGTTCTTTGCTAGTAGAGCTTAGTGCTGTAATGAATGCTTCTGACTGTGTACAATTTATTTTTCTTTTTTAAAAAAAGTTTACCACAAAAATAAAAATAAAGTTTATCAGATTATTTCCATAGGCAAAAGTGTCAAGAAAAGAATTTTTGAGGTGAAAGGACCAATACTTTTTGGTACTTGAAATAGTGTTATCCTGTAGCTATCCCAAAAAGTCATATTGCCTTTGTACCAATTTTGCCATAACATTGCCAACATGAAAAAAAATTACCTCAGCATTGCTATCATTTTTCATTTCTTTATTTACAGGGAACAATGAACATTTTTCTATGTGTTTGTAATTTCTCTTAGGTGTATTTTCTACTAGTATTATTTTTGTCCTCTTAACTTTTAAAGACATGCTAGTTTTCTTAATTGCTTTGTGTGATGTTTTGGAATCACTCTTTTGTTTGTTCTATTTGATACAGATGTTTTGTGTCCTTTTGATTCATTCTTTTATAAAAATTCAAAAACACTCAAAGATTTTATTTATTTATTTTTAGAGGGGAAGAGAAGGAGAGAAACAACAGTGTGTAGTTGCCTCTTCTGCACCCCCGACCAGGACCTGGCCTGCAACACTGGCATGTGCCCTGACTGGGAATTGAACCAGCCAGCCCTTGCTTTGCCGGCTGGGACTCAATCCACTGAGCCACACCAGCCAGGGCAAAATTCTAATTTTTATGGTTAGTAGTCAAATTGGTCACAGTTCCCTTGTGAATCATTTGCTTCAGATGGTTATTTCTCCTATGCTGAACCAATAAATAATCCTGGAGTTTTATTACTACTTACATTTCCATCTGTCAGCAACACGCACCCTGGGAACTGATAACCCCAGAGCTTTGTCCTTTCTCTGTTGCAGACACCATGTTGATAGGATAGTCCTACATACCCAGAATCCTGAGGACACCAGTTGGGTGCTCTCTGTGAGCTGACTGTGCAGGGCTGCATGTCTAACCAGACATTACTGGTACCCATGCACTAGCACTGAAGGGATAACAGACTGAGTTTAAGGCAGAGCTGGCATGACTTGGACGCCTGAGTAGAACTGTCCTTTTCCATCTGCAAATGTCCCTGTTGCGGCTTGTTGGGGGGAAGGGGGGAGTTGGCATCATTTGTTTTCCCCTCCCTCCCTTCCTCTCTTTCTCACCCCCCCTTCCTTTCTTTTTTTTTTTTTTCTCCTGTAGTGCTGAACTTGAAGTTTGTTTTAAACAATGTCTTCTGAACCCAGACGGGTAGCTGGTGCCCTGTGCCTCACAGAGAGTGCTTAGACTCCATGGCCAGCACTCACTCATGCAGGCCTTACCCTACCCTGCTGGTTGGGGTCAGGTAGAGAAGCTATTCTCTGCTCTTACAGAAATAAAATATTTTGACTGTATAAAAATTGTTAACTCCTGATTACTGAAAAAAATCAAAAGATTAAATGAAAAAATAGGGGAAGTGTAATTTATATGATGGACAAAAGTCTATTATTTCTAACATATTAGGTTGGCCAAAAAGTTTGTTTGTTTTTTTTTCTGTAAGATGGCGCTAGTAGAGCTTAGTTGCCTTTAACTTCATTTGAAATAGTTTTGTTAGATTGTATTGTGACAGCTGTCATATCTGTGTGCATCAAAAATAAAACATCAAAATTGGTGAATTTTTGTGGAGACATTTTAATATCGAAGATGGAAGAAAATATGCAACATTTTTGGCATATTGTGCTTTATTATTTCAAGAAAGGTAAAAACACAACTGAAATGCAAAAGAAACATTTGTGCAGTGTATGGAGAAGGTGCTGTGACTGATCAAAGGTGTCAAAAGTGGTTTATGAAGTTTTGTGCTGGAAATTTCTCACTGGGTGATGCTCTGTGGTCAGGTAGACCAGTTGAAGTTGATAGTGATCAAATGGAGACATTAGTTGAAAACGGTGCCACACGGGAGATAGCCGACATACTGATGAAATGAAAAATGTGTCTTTTTATTTTATTGAAAAAAACATACAGACTTTTTGGCTAACCCAATACAAGAGTTTCTGAAAATCAGTAGATTTGCAGAAAAGTCAGGAGACTCAAAAGAAGAGAGATGCGATCAGTAAATTCCATTTTAACTTTACTGATAACTCTTAAAAATTAAAGAAAGGTTGGCTTTCTATTATTTGGTCTTTGCCTATCAGATTAGCAAAGAATCAAAAAAATGTGGCAATACAGTCACCTCTGTTCCTTGAAAATGCTGAATTTGTTCCTGGTTCTCTGCCTTTGCTTTTATCCCATTGCCTGGAGTGCTTTACTTGCTCATCATGTAGTTCTTGGTTTAAGGATTTCATCCTCAGGTGTTGCTGACCACACTAGCCAGATTAGCATTCCCCTGCTGCCCTCCCCTGTCCCTGTGCCCTGCGGGAATCTTGGTCACTTGTTATTTAAAGTTCTCTTCTACCAGAATATGGTTTGATGATGCAGGGACCTCATCAGTTATTGTCAAAAGTATATTCAGTTCCTCTTGACCTATGTGTCCTAGGGCAAAACTCTTCATCTGCACCTCTGTTTCTTCTCTGTAATATGGGAATCATACTTACCATGGGAGGGTCAGAGGACAGGTATGTCTGAAAACGTTCATCCCAATATCTGACATGTAGCAGGTGCTGAATAGTCATCGTATACTTGTACCTCCTTCTTGGTAAGTGTGTGTTTACTTTAAGCAACCAGACGTCAGTGACCGGTTCTTATTAAATTTAGGACTACCTAAAACCCTAGCTCTTATTTACACTGGGTACTGTAAGGCCTTGTCCCCTGTCCTATACTTAGAAAGGTCAATTTTTGTAAAACAGTTGTAGAAATGCTTTTTATTTATTCCCTAAGCATTGAGCCTAAACGGTGCCAGATACTAGGTCTAGAAGGTCTAAGTCCCTGTTCCCAGGGTGCTTTGGGTCTGGAGGAGATAGATAAGAGACAGGCATTTACACTCCATTGTGATAAGTGCTATGAAGGCAGGGTGCCAAGAATACCTAGAAGGGTAGATGTCAGAGAAGGTCTTCCAAGGAGGCGCATGAACGTAACGTTCCAAAGGGTTTGGAATCAGTTACATCAAGTCGTGAGCGAGGGAGAAGGTTGCATCCTTGAGAGGGAGCGTCACATGCTTAGGGCACCTTGCTCAAGCAGGCTGTGCCTGCCCCCTGCAGTCCATTCTCTGTACAGCAGCCAGAGCTGCCTTTTGAAACATCAAAACCTTGCCAGTGGCCCCCCAGGTCATTCATACTAAAAGCCAAAGTCATTACTATGGCCTACCAGACCCTCTGAAATCTGATCTGATCCTGCTTACCTCTCTCATTCGGCCACCTGGAACTCACTGCACTTCAGCCGCAGCGCAGCGGCTCCTTTGCTTTTCCTGGAGCTGCCACTCGCCTGCCTCCAGGCTCTTGTACTCGTCCTCTGTGCTGTCCGGAACTCTCTCCCTGGAAGTCTCCGCATGGTCAGCTCCCTCTTATCCTTCAAACCTTGACTCAGCTATCACCTTAGTGAGGACTTCTCTGACTACTTCATTTAAAATTACCATCAGCCCCTACCTTCCAGATAGATCCTCCTTCCATACTGTATCTGATTCATTTATAGTTTACTTTTTTGTTTGTTTAATGTCTGACTCCCCACCCCCAAATACCAGCTTCGTGAGGGCGGGGATGTTTGTTATGTTTTGTTCACTATGGCATCCCCAGGTCTAAAACAATGTCTGGCATAGGAGGCACCCATAAGTTATTAAATGAAGAGCAGTTTTGTGAGACTTTATCCTTTTTCATTTTAGCCCCACTCTCCATCCTCCAGAAGATATTTTGGACCTCGATTTAGTTTTAGTTCTTTCCTCTTCCTCAGGTTGGTTGCAGATTGAGCTATCCTAAATTGTCATCCAACTTATTATATATTCTTATTCTTATAATGTTGAGCACGTCAGAGCCCTATAGTCCCATATCAGACAGAGATCTCACTCTTGGATACACCGAGGGGGGTTAAAAAATGTCTTTAAGTAGAAACAAGGGAATAAAAAGGCTGTTTTGAAAAAAAACCGCTTTATCTAGAATTCCCTTCTCTCGATGTGTTTTATTTTTCATAACCCCCTAACCTTCTTGTTTTCATGTGGTTGCAGTCACCAAGCACTTCATTTTTGCATTTAGCTGTTTTTATGTAAAGTTACATCATAAACCTTCTGTGGTTTATTCTGATCATCATTGTTACTGTGTGTATTATTGGGTTGGCCAAAAAGTCCCTATGGTTTTTTCCGTAAAAGACACATACACCCTAGCTGGTGTGACTCAGTGGATTGAGTGCTGGCCTGCAAACCGAAGGGTCGCTGGTTTGATTCCCAGTCAGGGTACATGCCTGGGTTGCAGGCCAGGTCTCCAGTAGGGGGCACATGAGAGGCAACCACACGTTGATGTGTCTGTCCCTCTCTTGCTCCCTTCCCCTCTTTCTAAAAATAAAGTTATTAAAGTGGAAAAGGCACATATATATTTCATTTTCACCAATAACTTTATTGATTTGGCTATTTTGAGTATGTCAGCTATCTCCCGAGTGGCATAGTGTTGATCTCAATTAATGTCTTGATTTGATTGCTATCAGCTTCAGCTGGTCTACCCAACCATCGAGCATCTTCCAGAAAGAAATCTCCAGCACAAAACTTTGCAAACCACTTTTGACACATTTGATCAGTCACAGCACCTTCTCCATATACTGCACAAATGTTTTTTTGCATTTCAGTTGTGTTTTTAACTTTCTTGAAATAAATAAAGCACAATATGCCAAAATGTTGCCTCTTTTCTTCCATCTTCAATATTAAAATGGCCACACAAAAATTCACCAGTTTTGATGTTTTATTTTTGATTCACACCACTATGACAGCTGTCACAATACAATCTAATAAAATTGTTTCAAATGAAGTTAAAGACAACTAAGCACTACTAGGGCCATCTTATGGGAAAAAATCAAACAAACTTTCTGGCCAAACCAATATATTCCTGTGAAATGTACATTCCATAATTTATTTGGCCTTTTCCCTAATTATTGGGCATTTGTGGCCCTTTCTGCTTTTTGCTAATGCTGATGTCACTGAATCTTGCTGTGTTTTTCTACTTCTCTGGATTATTTCCTTAGGATGATTTTCCAGGAAGGTTACCAGGTCAGACAGAGTACTGTGGTGATCATATCACACTTCACCCCACCTCTCCACAATAGTACATAGTAGGAACTCAGTGAGTCCTCTGAGTGAATTCTGATCTCTTTCTTCCATGCATGACCCACTGTACTGTACTCTCATGTAGCCTTGTCCTTTCACACAGGCTCCAGGTTTTAGAGGTGACAGGCTACTTTGTAGGAGGAACTTGTTTGCCCCTCTCTCTAGCATTTGAGTATTCTTACATCATAGGGGAGTGGGTGGCAGTGACTGGAATGTTAGCCTTTTTCCTACTAGAAAGACAGTAGTTCATTGTGCTGTCTCCATCCACTGTTTAGAAGCTCCTCCTCCCAGGCCAACTCATGAGCTTCTGGGGGTGTGGAACCACTTTTTTGGAGAATGGAGCCTCTATTTCTAACATAGTCTAACTCTTAGCCTTTGGGGTTTCTGGCTGGATTCTGGACCCATCTGGAGGGGCCTTCAGAGAACCAGCCCACTGCAAAGCCAGTTTCCGTCCACAGGAAGAGTTAGGCTGGCTTCAGCTGGGCACTTGTTATATTGAGTTTCTGTTCTGCAGACCATTCTGTATATCTCCAGAAAGGTACAGTGGAGAGTTGCAGAGTCATAAGTGGTAGACTCCACTGAGTTGGGGATCAGTAAAGGTTTTTGAAGGAGGCGATGTCTTAAATGTCCAGAAGAATTTGTTGGATTTCACCAGAGAAGAGGCCTTGTTGGTATAAAAAAACGTGGAAACAGAGGTGTGGGCATGCAGATGAAAGAGTGGGGTGTAGGGTGAAAGATGCACGTGATGACATAGAAGGCCTTGCATGGCAGGGAACCAAATGTCTGATCGTCCCCTCTGCTTACAGATCCCGTGCGTCAGAGCATCCCACTCGGACTACTTTCTGGAGAATCAGGATTAATGAGCCCCAACCCCAGGCCCATTTCCTGTGGCTGTGAGCCACATGTTATACTATCTCAGACACTAGCTTATTAAGTCACTGAGTCTATCCTCATGGGGTCATTTTGCTTCCTTTGGAATGTTTTCAGTTGTGCTGTTTGGGCTGCAAATGACAGTGTCTCCTTCCTGTTAGATACCACTGTTTGGGTTTTTTTCAGATCATCGTCGTCGTCCTGTCCCCTAGGTGTACCAGATATGTGAGTCATGGATGTGTCTATACTCCCAGGAATGGCATCATTGTTCTGCTCCCAAATAGCTGAGGCAGGAGGGGTAATAGTGCCTGGTAGGCAAAGGGCCCAGAGGAGCCCTGCCCTATGCCAGGGGTGTGAACAGATGACTTTGGTGCTGCTGGAGGCTTGGGAACCACTCTAAACACGCCTGGAGAGCTTTGTGGAGGTGCCACGTGTCCAGGTGTTACTTGTTTGTTGTTGGAAAACAAATGTGTGATTCATCTGCCAGGGTATGAGGAAGTTAATCCAGCTCTCCTGGCCCCTCCTAACCTTGGTCTTGTCCTTTCTGGCAGGCAGAGGTGGAGGAGACACTGAAGCGACTTCAGAGCCAGAAAGGAGTGCAGGGAATCATCGTGGTGAACACAGAAGGTACGCCCTCCCCTCCGACCGTGACCAGGACTCAGGCGGGCCCCAGAAAACGGCCCGAACACAGCACAGCACTTGCTGCTTACCAAGCCCCTTCATGTGCATGAATTTTCACCCTTTTTAAAACACCTGCGTTGGCCTAGCACTATTACTGAATTCTCCGTTTTAATAAAGGAAAGGCCACTCAATCCCACTGCCCTGACAGATCACCCTTTTCAGTGTGCCGTGCTTTTCGGCCCTTGTTCGGGTGCGTTTTCTCTTCGCCATAATTATAGCTGTTTCTCTTTTTTTTTTTTTACTTTTAAGGGAGTTTGAGTTTCTAATTTATACATCTTTTTTAAAGATTTTATTTTTAGTAGAGGAAGAGAGGGAGAGAAACATCTGTGTGCAAGAGATACATCAGTGGGTTGCCTCTCGAACACCCTCAACTAGGGACCTGGCCCACAACCCAGGCGTGTGCCCTGACTGGGCATCAAACCCATGACCTTTCAGTTCGCAGGCTGGCACTCATTCCACTAAGCCACACCAGCCAAGACTATAGTTGTTATCTTTTGCATATGTTTACTCATGAAGTTTGCTTGTTTTGCTTCATGGTTTACATAAACAAGTTTTTTTTAACTGCCAGTACAACGTTGATTGAACTATCCCCCATTTTATATTGTTTCCACTTTTTTGCTAGGTGACACTCTTATCAACTTCTTTATGCCCGTAGTTTTCCCTTCTCTTCTGGAAGGTTATGTCAACAACTAGAAGAGTTCAGACACTAATTTTCCCAAGCTGCTGTAGACATGGCGAAGAGGGAGGCTAACGTTTCTCCCCTGCCTGTTCTGTGCCAGGCCACGGACTGGTGCTTTACAGACACTCTGTTTCAGTTATCCCTTAAAGCAGCCCTTTCTCCATTTTGCCGTGGAGAAAGCTTGAGTCGAGAAATCAGTTGACTTGCGTGCCACCACAGAGCCAAGGTGTCTTTCCGAGTCTGTCCGAGGCACCGGTGCGCCTTCTCTTGCACCGCTGTGAGGACCAGGGGGTCGCTGCAGGTCTGTGGCCCACAGGCGCCCGGCTGGGCTTCGTCAGTTCCCTGGTTCAGCGTATTCACTCGTCTCGAGTTGTTCGAGGCCCCGTGAGAGCCCCGTGAGAGCCCCTGTGTGTGTCACCGTTCTGGGCCTTGTTTTGGAAAGGCCAGGTTCTCCACAGTGCCTTCTTTAGTAAAGCAGAATGAACGTCACCAAAGGTGACAAAGTGGAGGTGGCATGCCCTCAGTTAGAGTGTTGTTTTCCAAGTCGTTAGACCCTGGCCAGCCCAGAGGGAGGCAGAGGCTGCTCCCCGGCTTTATCGAACCCTTGTTAGACCATGTGGTCATCGCATGTAAAGGAGGCAGCAGGGTGGGAGCACTCAGCGCACTGGGAGGGGCAGCAGGCCCCAGCTTAGGTCTGCTAGGGGGCAGCAGGCGGGCCTGGGCCTCCGCCTTCTCCCCGTCAGGCCTCAGCTGCCCCGAGTGGAGCAGTCGGTCCAAGTCCTGAAGGACTGTGTGTATGTCACTCAGAGCGAGACTGTCTTCTGAGACTGGACCTTTTTGACCCCAAATGGGAGGGAACAGCCCCAGGAGCTGACTCCCCAGCTGGGACCCCTAGACCTTCACTAGTGTGGTATTCGCAAACCATAAGCCTCCATTCTTGCCTTAAAACTGCCCAAAAGTTGAACGTTTTCATTGGAAAACTATAGCCCCAACTGCTTACCTTCTGGATACTAATGAGCTTTTTTTTTTTTTTTTTGTATACTGATGTGGCAGTATTTTTTTTTAAAGATTTTATTTATTTTTAGAGGGGAAGGGAAGGAGAAAGAGAGAAACATCAACGTGTGGTTGCCTCTCGCATGCCCCCCACCAGGGACCTGGCCTGGAACCCAGGCATGTGCCCTGACTGGGAATCAAACTAGCGACCCTTGGGTTCGCAGTCCAGCGCTCAATCCACTGAGCCACACCAGCCAGAGCATGATGTGGCAGTATTGCTCAGTGATGGAGAATGTGGGCTGTAGAACCAGACTGCCTGGGTGTGTGTTTTGTTTTGGTTTGTGTTTCCCCTCAGGAAACAAGTTGCAGCAGCAAAAGAGGGGCCATTGGAGTGTAGGAAAGAGAGGCAAGGAAAACGCGCTTGAAATCTTGGAAAAACCACTTTGCCTCTCTGTTTCAGTGTCTCATCAGTAAAATATAATCATACTACCCCCCTTTAAGGGAGGCTTTTAGAGTAGTAAATGCCATTGCAGTGTTAAAGTCATTGTGTGTGTTTATTTTTGTGTCCCGTTCATAGAACTTACTCTTCAATCTTATTTACATTTCACACAGCGACCCTGCAAGGCAGGGTTTTTCTCATTTAAAAAAAATTTTTTTAACGTGTTTATTGATTTTAGAAAGAAAGGAAGGGAGGGTGCGAGAGAGGCATCGATGTGAGAAAGAAACAATTGGTTGCCTCCCATATATACCCTGAGTGGGTATTGAACCTGCAACCTAGGTAAGGTATGTGCCCTGACCAGGAATTGAACCCCCAACCTTTTGGTCTGTGGGGCAATGCTCCAGCCAACTGAGCCACACCGTCCAGGGCTGTTTGCCTATTTTTCAGATAAGAAACCTGAAGTTGAGAGAGACAAGGTCACCCAGCTGTGGGTGGGGATGGCCAGAATTCACTGCTCAGGGGGCCTTTAGACCATCTGGAAGTTTCCAGTTAAGGACGATCAACTCAGTTGCCTCTTCCTGTGGGCCGCCTTCCCTGACCACCCAGCCCCGTGTGGTCACTCTTGCCCCTGAACTCATGCCACACCTTGTTCTAACACTTACCAACAGCCTGCCCCTGCATTTTGACATCTCTGTCTTAGCCAGATGCCAATGATGTTTCATGATAAAAGTCTGAGTTTAAGACAACTTAGAATTTAAGGAACATTCTGGTCCATTTGTACTTCTCCAGCCCCCCTGCTGTCCTCTGCTGCTACCAGCACAGGGCGGTCTAACAACTCAAATGTGTAAGCTCCACAGGCTGGGGGTTTGTGTCCGTGTTCACGGCTGTACCCCGGCACCTGGAACAGTGCTGACACAGTCTGTGTGTAATAAACGTCTGTTAAGTTTTGTTAATTTTTATTGCTGATTGATGGGGTTGGGTTTGGTGGAAGGACCTGGCTGTACAGCCTGACAGATCTGAGTCTCGGGTTAGAAAGTGTGCCCCCTGGTGACCAGCGGCTCTGCAGCCTGCACGGTCCCCATTTGTGAAGGCAGTGGCCTAGGGGCAGGCGGCCTCATCACTGCGGTGTCTTGGCAGTGCCCCAGCTCTGGCACCCAATGATCTCTTACCTTTTTTGAAATTCTCCCCAGTTTTGGTCCCTGCCCTACTGCCACCTTCGTGTTTTCTTTCTTTGTTTTGGGTCGTGTGGTTTTTGTTTTAGTTTTTATTTGTTGATATTAGAGAGAGAGGGAAAGAGAAAGAGAAACATCGATTTGTTGTTCCATGTACTTATGCAGCCATTGGTTGGTTCTTGTATGTGCCCTGACCAGGGATTGAACCCACTACCTTGGTGTGTCAGGACAACGGTCAACCAACTGAGCTACGCGGCCAGGGCCTTCTTTTGTTTTTCATGTGAGCCAGCAAGTGGTTCGATTCTTGTCTCCTTTACACACCCTTTCACTTGGTAGGAATGTAGTCAAACACATGTCTAAACTGCTGAAAGTAGCCCTTGTGACTCCTCATTTATCGGTGGCAATAAATGCTTAATGCATTTTCTCCAAGGACACCAGTGAACAAATCAGACCTGGCCCTGGCTGGGGAACACACGTAAGGGGTCACCTCCGTAAAGGTGTGACGTCAAACTCAAGTAACTGTGAAGGGAAATCGCGTGGTGCTGGGATGGTAGAACGGCGCACTGACCACATCTGGGGGTGGGAGCGGGCACCAAAAGATGGAGGCCTCAGGGACCAGGGGGAATTACGAGAGAATAGGAGAAGAAAGGAAAGTTCCAGGCAGAGGAACCTGAGAGTAGGTGCCCTTGTATATAAAAGAGAGGGTCAAGGGGTTTGATCTAAACTTTGCCAGGCCTTGAGGCTTGCCTCTCACGTTACCTGGGGGGTGGGATTTACTGTGTGGGTGATATTGCTAAACCACCAACATTTAGTACATGCATACTCCTGCTAAGTATTCTTTTTTCATAAAATATGTGTATTGATTCTGGACAGAGAGGAAGGGAGAGAAGCATCGGTTGGTTGCCTCGAACACATGCCCCAGCCGGGGATCAAACCCAAAAGTTAGGTATGCGCCCTGACTGGAGATCAAATCCCCACCCTTTTTAGTCTACGGGATGATGCTCCAACGAACTGAGCCACACCAGCAAGGGCCTCGCTGCACATCCTTAAGTCATACTTAATCCTCACAGCAGCACTCTGAAGCACAGGCATTTTACAGATGAGGAAATGGAGGCGTAGAGAAGTTTGACCGCTTGTCTGAGGCCACATGGCCAGGAGGGGGCAGAGCAGGGGTATAAGTTCAGGTCACCAGACTTCAGAGTTCCCACTCAGTCATCACCCGAGCTGCTCACACCACCATCCTCAGAAAGGTTTTACTGTACTACAACCTGTTCTCCGGCTTCAGTTGGTTCAGAGCAGCCTCTCTGACTCAGCTGCTTCTCTTGCTCTGTGTCCTCTTCTGCCCACTGTCGTGTTCCTGTGCCCTCAGAAGACAAGACTGGGCCAGTTTCTTGCCACCTGTGGGTAGGCCTGAGGGTGGCTGCTTTTGGCTGATCCTCAGGCTGGTCAGTCGTGGACCAGATGAGCAGGACCTGCGTCCCAAATCCAGCCACTTACGTGTGAGGAGCCACGTGTATCACATTCATCACAAGTGCCTGTGAGCTGTGGGCACCTGGGGCCTCACTGACAGAGCCTCCTGGTGGCATGTCACAGTGAGTCACAGGCACCTGATGCCCCACTTGTGGGCTGAGGTCACTCGGGCTGAGTCCCGTTCCTCCCCTCCATGACAGCAGGCCCTGTCCGGCAAGGGAGATCCATGGAGTAGTTCGGCGAGAGGAAACAGTCTTCAAAACAGTGGTGTTTGTCACACAGTAACACAGTAAACGAGCCAGCCTTAGCGCTGGCCGGCGTGGCTCAGTTGGAGTGCCGTCCCATCCACCGAAGGGTCGCGGTTCAATGCCCGTTCGGGGAGTATGTGGGAGGCAACAGATGGATGTTTCTCTCTCTTTCCCTTCCTCCCCCTCCCACTTCCATCCCCTCTCTCTAAAAATCCGTGGACCCTCAGGTGAGTATTTAAAAAATAAATAAAAATTTTTTTAATCCAGCCTCAGTACCCAGCAGTGGAGGCACAGTGAAATCAGTGGAATGGCCACTTGCGGGCTCTCTGAAAGTCGTAGCTATGCTGTCTACGAGGGCGTGTGCAGGCGGAGAAACGGGGTTTGATTTGGAGAAGTGGCTGCAACTAAACAGTCTGTGTACAGCTGGGCCCTGAACCTCCCTTGGTGGGAACATGAGCAACACACTAGGGATGCTTACGTCTTGGCACAAGCTGAGCTGTTTTCTCCCTACTCTTGGGTGTTATAGACTTGTAGGAGTTGTCCTCCTTGCCCGGGTTCTAAGTGTCCTGAGTGATAGTCTCTCCTTTTAGCGCCAGGAACCGGTCAAGACAGTGCGGCCTTACAGGTGGAGCCCCCAGGCCTGCGCTGCGTCCCGGCTCCACCGCTTGTCTGCTCTGTGGCCGTAAGCAGGCCGCCTTCCCGCCCAGAGTCCGTTGCCCCGTCGGCAGGTGGAGATGGTGACACCACCCTCAGAGTGGTTCTGGGGACAGGCAGTGACGCACTTGAAGTGGTGCTCAGCACTGTGCCCGCCAAGCCTCCGGGGATAGTGGCGTTGACTGTTCACTGCCAGTCCAGTGCTGTGGAATCGGGGGTGTGGGGGTGGGGCTGGGCAGAAAGGGCCTCGGCCTCCCGCTCAGCCTGTCTGCTCTCCCTCAGGCATCCCCATCAAGAGCACCATGGACAACCCCACCACCACACAGTACGCCAGCCTCATGCACAACTTCATCTTGAAGGCCCGGAGCACCGTGCGTGAAATTGACCCCCAGAACGACCTCACCTTCCTTCGAATTCGCTCCAAGAAAAATGAAATTATGGTTGCCCCGGGTAAGAGCCTTCCACATCCCCTCCTAGGATTCGGCCGTCACAGCACACGCTGTGCCGCTTGAGGAGAAGGCTTGGCACGGTGTGTCTGCTCAGGTTCCGCAGAAAGGCCTGGAGAGTTGAAGGGCAGAGGTGGTTGCCTTGCTGCCTGTCCAGCCCCTGGCTGGCACCCCAGCCACGACTCATGGGGGGAGACAGACTCGTGAGCATGACCCAGTGTAACCCTCACCTTGATGTGAGGCGTTCAGGGAGCGCTTTGGGACGTAGAAGAGGGTGTGATTAGGCCTGCCCGGGGCAGTCGGCAGCAGCTTCCCAGAAGAGGGGACGTTTCAGCTGAGGTGTGTCATCTTGAGGACGCAGGAAAGAGTGCAGGCAAGCGGAGGGGCAAGAGAGCCTAAGTTTGAAGGAAAAAAGATTCAGGGATTTTAAACCAAAGCGGAAGGCAAAAATACCGTATAGTCATTTTGTCTTTGAGAAAAGGTTCAGTTACCCTCCTCTGAACGACAGTGCTGTCTCTCTGGGTCCCACACAGCCAGCTCTCCCCCGCGCCCCGCGCCGGCACTGGCCGCTGCTTTCGTTTCACGTGGAGTGTTGGCTTGCACTTCGGAGCTGGCTGTGTGGTGCAACACCCGTCTTCAGGGTGTAGGGTCATTCCCAGGGTGGTGATATGCTCGTCCTGGGAGGAGCCCACGAGGCCGGGGACCACAGGCGGCGGCGGCAGGACCACCCACCCTGCCCCCCCTCACTCAGCATGTACAGACCATGGGCAGAGTCTCTGGGACAGTTTTCGAGTTGCTGCTTCTCTCGGTCCCTCTCTTCTGGGCCGAGCCACAGAGTTGAGCGCGCACGATGATGCGGGCAGGCTGCCGTGGCCGTTCGTCCGGGGCGTCAGAGTATGTGCAGGAGGGACAGGGAGGCGAGGCGTGTGTCCAATTTAGAAAGGGCCTCCAACACCAAACTGGGCTGCGTGGACTTGCCCCTGTGAGCAGAGGTTTTTAAGGCAGGAGGTGATGTGACTGTGATTGGGGCCTAGATGGAGGAGCCAGTAGGGAGGCTAGGGACACTAATGCCCCGGGCTTGGCGACACAGATGGCAGAGACTGGCTGCAGAATTCTGGGGTAATTCGGTGCCCACAGGCTTTCAGAGTTCATGGGTGTGGTTGGTGCTTGAGTCCAGTTAAAGGTTCTCCTTTGGGTGCACAGCCTTGTCAGTGGAGGCGAGGGTGAAGTGACCAGACGCTGGCTCTGGTGACACCCAGAGAGGCCTGAAGGGAGGGAGGGTATCCTTGTGCTCTCACTGGCTCACCGTCTCGCACTCACATCCTCATGGGGCACGCACACACGCCCCTTGTTATGCTGGCGGGGTGTGGCTTTGCCATATTGCCTTAAACACAAGGAGTGGTCCTTCGAACACCCTCACCACCTCTCCAGCCACCCTGCCGCCTTTAGGAGCCTCGCCCTGGCCCTCACACAGGCCGCCCTGCTGTTGGCTGCACTCCCATCCTGCCTTTTCACTTGGCTCACCGGCCCGTTTGTCTGCATGTTTAAGTCTTATCTCCCCCTCTAGACAATTCCAAAAACAGAAACTTGTAAACACGTAGTAAGCATTTCACAGATATTTGTTGAATAAGTAAATGAAGACTTTATAAACCTCCCTCTGTTGCTGACCCTCCCGCTGTGGGGGTTAGAGGTGGGGCCAGCAGTGGAGCTGGGGACCAGGGATGCCCATGGGACGTGTTATTTAGGATGAAAACACCTTGATTACACCCACTTCGGTAACGGCCAGAGAAATAATGCTGTGTCAGGAGCTGCTGAGCAGAGCCTCTGAGGCATTTGGGCTGGATCGCCTTAGGGGTTGTGTAGGGGGCGCCAGTCCCCCGGCCTGGCTGCTGCGCCCTTCAGGTGGGCCCTCCTGGGGCTGTACTTAGCACCCGCACCGGGGAGCAGCCTGGAGCGGCCCTGCCCAGGAAGGAGGCCCAGGTCCCTTTCTTCCCACCTTAATCTTCCTCATTGATCAAACTGAGAAGACCACAAGTAGCAGAAGGTGGTGTCAGTTTGGTTCCCCATGTACGGGTACGTACCACATTCCGCCCCACCCTGGCCCAGGGTAGCCCATGTGGAGCGATGTTTTTAAGACTGTCTTTTGGTGCTCACTTACTAACCTCGCGCATATAACCCTAAGTTGTCAGCCTATTCAAGCTTTAAAACTCTGCTCCCCACAGAGCACCTGGAGTGATATTATTGAATTCATAGCTAGATTATTTGGAAGAAAAGACACTATTGCTAATTATGTCTGCCTCTGTAGGTGGCTTTAATTATTTTTATTTTTATTAGGAAGTGATATGTATCTTTACTTACACAGATTGTTAGCCATGGAACTATTAGTCATATAAGATCTGCTTCTTCCCAGTCCCGTCAGCCAGCCATCATGGGGAAAGCAAGCTTTAGGTCTAAATCAGCAGACATGAAGCAGATGTGCTCGAGGTCCTGCCATTTTGCTTGTGTTCAGGAAGCCGTCAGACCCAGCTACCCCACCCTGCATTTTTGCCTTGGTTTCTGCAAGCCATTTAACTCTCCGAGCCTCAGTGTCCTCGTTTGTAAAATGAGAAACACTAGTATGTGCCTCATAGAGCAATTCGGGGGTTCATTGAGGTGCCCCGTGAGAAATGGTCGACCCAGGGCCTGCCACGTGGAAGCCTCGATGAATGTTTGCAACTTGATGATGAAGTGGGCCAAGCCCAAACTCGCTGCTTCTCCAGTTTCCTCATCTGTAAAAGGAGGGGCAGCCAGGCTCAGCCCTGAGGCCTCGGACCTGCGATGATTTCACCAAGGACATTCCTCCTTACTGGGCTGGATCCCCAGAGCTGGGACCCAGGTAGCGTTGGCCCCCTTGATCTGGCACCTTTGAAATATTCTCATCCAGCCTGTGACAGGACTGACGTTAACCCAAGAGCAGTGGGGTCGAGGTTGGAATTGCATCTTTGACACCAGCCGGCTGGGTGACCTTAAACTGCTGGTTCTCCCAGAACCTGCAGCGTGAACATGACCTAGGAGTGTTAAAAATACAGATTCTCGGGCTCTGCCCCAGACCTACCGACTCCACAGAGCTGGGAGTGGGGCCCAGCCCTCCAGGTCATTCCATTCTGAGAACCACTGCCACAGGCAAGTTACTGAAATTCTCCTAACCTGAGTTTCCCCACCCCAGAAACCAGTGACGGTGCCCTACCTCCCTCTTAGTTCGGGGACGATGGGGAAAGAGGCTGCCCTGCGGGGTCGCGCTGGCAAAGGTCCCCACGGGAAACCTGCAGGTGCCTCCCGTTTCCCAGCCGCTGGCAGTGGCCCAAGCACGAATACTGTGTGCTCACCCCGCCTGTTCTGCGGTGGGCGGTATAGTGATTTATTTCTTTTCTAGTGTGTTTTTCTCCCTTTTTACATTTACTGATGATATGTTTTCGTTTTTCTCTTTTGCAGATAAAGACTATTTCCTGATTGTGATTCAGAATCCAACTGAATAAGCCGCTCTCTTGTGCTCCACGCATCAGTCCTCCATTCAGTGTCCCCAAGGATAATAATAGTGTTAATCATGTCAACTGACTGGCAGGTAGAAATCACCTGAGAGCCCATGCAGACCAATCAAGTGGCCACGGTGGGCTGCAGCTCCACCCCATCCCACCAGAGTCATCCCCCTGCTGGCCGGCCCCCCCGAGTTCCCAGGAGGGCCCTCTTGCCTCAAGTCCAGGTTTTGGAGCAAGAGCTTGTGAGAGGCCCACACCCCACTTCCTTCTAACCTTCAGTCCACTTTGTTGCCCTCGGAAAAGGCTGTTTTTCTTTGACTAAAAATAACTGAAACTGGCCCCGCTGTGTATCTTTATAAACACTGGGTTGAAAGGGCCTCGCTCCCCCATGTCATCACGTGGCCTGAGGGCTGAGCCCGGTGCCGCCTCCAGCCTTGCTGCAGATGGGTCCGCGGCCTGGGAGGCCTGCTCCGCGCTGCCCCCGTGGCCGCACTCGCGCTCTGAGCCTGGTTTATCGTTGGCACCCAGATTTCTGGGTCTTGTGGTAAAAGATGTTTTCTCTTACACTGCCTTGGGAAAGGACAGAAGTGATATGTGTCGAGTGCCCAGAATGTACCTGGTGTGTTATGTGCCATGGCCCATACCATCCTCATGGAACCCTACGGAAGGTGTCAGAGCCCCATCCTCAAAGTGGGGAAGTTGGGTCTAGGAAGGACTTGCCTGAGGTCTCACACCTGGGAGCACAGGTCTGCGACTCCAGACGTTCTGCCCTTTCTGCTCTGCCTTCCCAGGAAATCCTGGACGGTCGCACTCACCTGAGGGAGCTCGTCCTGGGTGCACATCCGCCTTCCCTTGGGTTCGTGCGTGGGGGTCCCAGGAGCTGCCTGCTGCTCTGGGGGTCTGTAGGCCACCCACCATTCAGCAGCACTCTGATTTTCCTCCAGAAATCACGTGTTTATTTTTTCGTTAGGGGTTGTTTTGTTGTTGTTTTTTTGCCTTTTGCTGCTTCTTACAGAGGGAAAAGATATCTTGAAATCCCTCTTCACTGTCCTCTCCCCATAAGGAACCTTGTCTACAGTGTGAGTTCTTCCCTCTAGCAAAATACTTTAATAAATTTTCCAGTGAAGTCTCCTGAAACAGTATCAGAGAAGTAAAACATGTACCCTTAGGAGCCTAGGGGTGTATCGGCTTGGCCAAAAAGTCCATATGGTTTTTTCCATAAAATAAAAAACATTTTTCATTTTCACCAATAATTTGATTTGGATATTTTTAGTATGCCAGCTATCTCCTGCTTTTGGCTTCTAGTTGGCAGAGGCCAGGGTTCTGCTAAATGTCTTCCAGTGCATAGGACAGCCCACAGCAAAGAATTATTTGGCTGAAATGTCAGTAGTGCCAAGAAACTTTGCAAACCATTTTTGACACATTCAATCAGTTACAACACCTTCTCCAGGCACTGCACAAATTTTTTGTTTCAGTTTTGTTTTTACCTTTCTTGAAATAATAAAGCATACTACACTGAAAATGTTGCATATTTTCTTCTAACTTGAATATTAAAATGGTTGCACAAAAATTCACCAATTTCGATCAGTTCTTTTTTAAATGCATGCTGATATGACAGCTGCCACAATCTAACAAAATCATTTTGAATGAAGTTAAAGATAACTAAGCACTATTACAGCCATTGTATGGAAAAAAGCTAAATGAACTTTTTAGCCAACCCAGTAGTGTATAGGGGCTTGGCACATCTCTTCAAAATCTCCTATTTTAGTGAAAGATCATAGGAATTTTCCATTGTGTAATATATCCATGTTTGTCTTAATGCATTTCAAGTAAATTTCCCAAATCTTCAAGTAGAACATGCCTGGGAAACCACTGCAGGTGGGCCTTGTCCCTGGGCCTCAGGAAGCACACCCCGGAGAGCATGATCGCAGGACTGGAGCAAAGTGACCCGGGATCCGTCTTTGTCTCGGATTCTGTTTTAACAGTGAGGCGTGGTGACCAGCATCTTCTCTCTGTTCTCAGAGGCTAAGGGTGGTCGGGATCTGGGTCTGAGGTTCCTGTGTACTTCTGGTTTGAGTTTCTCCAAGAAGAATAATGGGGGAAGATCCGATAAACACATTATCCCTGCTGGGTGAGGGGGGAAGGGCCTCCGGGAAGAGGTCTGACCTGGCCCTACCCCTTCCCATAGTCCCTCCCTCTTATTTGCCTTAAAGTTCCCAACCTAAAACTCCCTCGAGGTCCTGAGGAAAGTTTAGGCTCAGTCTAACTTTGGTGAAAAGCAGGAAACTCACGAACATGAAGATGCTGCACCTCCCAGTCCCCCGTGGAAGCCTCCTGGGATGCATCCCAGTTTGTCGTGCAGCCTGAACAGTGGTGGAGCACGCGCAGACACCTAGTGTTTCTGTACTTAAGAGGAGTAGCAAGTGTGTGGAAATGCAGTATCTACTAACCTCGTAAATCGATTACTGCCCCGGGCATGGAGGGACAGGCGCAGCGTCTGGGTTTCAGAGTGTATTTGCCTAAACACGGTGTGCCGGCTCCCAGCATCATGAAGAATTTCAAACAGTTGAAATAATTTTACCTTCTCCATTTTACTCCACAATTAACATCACATAACTCCATCCATCCCATTGGGTGTGTTTCAAAGGAGTTTGCAGACAGGACACACTCCTAAATACTTCATGTTATCAACTAGCTTACCCTTTTTGGTAGGTGGGTGAGATTTTCATACAGTGAAATTTACACATGAGTATACACTTAAGTGACAAATGTGTGCACCTGTCAACCTAACGCCCCCTTCGAGATCACATCATCCCAGTGATTCCCCCGCCTGGAAGCCCATACCCACATCTCCAGTTCCCATCAGCTGTGGACTTCACCCTCCAAGGTGAGGCAGGAGACGGCATGGGAAGAACTCTGAGACTGCAATACTTGTGGCCAGCATTTAGTAGCACCCTGGTTGGTAGGAAATGCCTTTTACCAATCAGGTAGAATAAATAGTAAACCGAGGCAGGGAGGAGGAAAGAGACAAATCTCACGCACTAACTCAGCAGTCCTGAGCCTGGTCTGACAATATTGCCAGGTGTTCCATCGTCACAAGAGACACTGTGTTAGCAAGAAAGAAGGGAAGTCCTTGAAATTCTGTGTAGCATTTCCACTATCTGGGAAAGAAAACCTTGAAACTGCATTCATCCCAAAGCCTGAATGTGGGAGAGGGTCCCCGGTGCCCAAAGAAAGAGCTCATAAAACAACTTTGGGCAATTGCCTACGTCTGGTCACTATCTGTTTTACAAGGGAGTCCCTGATGCTTACAGAAAGAGCCCATAAATAACTTTGGAAAGTGCCTCAATTTTAATTAACTGTTAGGTATTTGTTGTACAGCAAGATGACCAGATGGGGTCTGGAGCAAGATAAGAATTTGGATAGTCACATTCCCCCAGGAAAGCTGGCACCACATTTACCCACTGATCAATATGTAACTTCTCTTCCTATCCCACCAACTATGTAAGTCCTGAGAACAAAGGTGCCCCTCTCTCTCCCTCTCTCGCCACCCTGGTCTCCAGCCTCTCTTGCTTTTCTCACCCTGCTTTGCCCTGAAACTTTGCCTTTCACCCCCTACTCTACCCAGTCCTGTTCTCTTCCATGGGAACGGGCAACCAATAAACTGATTACATACCACTAGCCACTAGATTTGCTGATACGTAATTCTTTACAAGCGTCAGCAAGAAGAACCAGGTCTTTCCCGTCAACAAAGGCACAGCGCTTGGCTGGGGTCCCAGTGCAGAGGGCCGCTGTCAGGAAAGTCATCGCCTCTCAGGGAAAGTGCAGCAGCTGCTACCGCCTCTGCTCATTCATTGCTCTGCTTCCGCACTCAACAGTGTTCCTTGGAATCCCGCTGTTCCTCTGTGAGTTGGTACCACCTTTACTCAAAAAAAAACAAAAAACGCGGTGGTGGGGCGGGGGGAGTTTAAAACACTCCAGGATGCCCTGACCAGTGTGGCTGTGCATAGGGCTGCAAAGTGAAAGGTCACCAGTTAGATCCTGGTCGGGGCACATGCCTGGGTTTCAGGTTCGTCCCCCTGCAGAGGCGACCGATTGTAAGTTCCAGTATTTGCAGCAGGTAGAAGATAGATGCCCAAGACAATTCAATGTCAGTGAGCTTCAGCTGATCCATTATGTTCAACTGAGAAGGAAAGTAACACAAAGTACGAGTCCTATTGTTATGTTAAACAAGCTCAGTTGGATAAAAGACCAATTTTATCTTGGTTTCCCACTGTCTTAAATTCCTTCCCTGGGGTTCAACTACCCGCCCCCAGTGTAATGTGTAGGGAAGTCCCAGGCCTCGCTTACCACTTTCGGGTGCTGAAGGCCCTGCCTTGGGTGGGTGATGTGTCTGGTCCCATGTAACCAACCACAAAACCTTTGACCTGCCTCTGGAGATAGAGGCCACCCTTCCCCAGCTTGGGCCTGCTGCCAGCCTTTCCCCTTGCAGGGGGGCGGCAGGGGGCGGGCGGCGAGGAGGAGGCAGCAAGGCTTGGCCTTGTTTCCCCACCGCATGCTGTAACAGTGCTGTTGTGAGCTGGCTTCCAGCTCTCTGAGCCGGGTGTGTTTAAAGCTGAAACATGCTTCTGGCACATGTTTCATGGGTTTGCAAAGATCTGTTCCTTGTCCCCACACCCCATCATCCATTCCTCTCGTCCTCCTGCCTGCCATTGCCTTACTTTGGATGATACACTCTCTCTGGTTGGCTCCTTACAACCCTTTGTTGTCCCCTGGTTTTCAGGCCCCCTCTGTTGACTCGAGGTGAAGCACCTCCCTCCGTGGGTGGCGGGAGTCGCAGTGCGTCACCAGCTTCTGAAAGTTGTTCTCTGACGTCCAGCTCTTCCACAGGCTGAAGGTCAGGCAGAAAGAAGTCTGAACTCACTTTGGGCCGCCTTGTTGGTCTCGCACTGACTGGTTCTGCTCCTGTCCTTGGTATACAGCAACTGTTGCCTTGGGCGTCACGGCAGAAACTGAAATGAAAATAATTACACTTGAACTTCCTAGTTCATAAGAAACATGGTGTTAAAGACTGCCCAGCCCTGGCCAGTGTGGCTCAGGTGGTTGGTACATCGTCCCATAAACCCAAAGGTCATGGGTTCGATTCCCAGTCAGGACATATATTTAGGTTGCAGGTTCAGTCCCCAGTTGGGGCGAGAAGCAACCAGTCGATGTTTCTCTCTCACATCAATATTTCTCTCCCTCTCTCTTCCCCCCCACTTCCCCTCTTAAAAAAAAAAAAGACTGCCTAAAGGCAAGATGAAATAAGGAATGTCAAAAATGTTTTTAACTTTTTGAGT